ACAAATATTTATCAAAAATAAATCTCAAATACTTCCCGCGAAGTTCATAACTCTCTCAGTTTGGAATGTTGTAAAAATTGGAATAATTTCTAGTAAATATGTTTAAATAATAAAAATAATTTTATGTTGCAAAAATATTTTTCACTCGATCCATTCATCCCATAAATTGTAACTTAATCATTGTTATTAAGGTGATTAATCATTTTGCCAATTCTCATTCTTATTTTCATTACCTTGCTTATCTTTTTTAATTGTTAAACTACTAATAAACCAATTCACAGGAAAATGTTTCGGTCTATTAATGAATCACATTTCGATCAATATACTATGTTATCAGATCTTCCATTATCACAGGTTTTCTTATTTATGTTCACATACCAATCGTTGTTGTCCAATTGGATTTTATTAAAGTTATGCATTTCATAATCATAAAATTAATAAAACGAAGAATAATAATATAGAAAATTTTAATCATTGAAATGAAATAAGAGAAACAATAAATGAATATAGCAGAAAAACAATAGGTATTCTGCATATCAAATGGAAAATTAGAAATTTAAAGTTATGGGATGACAAATGATGAAATTGTGATTAAATTGTAAGAATTCAATAGATGAAATGCAGAAGCACTCTGCAGTACCAGAAATATCAGTATATATTTCAATTTAAATGCATTCAACTATTTCCTTTTTCAAACTTCTTCATATGTGATTTCATAATGAATTGCTTTGGTTGCATACAGTCCAATTGGATGAGGAATTCTCTTTGCGATGAGTTTTCATGTGCTTGTTCAAAACGCTTTTCCGAGAAAATCTTTTCTCGCATACGGAACAACCGTGCGGCTTTTCACCGGTATGAATCCGTATATGTTTTTTAAGACTCGATAAATCAGAGAAACATTTTCTACATTCTGAACAATTGTGGGGCTTTTCACCGGTATGAATCCTCATATGTGTTTTAAAAGCAGATGAATGAGAGAAACGCTTTCCACATTCTGAACAATTGTACGGCTTTTCACCGGTATGAATCCTCATATGTCTTTTAAAAGTCGGTGAATCAGAGGAACGTTTTCTGCATTCTGTACAATTGTACAGCATTTCCTCGGTATGAATCCTCATATGTCTTTTCAAATGTGATAGTTGAGAGAAATTTTTTTTTGCATTTCAGACAACCGTGCGGTTTTTCACCGGTATGAATTTTCATATTTTTTCTCAAACTCGATGGATAAGACAAACTTTTTCGGCATTTGAAACAATCGTACGACTTTTTACCGGCTTGAGATGCAGGATGTCCTTCTTGTTCAGCATTCGGCCTCTGCACTAGTATATTCGGTGACTGTCTCTTTACCGGTATGGACCACCATATGAGTTTGCGGCTTTTCGCCGGTACGATTTACCAAATTTTTTTGCAAATCGGATGATTGAGAGGTGGTTTTGTTGCATTCCGAACAACCACGCAGGTTTTCATATAGTTTTCTTTTGTTACGGTAATTTATCTTGTTGCTGTTAGCGTTTCTGGCATTCTAACTGTTGTCATGAAGATACATGGCAAGCTTATGTGGTAAAATCAGAAATGCTAATAGCTTTATTCTCTGCAACAACAAAAGTGCTTCATAAATTCATTAATAAATGCATAACAAATTCATTATGCTTCAACGATTTGCTATCAAATTGAAATTAAATGTAATTAAATGTAAATGTAATCAATAATCGTTTTGCTTCAACTCTTTCTTTAAGGTAACCAAAACATACGTAATCTTGAAATAGTATAGGCAATATCAGCTTGATGTATTTCTTCGTTATTACATGTATGAATATATTCAATTATTACAGGAAGAATCTGCAGAACTTACTGTGCATTAAAAATTAATTACTATTGGTGTAAACAAATCAATAATATCAATTACATTGATTGCCATTAAAATGAAATTCAAATTAATTCATTCCATTTTTTCTTCATTTTGTACTGAGATTTCAAATCAAAGAGAAATTGTCGCTATTTTCACGACCTATGAATACACTACAAGCTTCTCTAATAAAGAATGAATGATTAGGGATGACTGATGAAATTGTGATTAAATTGCAAGAATTCAATTGATGAAATGCAGAAACACTCTGCAGTACAGTACCAGAAATAACAACACATATTTCAATTCAAATGCATTTTACTATTTCTTTTATCAAACTTTCTCATTTGTGATTTCATAATGAATTGCTTTGGTTGCATACAATCCAATTGCGATGAATTTTCATGTGTTTATTCAAAACACTTTGTCGAGAAAATCTTTTCTCGCATACGGAACAGGTATGCGGCTTTTCATCGGTATGAATCCGCATATGTCTTTTAAATGACCGTAAATAGGAGAAACGCTTTCTACATTCTGAACAATTGTACGGCTTTTCACCAGTATGAATCCTTATATGTGTTTTTAAACCCGATAAATCAGTGAAACATTTTCCACATTCTAAACAATTGTACGGCTTTTCACCGGTATGAACCCTCATATGTCTTTTAAAAGTCGATGAATGAGCAAAACGTTTTCCACAATCTGAACAATTGTACGGCTTTTTACCGTTATGAATCCTCATATGTCTTTTAAAAGTCGATCGATCACAGAAATGTTTTCCACATTCCGAACAATTATACGGCTTTTCACCGGTGTGGATCCTCATATGTTCTCTAAAACTCGATAAATGAGCGAAACGTTTTCCACATTCTGAACAATTGTATGGCTTTTCACCAGTATGAATCCTCATATGTGTTTTAAAAGCAAATGAATGAGAGAAACGTTTTCCACATTCTGAACAATTGTGCGGCTTTTCACCGGTATGAATCCTCATATGTGCTTTAAAAGCCGATGAATGAGAGAAACGTTTTCCACATTCAGAACAATTGTACGGCTTTTTACCGGCACGATTTATCAAATTCTTTTGCAAATCGGATGATTGAGAGATAGTTTTGTTGCATTCCGAATAACCACTCAGCTTTTCATCCGTCTGATCCATTATATGTCTTTTCATCCATATTTTTTTTGGAAATACAGGATTCTGTAATTTTTGTTCACCACTCGCCATTATTGAATCCGGTAGTTCCATTCGCTCTTCACTCACTTCCGACCGCGGTAAATTGAAGTGCATTGTTTGTTCCGTTTGCGCCTTCTGAAATTACATGATACTATCCATTACGTCTTTCGTTGAATATGTGATATCTTCGAAATATTGAAGTGTTTTATTTTTCAATTTTTAATGAACTTACTGTAGTTTTGATGTTTAATTGGAAGAGGAAGAGTAGGATAAGGTAGATGAAATACATATTGATTGTTGTAATTTCCTGACAGTTCTAAAAAATATTCAGATTTATCAATATACTATGAATCACATGTATACAACACGCATAGTAACTTACACCCATTCCAAAGCTAAATTTTATGGATACGTTCATCGTAGCAAAGTTTTTTGTATAGCGCGAAATTATGGGAAGAGACTACCAATCTTAGTTGAAATAAGCGAAATAGTGTTTACTGAATGAAATTTGTGGAAGTACAGAGGTCATCAAATAGCTTTTATTAGAAACTGTCAGAGGATCACTTCTGTAAATGCTTATAATGATGTGGATGGCAAACAGTGTGTATTGATAATCCACGTTTAGCAATAGAATAACAGTATTTGATGTTTAATCTATCATACTGAATAATTTCATTTCATTGCATTGAATTATGAAATATAATTTATGCAAAACATATGCAACATTTTTTGCACAATTTCATTTTAGTTTTTCCATACCTTCAAAATTGTGTTGATATTAGTGAGAGGGAAAAATTAAGCAATATATATTATTGATATATATATGATTCTGAAGAAATATATTATTGATTCTTATCCTGAAGAGAGCTTCTCATCAAATAGGAAATCAAAAGTTATAATATGTCATTAAAAATACACTTTTACTTAAATTACAAAAATAATAAAAAAGTTTTCGGTCAAAACTTCTGCTACACAAAAAGTATAAAAAAAGCATACTTATAGCAATTGCAGGTTAATTTGAAAAATATGATTGAAATATTCATTTTTCCATATTTCATGCAGTTAGTTGTGAAAATGCCTATTTACTGTCGCTAGCCGAGTAACCTTACTGATAAGAGCTGATAAATTGATTTTTCAGTTTATCGCTTTGCTTAACTCATTTCTTTTCCTTCTCTTTTTGTCGTTAATTTTATTTTCATAATCAATTCTTTTCCTTTGTTTTTATCGTTAATTTAATTATCGTAATCAATACTTTTCTTCTTTGCTTGATACGATTTTAATATATGATATATATTTCCGGAAATGTTGCTGGGAATTGAATCACAAAAGTAGGTTGAATTACGAAATCACTAAAAAGTGTAAGCTTGCGACGAATAGAAAGTAAGGTAATTAACGAGAAAACAAATCGTTCCTTTCAACAGGAAATTATAATGCATTGTTTAAAAATGATATTTTGCTAATTAATTGCAAAATTTCCCAAAATGATCTTAAGCTAATTAAGTATGTCTAATTTTAGAAGTTTTCAAATAAATAATCTCTTCTTCAATCTATTGTTCACAGTTACAATTTCAAATTGACACATTTTCGGAAAACGGAATAGGAATAACAGGATTGTTGACATGAAAAGATCAATTCGTCTTGTAACATAATAGGAAATAATTTTGTATTAAAGACATTGTCTTATAATTCCGTAAAATTTCATATTAATAAATGGTAAATCAATTTAACAAATTTCACTGATAAAAGATTTTCTCAATTTACTTTAATAGAAAATTCAAAATTACAATACTTTTCTTTGTTTTAAAAAATTTATTAATCAATTTAAAAAAGAAGGATGGTAATATTAATGAATACTATAAGATAGTAATAAAATATTCCTTAGCAGAAAGCATATAAATTTCCAGAAAGCAGAAAGCATATAACATATAGTTAAATCACCTATTAATTATTAATGAAATAAATTAAGATATCTGAATTACGATATTTTAGTGTTTAAAAAAATCTATTTGATTTTTCATAGCATTCTAATTTCTTAACTTTTTACACTAATTAAGTCTGATTCAGATTTTTAGTATCAAGTGATTATAGCTGATATTTCAGATGAATCACAAATGATTATCAAATTGAAATAGATCGTATTTAAATTTACAGGTAAGCATTAGCCAGCTGATTAGATCATATCACAGTATGATGAAGTATCATTTGCAGTTGAATCGGGAGTGAATCGATGAATGTTTTATCATGATCTTTTTCCATATAAACTTTTTCACCATGTTGACCGGCTATTTGAGAGGTTATCTGAATTAATCAGTAATACATTAACAAATCTTATCGATCAATTCATGATTTATAACTATTTTTTGATTCATAATGATAATTTCTGTAAGATTTTAATGAAATTAATTGAATATTATTTATAGAATTTAAGAAGTAACTATGATTTCAACTTAATTTATTAATAGTTTTAAAATAAAAATTTTTAAACTAACTGAATTCTTTGCAAACAGCTGAGATATTCCTTAACACTGTGATCAATATTTATCAGTTAGCACTAATTAACTTATAAATAATGTTTGAGAAGTGATAAGGAAATGATAAGAGTACTGTTAATTTTTTCCTTTCAAATGATAAAATAAAAGAAAAGTTACTTTGCCACAAACATTATATCCGACAAATTGATCATTTTTACTATAAATAGTAAATATATATCGTCCCTCATAACCTTTGATTGAATTTATATCCTATAAATATAACTGAATTAAAATATTTGTATTATTTCTTTTTCAATTAGAAAACTATTAATAAATAATTATTCAAAAAAGTTTTTATAATAATTTCCAACCTGTAAAAAAGCACTTTCCAATGGACATATACCAGAGAATAAACCGTTATTCTGATTACAAATAGGAACCAAAGTGAATACACATGCAGGAATATTGACAGCACCAATCTATCAATCAATAATATCTTATTTTTATTAACATATATAAAAGAAGTTAAAATTTTTAACAACTAAAATAAATAGGTTGAAAAATTAAGTTCGAAACTTTTAACATAACGCCATGATTTGGTCCAGCAATACCAACAAATGTATCGATTGAACTTGTCAATGGACTGCCTAAATTTTCTTTAGTGTCAACGCATAAACCTGAAATTTGTTAATTTGTTATCTAAATGAGATCAAATAATCAAATGTTCAAACATATCATTAGAGTTGGAGATAAATATGAGGTCAAAATTTAGAGTGAAAGATAGGTATGAGGTCAAAATTTAGAGTGAGCGATAGATATGAGGCCAAAATTTAAAGTAAGAGATAGATATGAGATTAAAATCAAAAAGATAAAATGATCAAGAAGTTATGTTAATAATGGTCGCAATCATAAATGATATAATGATATCGAAGTTTATAAATAAACATATGCATTTAATTGCTATATAAAACTTTGTTTCAAATACACATGTATGTCCAGAAGTAATCCGGAGTATACTCCGATAATAGGATAATCAAATATGCAAATAAACAGTTGAGAAATTAACAAAGAATAAATTAATTGATCTCATTTATTCTATACTTAATTTTATGAATAAGCAATTGATGCAGAATTGAACGAATTAATCTCATAGTTTAGTTATAGAATCATTCATATCATTAGAATCATTAATCTCATAGTTTAATCATAGAATCATTAATAAAGTCATAGAATCATAGAATCATAAAATCTCATAGAATTAATCGATAATCGTTCATTTTCGATTTAATTGAATACTCGGCGATATAAATATAAGACATAAGGAATTTGGTCATTGTATTACAAACAACAAATAAATAATCAAAATCCAATTTTTACCTCCTAAAATGGCTTTTCGAGCAATCGGTACACCTAATGAATATGCGATAATATCAACTGCACGACCGGTATATAAACGTACAGCCACAATTAATCCTCGTATCTTTAATTATTTAAATACTCTTTCAATATCTTTCCTCTTATAATATTTTAATAATTTGTTGTAATCATTTTCTAAAATAGTTTAATTTGCATATACGATAGATTTAAATTTTAAAATTTAAATTTATCATTAAAATTACATAATGAATAAAATTACCTGTTTAACATATTTACAATCCATCGTATATTTCGTCCATTGTGTTGGATTACCTTGTGCACCATTAGCATATGTTGTCGCATACAATTCTGATAAATCGTAACCAGATGCTCTGAGAATTATGAATAATAATTTTTACTTTATAAAAAATGAACAGATTATTTGTATTTGATGAGATATGATCCGGTAAAAATTATACATGAAGTATTTTGCACCAATAAGAGGCTGTTCTCCAGCAGTATTCGAAACACCATGAACAAAAATGACCGGATCTTTTGTTAATCTTTGATTTCGATATAATTTGCCACCAAATGAACCCATTCGACCTAAGTCTGCCCTAAATATAATTTGTTTTGCTTTAAAAATTGTTAATTAATATAACTGCTAATAAAACAGATTGTTAATATATTAACATAAATTGTTCAGTATCATTGTGATAATTTCATTTCGCCCACTTTATCACTGCTTAGATTTTTCAACGATATCATCATTAAAATATGAATTCATAGTTCAAGTGTATTTATATGGCAAATGTTATTTGAATTTCAAATTTAAAACTTCTATTATTTATTAAATAGATGAAATTAGGTATAGAAGAATTTTTTCCTACCTATTCAGCGTTGCTTGTACATCAGATCCGTAAAATTTCTTAAGCCAAATATTGAAATCATTCGTGAAATATGCATTAATCACTTCGCAGAATAGTAATATCAACTGTTGTTTTAACATTTTACTAAAAATTAAATATTTCATATAAGTTAAATATTTCATACATATATAGTATATATAAGCTTAACAAATAACAATCAGAATTTCGCAAACTTTCTTAAAAATAAAGTTCTGAAAAAATTTTGTAATTGACTCGTAATTTTAAGAATTTTATGACCGTCAAGATAATCCTCGAAATTTTATGACTGTCAAGATGATCTTCGAAATTTTATGACTGTCAGAATAATCTTCGAGCTACCGTACACATATAAAAGGCGGAAAACTGGTGTAGAAATTGTTGGCATAGAAATTGCTTCAATTATACAAAAATAAAACTTTCACGTAGATTAATTCAAATTAATTTGCATATGTTAGTTAGCTCACAACTTGACAGACAACAGTACAATCAATATATAAAATATCAGCCAAATTTGTTGAATTTCGCTGTAGGCCTAACAAATTTAACTGACATTTGCATTGGTCATTTGCAGTTTAACTGACATTTGCTTGGTCATTTAACTGACATCTATTTGAGAAGATAAGAGAAAATTTTAAATGATTTAAAAAACACAATAAATAAGTTAAATCTAAATGATACACATTTGAATTGGTCATTTGCATTTGACCAATGCAAATGTCATTGGTCACTTGGAGTTTAACTGACATTTGCATTGGTCATTTGCACCTGAGATGATAAAAGAAAATTTTAAATGATATAAAAAACAAATAAGTTAAATATAAATGATACAAACAATTAAAAATAATATCAATAACAGTTTTTTTTTGATTAAATTATCTTTGAATAAAGGCAAAGATAATAGTAGTGAATGATGATGGTGATAACAATGTTTGATAATGCTGATATTAAATCACAAACAATGAATTTAGTTAGGGATAAAAATGAAGTCGTAATTTCGGTTAATAAAAGAGAAAGATAGAATAAAGAATGGATAGAGTGAGTAAATTAATTCTTAATTAATCATCACAACAAATTCCGGTTTGAAGGATGATTTAACCTTTCACATTTTAATTAACACAAATCAAATTTCTTTTGTCTTATTATTATAAAAAATGTTATTACTACTACTGTTTTGGGAAATAATAAATAGCATCATTTCCTTTGCATATTTCAATTATTTTTGCTAATTTATTTATTCTTTTACATTTTCATCATTTCAAATTTTACATTGTTGAAAATGAAAAATCGAATTGCACCGAATAATCGCCGGATTTGAAATTTATAATTTCATAATTCTGATTTAATTTCAAATTCAGTGTCATCATAGTTTGATTGATATTCGTAATGGATAGAAGTGAATCTATTGCTTCTTATATTTATTCAAATTCTACTTCTTATATTCTACTTATTTAGAATTTTGAAAATGTCACAAAATTCTATTTTGCGGCAAAATAGGAAGTGGCGATACTAAAATGGATATGAAATGGACAATTTCTATTTTCACGTACATTTTAAAAGTATAATAAATAACAAAAAGATAATACTAAGAAACAAATAACAAACCTGCAACTTGTTTTATTGATAGGTTTAGAAAGATAAGAAAAAAAGTGATTATCATATCGTGCAATCCCTATAAGTTGTAGTAAAACCATATAAGTTTGATGACGTGTTGTTATCCTATAAGTTTAGTGACAGCCAATGTTACAACTTATGTAGTCAAACTGGACATCCGAGTGATTATCATACCGTGCAGTACCCTATAAGTTTGATGACATTTACCCTATAAGTTTGTTATTCTACAAGTTTGGTGACAGCTAATGCTACAGCTTATGTCAAGCTGGAAATCCGAGTGATTATCATATCGTGTAGTTACCCTATAAGTTTAGTAACAGCTAATATCACAGCTTATGTCAAACTGAACATCCGAATTATTGCAAATTTTTTCTGACAACTAATGTTTTGATCATTGTTAATCTTCAACTTTGACCTTGAAATATTTTCAATAATGTATTTACAAATGGCTCAGGTATTTTTACATATTTTTCTTTGCTTTCTACTTTTGTTCCTTCTTTTTTCCTTTTAATATCGCTTTAAATGAATGATAAATTTAAGATAGAATGCTTTATCAGTTAATATGTTCTTTGCATATGTTATCATGCCTTATAAAATTTATCAATTTATCAGTGTATAAAACATTTAGTCGTTGTTCTCTTCCTATAATTCCATTTGCAACTTTCATCACCTTAATTTCAAAATTATCAGTTAAAATTTAAAAATGGAAAAAACCATCATTTTTACTTTTATATTATTACAACCGGTGATCCTTAATAATTTAACAACAAGTATGTTTAAGGTAAATATAACTATTTATAACTATTTTAATATAACTATTTTAAGGTAAATATAACTATTTATAACTATTTTAATATAACTATTTTAAAGCAAATATAAGATATAACTATAAGTATTTATTATTTTTATTTTAATATATTTCTTTATAACAAAATTTACTTCTAAATAAATATTATTACTATCATTTCTATACTCTGTTTAAATTTGTTAAAATTTAAAAATTTCAATGGTTCTTTTATTTTAATAGTGATAGCTAATGTTAGTGACAGCTAATGTCATAGCTTATGTCAAAGTGGGCATTCGAATTATTGCAAAATTTTTTCTGACAACTAACGTTTTGATCATTGTTAATCTTCAACTTTGACCTTGAAATATTTTCAATGATGTATTTGTTAACTTCTCATAATTCATTACCTTTTTCAAATTGCTGATTTTTAAATCAAACTCAAAAAGCTTTATAAACTAATTGTTTCGAGATATATGCATATTAATTTAACAAAATTTAATTGGACTAAGAAAAAAGAAAAGTATTGATTGAGAAGCAAAATTCTTTCATCTTAGCTAATGCAACATTTTTCAGCAAAATAAACTGAATTTAAATTTTTTAATAAATTCTCTTCCTTTGTAAATTGTATTAAAAACTTTTTTGGTATTAAATTTTAAAATAATTTAGTTTTAATTTCTTTTTTCTTAAATTAACAAATTTTAGATAATTGCTGATTCAAAATTAAAAGAGCCAAGAAATAATTATGGCAAAGCAATTGATATAGCTACTACAACTGATCAGAGCATCTTTCGTTGCTTACTTCAACAAGGTTTTACGGTTGCATTCATTCGAGTATATCTATCAAACGGAAATGGCAATCCGGATAGCAATTGTATTGCTAGTATCTACTATGCTGCTAATGGTTGATTCCTTTTTGATAAAGACATTTGAAATTTTTGATAACTTTATCAATCGAATTGATCAAATATCTCAAATCACTTTTTTTTGCTACATGCTAATATCATATAATGAAATATGTTGCAGAACGATTAGGCGTTGAAATTTATGTGGAACCACAACCTCTAAATTCTGCAAAAACTGGAAGTGGACAATTTATGGAAGTGTATACATTCCTGATAAATAATAATATTGCAATGAGAGCTATTTGGATTAAGGTAAAATTTTTGGATCATTTATTTCCATTGTTAATTTTACAAAAAATAAATCCTAAAGAATTTAAATTTAATAATTTTTATCAGCCTGAATTAAATTTTTTTCTCGAATAATTAAGACTTTTGTTAATTTCAGGTAACAACACCAATTAATTGGCCTAAAAATCAAGTTGCTAATGTTAATTTTATCAATGAATTTATTATTTCTGCTTGGGTGAGTAACAATAGTAAAAATTAATTGCTTATTTTTAATTAATAGCATCAAAAAGGCAATTCCCCTTTTTTGATTTCTTATTATATTAGAATTGCTAAAAATAGATGTTTCAATTTTATTAATTACAAGCTTAAATTTATTTATTTATTAGATTTTAAAATAAGCATTTCAATATGAAATTATTATAGCGATACGGTATTGCAGTAGGTATTTATACTAGCTGGTATGATTGGAAACAGATAACAGCTGGACAGTTAGCAACCGAACAAGGAAAAATTCGTCTTTGGTAATTTTCAAAATTAAATAATAGCAAATATTATTTAAAATTATAATAGTTATCTATTATTCTATTATGACTGTTATTCTAGGCTATTATTCGTGGTTGCTTGGCTAATTTCTTTTACCATTTTCAGGTATTGGAATTCATTGGGTTTAGGCCCGAATGCTGCAACTTCACCAACATTTGATGATTTCCGAATTTTTGACGGATTTAAAATGCCAACAGTGAAACAATATGCTCAAAATGAATATATATGTGGAATATACGCTTCCTTAAATGTCTATGTCAATGAAATAGCAATGAAAGCTTCTTTACCTCTTAATATGGCCAATGTTATAGTTGTTGGCAATCTTCCTTATCGATAATGGCCAAGTTTGCAACTGAGAAAGAAGGAAAAATAAAATTATCGAAACGAATGAATAATTGAAATGACATAATAATCGAAATAAATGAATAATCGAAATAACATGATGATCGAAATAACATAATAATTGAAATAACATAATAATCGGAATAACATAATAATCGAAATAGCATATGAATAATCGAAAACAAATAAATAATTAAAATAATATATCATCGCTCGAATTAAATGAATAATTGAAATAACACAATAATCGAAATGAATAATCGAAATTAAATGAATAATTAAAATATTATTATCATTGTTTGTGTATTAATTATAATGTTTGCTTTGTATTTTTGGCTTTTCAAAATTGCTATAATCAACACAATCTTCAATGAACCAAAAAATATCTTTCCTCTCTTAAAAATATAATCTTTGTTATAAGCCGATAATAGATTATGTTGTATTAGACTTCTAAAATTTGATATCTCTGATTTATAAAATTTTTCTCTTACTTTTGCACGTTCCGTCTATTTGTCTCGAGAAAATGATGACAGTTTTCAAAGTAAATTTTCACCTTGAAAATTGAAATTAATCACTGATAATGGAAACTTCTATTATAAATGCTTTATGAAAATTCATATTTAATCCGTAGCTCTTTTAATATTTTTATGAAAAATTATTAACCGACATTTTTTCCTGGACTACTTCTCTTTTCTTAAATCAAAAGAAAGCCTGAAATATTGATGTTTCAGGCTTGAAATGTTTACTTCGAATAATTTGAAGAAATTCTTGCATTACTTTATCGGATATTGACTGTTCAAGTTAATTAAAGTTACACAGGTCATTTATCATATAAATGATATTATTGATAGTGCTTCAATTCAATTTTGAACTTTTTTCAACCTTCTACTATCCAATAATTTCATTCCGAGCCAATATTAAATTCAAATTTCATTTTCAAATTTAATTTTATGGAATGTTTGTTTCAGCGAATCTTTTCAAACGACAATTTGTGCAGATTTCTGGAAATGAAAAAGATAAGATCATGGATTACATGATAAGTTAGAATGAATTAAATGATAAGCTGACATCGTGGGCTTATTTCCTACTTTACTAATTAAAAATTTCTTATTAGAGATATACGTGTAGTACTACTGACAAATCAGATAACAAAGATGCAGCAGACGTACCAATCATCGGATACATATATAATAAATTATGCAAATAGGAATTATGCCTTGAATCTCATATAGTTCAACTTTTAATTTTTATAATAATGTCATTGGTATGTTGAATCAGAAGAGCTTGATGGGTACCCGAATACAAGACTGCTCAGTTGTGAAAATTGACAGCAATCGATCCGGCTAGCTCATCCAAACGATTATCATGCCGAAAATTGCTTGAGCTTTTTATCTTACATTCATATAAGAAGCAATTTTACTTCAATAATGTTTACAATTAAATACGAAACAATATAAAATCCGAGGCTAACTCAATTAAATTGAATTCTGACCGACGACCACATTTAAACTAACAAAAAGGTGGAAGTCCTAAGGAAAAAATTACAATATTCAACAAATGCTCATACCAATCTGATATTTCTTTCACATGCCATAGCATCAACATGCCTACAGCAAAAATAAAAATTCAGAAGGATTTCGATGAACTAGCAATTTGAAAATCTAAAAGTTAAGATAGGAATAGGTATGTAACAATTGATTTCTTTCTATAATCGGAAAGGAAAATATTAGATTCGTGTTTGCTTTGTACTTTTTTTCTTCGTATGAATCAATTCAGAAATGATAATTTTAATAACTTATAGCAAAATGAACAAACAAATACATCACAGCATAAATTATACACAACACGAATAAAGGAAATGAAAACAAATAAATCAACAAGAGTAACTTTAACTTATGAGAATTGTAACACCTAAGATAATACAACTTTGGTAAAAGATATGATAATTTAACAATAAATAAATAAAATAAAATCAATGAGTTGTATAAAACCAACAAAAAAGTTTCTATCTGAAATGTTGATCGGTAGCACGTCTAACTGAAAGATAAAAAAGTTTCTTATAACTATGCTAAAACAAATTGGATTAGCATCCTATTGTTTTCAAAAACGACTTCAAAATCAAACGCCGAAAATAAAGTCTAAAAACAGTGATGATAAGCTTTACACAAATTTAAGTCCTGAAACAGTAAATCATCTCAGAGCAGCTCAATTCATGTTAATTTGTTTCACAGTAGTACTGCACAGGAAATCAAAATGATCTATATTAATTTATGACATTCTTCTGTGGACGACAATTTTTCGTTCAACTGTCAAATAAAACATCCACCGTATCGGCTAATTTCAGTAAACATATCCTTAACGTTTAGAAATGTTTCATCACTACATGAAGGAAAGGTAGTAATATACAATGCATTTTTAACGTCAATTATTACAACTCATAAGACTGAACAGGAAATAAGGCCTAAATCTAATGCAGAACCATTTCACAAGATGACAATCATTTACTGGCGCTGAAGTGAAACAGTGGAAACTACAATAAAATTATGGTTAAAAATAAATTTCAACCGCAACACATATCGAGCAACTGTAAATGTCAACTACGGTTGAAAACAAAATATTTTTGGTTAGCCCCAAAATTCTACTCTCATAAAATATTATCTGTCATAAAACTTGCTGGGACTCACCATAGGTGAGAAAGATTCTGCAGTTTCATCACATTTCGATAAAAAGCCAAGATTCACTTCGTCTCTCAAAATTACTAAAACGAAAAAGGACTAAATGCCCGCTTTGCTTCATGTAGCTGTTCCTCAAGACGTCGTTTTTTGCTATCTTCACGAGTTTCCTGTATAATTTTTTCTAACAATACTACATTACTATAAAATTCTGCAACATTATGAAATATTCTGATATATCGATCACCGCAACTTGCTATCATTTTCCCGCATGAACTCATCCGTAGGCCAGTTATTGGCTTATCATGTGCATCCAAAACTAAACAGAATGATTTAAGAAATGAAGACATAGGCTATTATAATATAATACTAAGTTTGAATTTGTTATATTACACTATTTGTTGTGCTTTAATGATTAATAAACATTAAACTCCACTATATCATTCCATTACTTCTGTGTTATTAAATTCTGGCAAATCTTTGAATCATTTAATAAAATATTTTCAAAAGTAATAAAAAAATGATTCTATGGCAGATGCATAACATGGATAAAACATTACTAAATCGTACGGAGTATTTCAAATTAAAGCATTACAAATATTCCAGAAACATACTGATTTTAAATTCTTTCTGAGGATGCAAAGTGCTGTACAAACGTATATGACGATTGGCTGATATAGCAAAGCTATTTCCCGATGAACTCATGGCTACTTTGACTGATTTTGGATTAGCATTCTTCAGCACTTCAAATTCACCACTGCAAAATATTAGATTTACTTCATTAATAATTAGTAAAGGTAAACTATATAAATTTTTTCCGCGTACCTAGCAATAATCTTAGCTTCTTCCCCTTGTGAATAAGTGACATCAGTATTGTAGACTTTCCATGTTCCATCCTTAGATGCTGTAACACATCGTGTTGAACTCTGATCGAAAGCAAATGAATAAATACCAGAGTTGTGACCCTAGAAATATATTTCTTCGAAGATTTCATGCCATTTCTAGAGCAATTGAAATTAGAATTACTAAATGATATTCCTATTGCCTAATAAATAGGAATAATTACCTTGTTCCTAATTATTACTGCTTGTGATTATGATTAAAAATCAAATATTTTGAAAGCAAAACCCTTTCTTTCATTTAATGTACATTGTGGAGTTCCAATCTGGAACGTTTCCAATTTAAAATACCTTTCTTTGTCGAGTGCCCGAAACAGTTCACAGGATTAGTACTGCACCTTTTCCAATTTAAGATAATGCAAAATACAAAATCAAATTAGAACCTCTAGTATTTTTTTTCTTTTCACATCCTGGAAGTTTCCTTGACGATCAAATAATACCTGAAGAAATCTTGAAATGTAGAACTCACAATCCTGAATACTTCCTAATTCTGAATCAAAAACAAAAAAAAATAATTCTGCAATAACGAACTTCAAAAATAAAGACATTGGGTGTAAAACCGCTTGCTCCAACAAAACGACCACAAGGTGAAACACATGCGTTGTAGAGAATGTTCAATTTTAGTTCAATCTTTTTGAGGACCTCTCCATGAATGCTATATATCACAAGCTGATTATCAGCTGAAGCCGACATCACAAATTTTCCTATAAAAAGATTGTTATAGAATACTCTTGAATAGTTTAGAAGGATTAATTCCAGACTGCTCGGTTTTAGAACGATCAACAAATCAACTAATCAGGAAACAAAAATTTTCCGATTACGAAGTATAGATTTCAAATAGTTAGAGATACTGATTCACAGCAATCCCAAGTTAAGAGGGAATGACGAATGAACACATAAGTAGAGCAGTGATTGAAATTACATACGTACATATTTAAACGCTTACCATTACAAGCAATTCCAATGTTATTGATATCTTCAGCATGGATAACTGGAAATTCAACACTTTCAACAGGTGAGATCTTATAACTCTGACTACCTTCCTTCTTGGTTATTTTATAAACACCCAGCTGAAAAATTCAAATTGCAATGAATAATTCAAACTATTAGATATTTGCTGATGCCTGAAGAACAAATTTAAAACCTTGTTAGCAATTTGTAGACTCATAAGGACACATTTTGAATCAGGTGAAAAGACGATATGACTTGCACAGTCCAATTCAACACTACAACGATGCAATTTATGATCACGTTCACCGAAATCCTAAAAGACACTTCTAAATTGAGGTGTTCAGTTAAAAGCTTTAACAAAAGTCATGTGATATCTCAAATACATCATTAGTTAAAAAAATTTCTGGAATGAATATTTCGAATTATTGTCATTAATTTATGCTTCTTACTATTAATTACTATTAATGCCTTCCTTTAATTGTTTGTATTATTTCTATCGAACTTTCAATAGATCTTAAGCTTACAACTTATGTCAGAAAAATTTTTTTTTGAACTTGTAAGATAGAGGAGAACATACTTATTCATCCTTCATCCTTACAAACAAATATAAGTTATATACTTAAAATTAGTGCTTGAAAATACATAACTAAACAGCACAAACCAAAATGCTGCGATAAATAACCTTAACATTCCAGAGATACAGAGAGCGATCCGAGCTAATTGATGCAAGATATCTACCATTTGAAGAAAAATCCAAATCCACGACATCACTTACATGCCCTTTTAGTGTTGTCAAAAGCCATGGATGTTCAAATTGTGGTGCTCGCATCTGAAAACTAACAAAAATATTTTCTTTAACTTCAAATAAATTAAGGAAATGTTTGCGAAAGCACTATAATCTTGATCCAATTGATTTTACCAATTTTTCCCGTGTTAACTTTCTTACAATAATAAATCGGTATTTGCCTAAATCAGTATTTCTCTTGATCCTTATCTTATAAGCAAACCAAAACCACATGTCGTACTTTGTTAAATTTCCATTTTCCTTGCTTCTTTGCATCTTTCGAAAAAGAATTAGGTTTATTTTCTGCTTCCAAATTTTCGTCTTCCGTATTTTGCTCTGAGTCTGTCAAATCTAAAAAACGAAATAAAACATTTTCTTGATTTTATCAAGAGCAACTTAAAAATTGAAGCATCTTCATAGCCAATGGATATTTAAATATCTAATTTTAAAAATACCAGAATTATATGAAATAGATAGCAAGCAACTTACACTAATAAAAAAAAGGTATAAATGATTCGAGTAATTAATCCTACAGGAAATCCAAGCGTGATAATTATCTGCTAATTACAAGACGGAAACAATATAGAGAGGGAGAGAGAACGAGTGAAATATGAAACACTTGAACCGTAAATCAAACTACTTGAAGAAATAATAAATGGTGTAAACAATATTTTAGAAACTTAGTTGATACCAAGAAGAGACTGTAATAATTACTACTTACTGATTCCAATTTTTAATCAATTATTAACGACACAAATGAATTTAATCGGGATATTACTTAATTATCAGAAATTTCAAATAAAATAACTTTGTCTTTTGTTTCGCTCTTCTTGTCCGTATCCCATCTCATCCATACAAATAGGAAAATAATGAAAGCAGTCAATCCGGAAAACAAGATGAAAAAATATCCGATGTATGCAGGCTCAAAATCATTCTCTGTTGATATCATGTTGGCCATTAACTCTTCAAAATAAAACTTTTTCAAATAAAATTGTGAATTTAACTTATTTTTCACTCGAGCTTCCATAAAAGTAACTTTTTCTCTTACGGATTAATAGCAAAATAGAGATCCTTTACAAAAAAAAAAGTACACCTAAATCGGATACATTATTTTACACTAGTTACGGTAATAACGTATTTGAGTTGCCCTGCCTTGTAAATCAGGAAATGAATGATCGGATTAATATACCGGAGAATTTCGTATTGGTAGAATAAAAATTTAGGATGACGAAAGTGCAGGCACTCGAAATGGCTAATGATTTCTCAAATTATTTGCAAATTAATTTCCAAGTAACTGAAAAATAAACGCGTTAGGCTAGGAGTCGAAATGCGAAAGCTAAATTGTTCCTGAAAATTGCTAGCGATTACGTAGGCGCTAATGGTGTGAAGCGGCAATCATTTGGTTTTGCTTATTGTTTTCCTTCTTTTCTGTTATGACAGTAGTCACATCAAGTAATGATTAATTAATTTTCAAATTTAATTTGTATTGCAATGTTTTCATTGTGACACATAATCAGATATTGTTTTTTCTTTTGTTTTTATTTTCTCATGTAAAAAACAATTAAGAAATTCAAAATTTTTAGTTTTTAAAAGTTCCTGGATGTCTTTGAAAGGAAATGGATGAGACGAAGCAAAGATTAATAAAGCGACAAAAGGAAAAGAGGAATGAAGGAAGCATGTGTGGTATATATGCTTCTATGTGACACGTAAACGTTAGAAGACTATGGATGAATAGCTGATTTATAATTGGGATAATTAAGGATATGCTTATGTTTCAGGCATCACATCCAAGCTCGCTGATTTAATGGAGGATTCTAGTGACCTCCGTGATCGGCCAAGTATTGTTTCCCGTTTTTTCTCAAGTTTGACTGTGGTTCGTTATTTCTTTTCTTTTCCATACTTTAAATATTACATTCAAAATTTGTTTGATTCTTTGTTCAGTATGCAGCTTTCTGTACAGTTGTACAGTTCATGCTACCTCATTTTATGATGTTCTTGAGATGGAGTCTTACTGTTTCAATCGCTGAAGGTAGTTTTTTAAGGATTACATAATAATTTTTATCTGAGTTAATCGGAGTTATTCTGAAGTGGTTAAGGTGCTAAATATATCAAAAGCTATGTTACTGATACTTGAAGTGTGGAAATAGATCCATTCATATTTTAATACTTCCTGCAGAGGACAAAATACTCGGGTGTGAATTATGTTAAATTTGCGAATATCTAGAAAAGTTATAGAATTTGTAAAATGACTCATATCTTCCAGAAATATCAGTATTACTTGGATAAATTAACACCGTATAGTTCGATTCGGTGGGGAATCGCGATTGCTTTCGTCATTCTCTTTCTTTGGCGAATCGTCGAACTACAAGTATGGTATTTTTGTTGTATGTTAGACTTTTGCGCTTTAGCCGAGATGGTCGAATAAATCTTTTCAGAGGACACTAGTTCAAATAGTTTGACAGTAGCGTTTTCCGTTAGACATAATTTTGTTATTCGGATTCCATTAGATGATCGAATAATTATGACAAAGTGCTGATTATTCTTACATTTTTTCTACATTTTGCTTCTTTCAGGGTTTCTACATTGTTACTTATGCACTCGGGATTTATTATTTAAATCTGTTTCTTGCATTTTTAACACCGAAAATCGATCCAGCACTTGATTTTGAAAGTGAAGGTGAGAAAACATTTTCTTAGTCAAGTGATATTTAATAGAACACAACAATGTGTTTGAACCTCCTTTTTGATGTTATTCGTTTATATATGTTCCTTGGAAATGGATCATTTTTCAAGCTTTGAAATCATATAGCATAGTCTGTGTTGAAAAGGTGAGAAAGTTAGAATATGTATTCAAATCAGTTATTTAAGATGAAGATGGACCGACTTTGCCATCTAAAGGAAGTGAAGAATTTCGTCCATTTATGAGACGGTTACCGGAATTTAAATTTTGGTGAGTTGTCAATGATTTAGCTTACTTTTTCTTCACATATATCTACAATGGATTCCTAAATGATTGCTCTGTCCTTAGGGAAAACTGTGCATTACAGTTTAAGCGCAAAAAGGTTCGGCTAATGGTACTTATTTCCCATAAGTTTAAATCAGAAAATACTACTACTTCATTTCCAGAATAGTAGGATTATTTTTCAGGTATTCAGCTATTAAAGCAACAGTAATTGGATTTATATGCACATTTTTTGAAATATTCAATGTTCCAGTTTTTTGGCCTATACTCGTCATGTATTTTATCGTATTAACTTGTCTGACTATGAAACGGCAAATTATGGTACAGTTTTGCTTTGAAAATGAAGTGGCTTATGCTGTTAAAAAATTCGGAAAATGAGTATTTTCTGAATTTCCTGTAAAGTGAATGAAGTTACCTGTCTTATTCGGATTTTAAGTTTCTAGTAATGTTAAATAGTTGTTTAATTTTGGTGACTGCTCTGTCAATTACCCTATGTGCGGTTGACTATTATGATATTATAATCATTTTTTTTTTGGCTAATGTATAGTAAGCAGAAATTCGATTTATGTTCAATTTCAGCATATGGTAAAATATCGCTACATACCATTTACTACGGGGAAACCGCGAATGCGTGGAAAAGAAGATTCCGGTGTGGTTGTGCAAGGCTAGTGCCTCATACTACTTCGTCTGTATGTGACTATCAGTTCTTTCAGTTCTGGTATTTGAAGCAGTAACTATCGTTCCTCGTTGTTCTAGTTTTAAACATTATTTACTGCTATTATCGTGATTCAGTTGTTTGTGAAATGGCTTATTTGACTGACTTGGTTAAAAACGGAATTTTTGCTTTTAAATTTCAAAAAAAAGCTTCATTTTCTTTTTAAAATATAACTCAAAATTCTGATGATTTTCATTTATGCGTCATTTTTCCTAATAGTTACATTGATATCGAGACGAGATGTTGTAAATGTTACCAATAAACTTTAAATTATTGTTTAAAATCTAAAAAATATTGAAATTGATTGAAAATTTTTTGTTTTTTTTTCAGCTGAATCTACTGTGATTTGAAAGAATCGTTACATAATCAGAATACGCTACTTCTCATTGCTTCTTAGCAACAGACAATTTCTTCTCCAGATATATTGAAAGTGAACTGCCTTCATTGCACAAAAATTCTTAATTTTATCATTTATTTCCTCATTTCCTAGTAGTACTCATAAATAGGACGTGCGATATGACTGTGCAATCATAGTCTGACTATCGATAGCGATTAATGTTGTTATTGTTGTGTTATAGCGAGGTTAACAACTGGTTTAGTTTTCATATCTATTTGATTTTCTGTAAGGTAATGATAATGATAAACTGCAGGTAATGATATCGGTTGTTCCATTCTATCGCTGTTATAAAACTGTTGATATTTATACATTTTAAGGATTTAATTATCTGGGAATAACATATCTTAATTTTGTAAAAGCCAAGTTAAATTCTATATACTTGTTGAATGTTACATTAATATGAAGTACAATTACATTTTATTCTATCAAAAGATGACAACTGAATATGATAGACTGGAATTTAATGTTTCTTATCGAAAGATAATAATATAGGAGGTCATTATTTCTTGCTGGACGAAGGATAATATTTAACGACTGTTCTATTTGCGTCTTTAAATTGAACATTTTATGGATAAAATATTATTTTGTATTTGTTTATGATGTGTTAAATTATTCGGTATTAACAATTTTTTAATGAAGATTCTAGTTTCATTTATGTAATTATAATTCAATATCCCTAATATTTCTTTTCTGCATTCGTTCAATATATGTCAGTGTTTGACGATTATTTCCAGTCGACGGAGCACTTTGCGAACCATTGTTCCATAGTCCCACTGATCATGGTGGTAAATGTGAACAAGTTTTATCGGTCAAAAAAAGCAGCTACCTTTTGTTCTAACAGCTATTGTTGTGTAATAATAAAGGAGTTTTTCCCAAGAGAGTGGTGAAATGTTTTTTGAATGGTCTTTTTCCCAGTGTTTACTTTTGTGTTTTATTTGATATGGTTTATGGTAATCATGAGGTTTTAAAATGTGGCGCGTGTTTTATAGTGTTAGTTAAATTAAGTACTCTACTGGTTTTAATTGGGTTCTATGAAATGGGCAGATTTTTCTTTTGGTATTTACGTACACTGTGCTTTGTTTTAACTAGACTCGTTTATTTGTGAAGTAATGAAATGATAGAAATATTTGCCGTTATAGATGGTGCGAGATTCATTCGATGGTGGACACACAGGCGATCCAGAACGTGATCTTGCCTATGAAAGAGAGCATGTGCGACGAGGTTTGTTTAATACAAGTGATAGTTTTTAATGTAATTATAAGCCAATTCATATAGCTGGCCGCGGTGATAAGTGGTAGATAGTGAGAAGAAAATATGTGGACAGAATAGAGCCTTTTTATAAACGAGAAAATAGATTGAACTTCTGCTGTTAATGCTAGGTTTTTAGGTGTGAAGTATATGCATTTTTACATTAATAGCAAGTGAGGAAAAGTGAAATATCTTATAACTTTCAGTAGGCGATGAAGGTTATTTTTCCGTGACAATTCTGATCTGAGTGTATTGTCTCAGCACATGATAGATAATTAACCGTGGGTTATCCGAAAGTGGAATAATTGAAGATTTAAATCTTCGGTAGCCTTTTCTGAGATTAAATTATGCGAAATTATTTAATAGTTAACTTATTTAGACAGTTGTATTAAGTATACAATTAAGTATACAATATTAAGTATACAAGACAGTTGTATTAAGTATACAGTAAAACAGCTATATATGATTAGGTCGCATAAGTGGATAAATCGATATTGTGTTATATGTGGATATTATATAATGCTTGGCATGCTATATATTTTTTAGATACTCTAAATGATGAAATGGTACCAGACGATGTTGCACAATATTTGATTTATTTCAAACGAATGATTGATGAAGAAAATGTTGTCGAAATACATAATCTCTACGAGCACGGCTTTCCAGACCTTACTGAACGTTATTTCCAGCAACGTCTCTGGCCAAACGAAGAAGCGGTGGAAAATATTGTTGGTTCAGGTTCGTTATTGCTCTCTTTTTGAAATGAGAGATATTTTATATAGTTTTTCAAGAAAAGGATTTCCAAAAATTCTGATATAAAAGATTCTTTTTGCAACTTGAATATGAGAATATGATTACTTTCAAAGTTTCGATGTCAGTGGTCACAGATCTTAATATCGCTTATGCAATCGGGTTTAAAATCATTTTAAACCTCTTCATGATGCATATACATTCAAAACTGAATAGTTTTGAATGTATATGCATCATGAAGATTTTCAATCGTTCTATGATAAAATCCTTCAATATTTTATGAAAAGATAATGAAAAGTACCTGATCTTCAATCTTAAGCTGCAAAAGAAAACTATTGCATTTCCAGATAGTCGAATCTTCATTATTTTGTACAAGGAGCTATACTTTCGTCACGTGTATACTCGAATGCAACGCGGTCCATCTTTGGCTCATCGTTTTGATTCATATCAAAATTATCAGGTTGGTTGCAGAAGGTATTGCATACATAGTTCAAAGAAAAATTCTAGTTTTAATCAAATATGAAGTTTCTTACTACAGGAATTATTTTGCGAAGTATTGACGCCCGAGAAACAACCGTTGTCACTTCAATTACCAAATGTCTGGCTTTGGGATATCATCGACGAATTTGTTTACCAGGTAATAATTACGTATTCATTTTGCTCAAATGTTTATTTTTTACTATTTGTCAGTAATTGTTTGTTTTAAACATCCTGTAGGTACCTGAACCTTTTTTGTGCTGATCAACAAATGCTCGTTATTTAGGTCAAAATTGAAAGATTAATTCAAGTCATAATTGTTTCTAAAACTCTGCAACTTTGCAAATATGACGGCGGTACATCCATTGTCAGAATTATTAAAATTAATGTTCATACTTATAATTTTTCAGTTTCAAGCCTTCTGCCTATACAAAGCAAATCCTGGAAAAAGAAGTCCCGAAGAATATGAAGATCTTCTTTCGATTGAGCAGAATCAGAGTGTATGTATTTTTATACTTGGGTAGCGGAACTTATGTTGCTTAATTTCCGATTACATTACAGGCCTGGAACATTTATCCAGTATTGAATATTCTGTATTCTTTGTTGGCAAAATCACAGATTGACGAGCAGTTGCTGGCTATACGGGAAGGAAGTAAGTAATTTTAATCAAGTCGGTACTTGTAGTGCAAAATTTTCCATTACTGATACTACTGTTTGAGGATGATATGGCTAAAAAATGGTGAACTTCACTTTAGATTTTGATATTTTATTTTATATTTTGATATATTCTTTTTTCGTGATACTGCAATGAACGTATAAGTGGAATTTGATATCTCATATATTTATTGGTAGTATAACAGATTTAATTCATTACGGAAATTGTTCAGGAAATCCAGACGATGTCGCAGATGATTTTGGCCGTTCTGCTTTATATTTTAAGCTTGGTTACTTCTCCTTAATAGGGTTGCTTCGTACACATGTATTGCTTGGGGACTATCATCAAGCGTTGAAAACTGTTGAAAATCTTGAGCTTGACCCAAAGGTATTACCAAAGAAAATATCCATTTATTTTCGCCTTTTTTGTCTGATGAGACGATTTTACTGAAATACGTTGTCAAACTCAATCTTTGAATACCATCTCGCCCGTTCCATTCGCATCCTTATCTGAGATTAAGAAAAAGTAGTTATTATTGTTAACTCTGTCTTAACAGTCGAAGTGTCAAGTTTCATTTCAAATTTGTTGTTTAACATGATTTGTAGTTATCATACTCACAGTATGCGCTCAGATATTCAGGAATGAAGTTGAGCAAGTTGAACTCATGTGGATAAGTCAAATTCAAAATTTATCCGGAAATTCATATTTTTCAAATTCATCTTCGAGATATATCAGTTTTTATTCCTAACTGTCGATTTCGTTCTAGTGATTTAGCAATTTTATTTTTTTTCAGGGCTTATATAACACTGTTCCTTCATGTCTAGTTACATTTCACTACTTCGTTGGCTTCTCCCATATGATGATGAGAAATTATGGTGAAGCTACAAAAATATTCGTGAACTGCTTGCTTTATATACAACGAACTAAAAGTATTCAGCAACAAAATCAACAACAGAAAAAGAACTTTCAGTATGATGTAGTAAGTGCCCAGCGTTTGTGAAAGTAATTACGAGGTAGCTCACTGCGTTGAACGTCTTATTAAATCGATTCATCTGCTTGTTACAGTTACTTCCTTTCTCGAGTTTTTGTATTCAATAAAAATAAAAGCGAGAGCACTATAAAGATGGCACTGACTTGTCTTTGTTTACGATAGTTTTTTCCTGGATTTCATCAATTTTCAAGAACTTTTCGGAGAAAATTTTCATTTATGGTTTTATGATTCGGAGCTTTACAGATTGGAAAAACGAACGAGCAGTTATATCATTTACTGGCTATTTGTTTGACCCTACAACCTCAACGCATTGATGATTCTATCCAGTCACAGCTGCATGAAAGAACTGGTGAACGTATGAATCACATGAGTAATGGGTCAGTTAGAAAACAATTAAAAATAATTAGAGTTCAACATTGAATTTACGGTTCATATCTATTTTTGAGGTCGTTTTTGTAAAATGCTTTCTACCACTAATAAAAGTCACTGAATTAAATTGGAATTTGTTTTCTCAAATAAATATTGTATTGATAATTAGAAAAAGAAAAAACTGGTTTTATATATTATAATAGCAGCGAATAAATCAAATTCACACGGCATATTAATGTCTTAAATTATAATGTTATTGGATTTTGTTTTTCAGCAACATTGATGAGTTCCGTCTTGCTTTCCAACAAGGATGCCCAAAATTCTTATCTCCAACCACAGTAGTTTATGAAGGTCCAAATCAAGCGAAGGTTAATTTTCATTGTTCGATTAGTAAATTCAGTAATTGTTTCTTTCACGTTTAACTCGTTAGTGGCTTCGGTATAAAGTCATGGCGAAGAAAATAAATATTTCATGGAATTTTCAACTTTCATATTTTTAGGAACCATTACTCCGTCAGTGTAATGCTTTTCTAGAAGAAATTGAATCACAAATTATGTTACCAATCCTACGAGGCTATTTAAAATTGTATACAACTTTACCAACGAGAAAGCTTGCGAGTTTCATGGATGTTAGCGGCAAGTTTTTATCATTTATCATGCAGTTCATTTTTCTTCATATTCATATCGAAGACATATGCTTGCATTAGATATGCTTGCATTTTTATGTATATGCTTTTTATGTATATGTATATTTTTATGTATATGACATATGCTTGCATTTTTATGTATATGCTTGCATTAGCAAAATAAAATTATCCTGAGTTGTTGGTTAATTGCAGACGCCGATTATGATTCATTTGTTGGGAAATTATTGAGTTTCAAAATGATCGTCAATGAGTTGGGCAAAGAATGTATAGATCGATGTGAAATCGACGATTCGACGACAGATCTTGATTTCTATGTTGACAAGGTACATTATCTTCTTATGCTCTTAATTATTTAATCGGGTTTCTAAATAAGCTAACGACTCTGTCATCTGGAAATTATTTTTGTTCAGCCCTTTCAGAATATGTACTTCAGGATATGATCATTATTGCGGACACAAAAGTTGCTCGCCGAATTGGAGAATATTTCATCAAGCAGATCCAGAAATTACAAGAGGTAGATAATTAGAGTTCCTATCTTGAAAAATTTTTTTCAATTTTCAATTCAATTAGAATGTTTGTTGCAGGTGAATCGGAAGTTAAAAGAGCTACCAGTTATTCCAGTTGTTCCAAGCTAATTCACCTCATCGTACTATCGTATTTCCTCAAATTTTTCTAAATTTTACTGTTGTTTAAAATCCTGAACTTGTATTTTTTGTTTTGGAGATTTATAAATTTTACCAGAGAATCCTTTTGTTCTATAACATAATAAGCCAATCGAAAGAAAAAGGACGCTTCTTGTAATTTCGTGTTCAGGATATTGAGTAGTTTTTACTGCACTTTTACTCCGGGAGTAGTTTGCTATATGAAAAGCGAATTATACACAATTGAGTTCATTCACACATCATTCATATTTACAGAGACAATAAACAAAATGATAAAGTTAAACGTAAAAACATTTGAATTAAAATGCTTGACTTAAATCAAATATAGGGATGTGAAACAATCTTATATTTTTACTTGTAATATTTAATTCAATCAATAGGCAAATAGCATGTAATTCATTATTTCAAGTATCACAATCTTGTGAGCAAGCTATATTTAATCCATTTCTCCGACGGCTTTGTAGTGATTCATTTCTTTGTTCATTTCTTGTTACGAATGAAATGCTCGGAACATTTCAAATTAGAAGTGAAAATTTCTAATTCGGTCGAGGAATCGAGTCTTCGGTAAATCAGGAGATGGGAATTTTTGTGCATAAATCTTCGGGTAAGTCTTTCTGAACTGTAAAAAAATGAATTTAATAAAAAGACACAAAAGTAAAGCAAGCTTATGTAAGCTTATATACCGCATTTACCTTTTTGAGTCGCTGCCTTCGATCTGCGACAGAAAGATTTTCATCATTCAATATGCCATCCAAGAGAGAAAGCAGATGATTATCAACATCTTTCTTTTGCGATTCATACTCTTCTACTTTTATTGGTTCACAGAAGTGTTGTTTCAAGCGTTCCGCACTTGATGATTTACCACTAGTATACTGCTGTGCGATCGGCGGTTTCTTTATAACCTGAAATTTCCCTAAAAATATTGGGAAAGTTTTTTTTCTAGATTCCAGCAACTTGTGACAAAAATTTAATGATTTTAAATAAAAGCTAATTTTTGTGAAACAAATTTCAAGAATCCCATAAAATGCCTCTGAAACAAGTCTCTCGCGTTCAAAGGAAAAATTATATCAGCTTCTGTGAATACTTGCAATTAAAATCCACCTCGTGTGGTAGCGACAGCTGATGTTTGACCTCTGAAATAAATGATTCCGGAATGGAAAAAGTATCACATTCATTATCCATTAAAAATATGACCAATTGATGGCATTGTGATGCGTTGATGGTTTGAGACGAATGTAGTATTTTGCTCGGTAAACCTTCGAGAACCTGGAAAGCAGTTTAATATGTTAGAAACATTCCATCTGAATTTTTCCACCTCGGATTTGAAAATAAAGAAAATGTAACAAATCGAGAAACACTTGTGAAACTTTTGGGTAGTGTTCTAGAAATTATTAAATCTCGTAGTTTAATTCCGGAAACTTCATTTTCTTATTTTTGCCAATGCTAAGCATGATGAAGAATACTGAAGGAAAAAGCACTATTTCCAACTGCAATTTTCCTACCTTTATGGTATATTTCTGCACATCCATGATGATTAAGAAATTCATTAAGTAAATTAACATTTTTGATTGTTCTTAGGCATTATAAACATGTCCCACTTTTTAAACAAATAAATTGAATTTTTTGAAACTCTTCTAAAACTTTTATTCAGAACTATAATTCCTAACAATTGAACGATTATCACGACGTTTATCCATTCGCAAGCAATAATTTCGGCTGACACGTTGCATAAAGCGCAATAAATAGTGTAATCGACGACGAACATGTGGCTCCAAAGTTAGCATTACTAATGATACTGCTTCTTTCAGCAATCTCTCATTTTCACCCTCAATTCCTGTAAAAATGTGATCGATTTTAACTTCGATGGTTATCTTATTCATATAAATTTCTTTGAAAAATTAAAATATATCTTACAAATAGATACTTTAGACAAACTGATATAGAACAGAAAGTAACAATAGTTCCAGCAAACATATGTTTAAATCTAAAGACTTTTGAAATCTGACAGATTTCGGATTCATCCCCATATATTTGAACTTGTTACTAAAAATAAGCTTAGAATATTAACCAGCAAGTAGTGCACATGATTGTGCACTAGGAATGCTTGCACACGAGGCAAGCGAGTTTGCTTTGGCCAGTTCCTCGATACGCTGCATAAGCTCGGGACTTCGCTGCAGACCTGGGAGCCGTGTTAAAATTGCTTCATAGGCCATTTTATATGCTAAAAAATATTTCGATAGGAAACTGGAACATTGACTGTAACTAATTAAATCAAGCTTCAATTCATATTAACCATATGGATAAATTCAAGCAGTCTGACTCAGATTATCACTATTTCGTCACTTCAGGAAACAAAATGACATTCCTAACAAATTTTTGCACTCTCAGGATATAATTAGAGTATCGCTGTCATTATTACTAACGCTAGCGGTGTAATCTCCTTAACCTCCTTAACCGATATTAATTCATAACTCACAAAAAGTTTCACTATCTGCTGATAGCGTGGATACGGAAGAGCGCATAGTGTTTGGTGGTGACATAACATGTTCCTCGCCAATAAATCCCTTGCTAGGGGATGCTGTTATGCGCAAATTAGAACTTCCATCTTCTTTTCCATCTAGTTTACTGTGATTCTATAAAAATTGTTTTAGCCACTTTGGACTTTTTTGTCGGTCAGCACAACGTTGCAACCAGTACGGAAAAGTATATTGTACCTGAGAATTGACTGTTTTTTGTACGTAACGTGTAAACGGTGAATTATCAGCGCAAAAAACTGTTTCCTTATGAAGCTCTGCTGAAAAGAAATTTAAAAATTAAGTTCTGATATTTACGAAATTGAATGCAACAAAGTCAAAAATAGAATTTTTTTTCATCACATCAAGTATCCGCAGCAAAAGTAAAGGCATTAAGCAAAACTTAATCCTAAGAATGAAAGAAAAATCACTCGAGTTTCGTTGTTGAACATTTCTTTGGCGAAATAATTGTATGATATGCAGAATCGACGATGCGACAGGATTCGGAAGCATGGGACAGTCTTTATCAAATTGTTCACAAACACTTTTGAAAACATTTAATTCGAATCCTTCATACGGTACATGTGTGGATTCCGCAAATTTTGTATCGAATGGCCATCGTGATAGATAACGCATCATTGTTATTACATAATTTGTTAGATAATCTGTAGAAAAACAATAAAAATCTTAATTTTTCATTGCTCTAATTAATTTCTACATATTTCTGTAATTTAATACTGACGTATTTACAGGATATGCTAAATGGCTCCCAAATTGTTTGCTTGAAGGCGCCATGGAATTTGCATTCCACTAAGTTGTTATTTGAACTTTAAGTAATGGAAAAATCTCTCGTAAGTAAACTCTTGAAGATATGCACCACAACAATTGCCGTTCAAAAGTGAAAAGCTTTTAATAGTCGTGTTTTCAAAATATAACAATACCATTTTCAGGATGAACTCGAACTATTCCTTTCGTCCCGACTCGTTCGCAATTCCAGCGGACATCTGCACTGTTAAAATCATAATCGAGAATCCCCTTTAGTGAATCCACTTGCAGCAATGATTGCAACCTGAGATCAACGGGGACTTTTACAAGCCTTTCATATTACTTGAGTTTTGACATGAGTAATAAATAGTTTACATTATTTAAGCTAACTTACTGATTTAGTAGGACATTCCTATATATTTCACTGGTATCAAGGAATAGATGGGCACCACTATGTTGCTCATTGACAACTGCTCTTGGAGATTCAGAAGGCTGACAGCTCTCCGGAGTTCGGGTCTATAAAATAGTTTATTCTTCATTATATTACTTATTCATTGGCTTATTTGATCATCGTATATCCATAAAGATAGCGAGACTTACAAAGGAATGGTGAAGGAGAAATAAAAATAATTTAGAATCACCTGAATAATTTTCCCGAAATGTCGAAGGTCTTGCATTCCTGAAGAATTGGCTGAATTACTGTTTACTTCGGCTAATTTAGCGATCATCTCGTCTAATGCATTAACCTCTCTTGATGTTCCTTCTCCAACTTCACTATTCTCCATATTCACTTCATTTCTTTTTTCCTGAGAGTCCGTTCCCCTTACAACAACCCTAGTAGCTGGCTTTCTGGATAACTCATCGTTCAGATTCTGAAAAAACCTTTAATAAAATTCATTAGTTGAAAAGATGGAGATTTTAAATGAAACGGAGCTAAAACTTTTTAATAAAGACTTGCCCTCGAGCTAAACATAGAAGGCAGATTTCCGTGGGATGCTGATAAGCGACGAGAAAGCCGCGCATTTGACTGCACTGCGGGAATAGGCAATCGCGCTTGTATCGTCGGGTCGTTGTTTCGATTTCTCCAACCAATGTTGTGCATTCTAGAAAAAACTTTTCCGGATTGTTAAATCCTGTTCAGCAATTACTTTGTTTAGTACCAATTTTAATTCATTTTTGGAGCAGATTTAGCCAATTCTGTTTTAAAACTTCAAACAAAAGTGCCCAGGTCCATATTTTTTACTGTTATGCAGAAAAACTTCCTACCTTTGTGGAGCAGTAAATCCAAAATCTTTATCCTTAAACCGATTCTGTCTGAAACTACATCTTTCATTGAATGAAGCAGCGCGGCGAACCAGAATTGGTGTTGCAGCCAGTAGTTCAGGCGAAACGCTTGAAAACCTAAAAAAAGTTCAGCTACTCGTCTTAACAAGAAAGACTTCCTAAGGACAATTTTATCTAAATATAAAGTGGGAAAGTTACCGATACAATTCATTTTCTTTGAATGCTTCGTTATCGTCGTATTTTCCACGCACATTACAAAACAATCCCATGTTCATATACATATCCAAAAGTTTCGAACAATTCGACCTGAAAAATGGATATTGAAATTCCTTTTTGTCAGTTATAACTTCTCTGCTAAGTGGAATTTTTCATTCTAGGACGTGGCACTTTTAACTGTTTATTCAACAAAACATTATGTCAAACATAATTGAAATTGGGAAAAATTTTTCATGGATTCCTTACAAGGACCATTATTTTAGAATTACACAATATTGAAAAGATGATGATGGCAGCTCACCTGGTTATTTCCCGACCATCATGGATAAATTTTGGCAGCTCGTTCATCATGAAGTCCACTGCCTCGCGACCAGTGAAACAATCATCGAAAACGCGTAGTTGACGTCGATGTCGCTTTATAGGCATTCCACTTCGAAATCGCCTTATCATACCATTCCACTGTGAGCAGAAAGCAGAATTTTATTATACATCAGCATCCAAAATATAGCGTTAATTTATCTTGCTTGAAATTTTATAATTTAAAATTTGACCGAAAATTCGGTAACAAAATAGCCTAGAACACCAACTGCTGGGTACATTTAAAAAACAGGTAAGCCTTGGACATTGACAGTTAGATTAAACAGACAAAAGTTAAACGATAACAATTCATGCAAAATCATGCATGTTGCCAAACTGATTGGGAAGTTCTAATCAGTATGTAGATTTACTAGAGATTTGGTTATTGGAAGACCTAGAAACACTGCAGAAAAAATTAAAGAATGAATAGGCAAGCATAATTTTCATTAATTCCGTCTACATTAAATCTCCTATTTGCTGTTATAAAGACGAAACAAGATCAGCAAAATTAACTGACCACACGTGTTGCTCTGAAACGTCCCTCAAATAGAGAGCTGTCTTTCGAATTTTTCATCGCGGTCTCTGGAAGGACAGTATGATCTGCTGGTACGCGAAAACTTCGAAGCTGAACGTGGCCGGTCATAAAATATCTAGAATGAATTAACGTAAAGATGAAGCGAACTAATGAACGTATCATGCTCAGTCTCATATCGACTATTCTTGGCATTAAAAAAAGAAGTATATCACCATTCAAACGCTGAATGTAAATCAGGAATGCCTTTTCATTTGCAATTTTCTTCTGGAATATTAGCTTTTCTTTGTTTGTGGTGTATACATAGATCTTACATACTTCTAGCATTTTGACTTCATGAATACAATTTGATACGTAAATAATCTTAGCAACTTTTCAGAACACCTGCATGGAATCTTTATATGAAATATCTGTATTGAAGTTCGCAGCGCGAATTTTATTCCACGTTGGAGAAGTAAATTCAAAAACTTCATTGAAGTACATCAAAGGCAATAATGATAAACGCAAGACTACATTCCAACCTAATTTATTCACTAAAACTGAAAACCAATACGATCAAAGGGAGCAACAGAGAAGCAGACAAACAATAGAAATCCCGGAACACTGAAGTGGAAAAATTAAACGAAAATATCGAGAAATGAGTATCTGGTATCATCGGGAATTGTCCAATGTATTTCCGGAATGGCAAGAACAGACGAAAATTTAAATTAAATACAAGCTTCAAGAAAAAGAAACGATTCAAGGAAAGCTACTAATAGTGCCAGAGATTTTAAATTGAACCAGAATTGAATCAAATTCATTCTATAGACTGATTATTCCAACTGGTGATCACAACTTTGATTACAGAATTTTGAATGCCATCAAAACTGGTGATGTAATCATGAGTACGGAATCACGATTAGTGAGCGAAATAAATAAAAAATGATGATAGTTAGAAGTGAAACAGCGCTGCACTGGCCGGCATAACGTATATATATTTCTGCGTAGTAAAGCAAAATGCTATCAGTATTTAACTTAAAATTTCAAAATTCCGCTTGCCGCTTCCAGTACTATTGCAGCACTATAGCAGCCGATGTCAAATTATGAAGCAAACGTTGAAATTTCATTTTCCGAAATGCTTATTCTTCCGTACTCTTAAATATAAGTGATGAGAATATTTCATTTGTTTTTTTTTTCTGTTTTATAAATGTTTTTTTGTTTTAGTGATCCGGTTCAATTGTTGGTAATCCGGTTCACTTCCTTCTGCATACATCTTGCTTTGTAATCCGGAAATGTATAACTATCCTGAATGCGCATATCAAAGTATTTATTAGCATATACTTGAAATTTGCAGAATATCGTGTATTCACTGGAATCTGTTCTATGGTATAAATATGTCTTATCACAGAGGTGCAGACTATAATTTCCCGAGGCAAATGTAACCCCGCGAAATCATAGCATTGCAGTGCAAGGTTGCACTACGCATGTTACACCGAACTCTTATGAAGGAAACAAGACAATGTTGTACGGCACATTCCAATCACACAGGTCATTATTAATCCTTTCTCCTCTTCGTACACATGCAAAGAATATGGATAAGTGAGAGAGAGAGCAGAAAAAGGGGGAGAAAGAGCCTATAATGTGGACGAATAGATGATTGCGCCGCCTTTCCGTGTCACTTTCCATCTGTCTGTCTATAACTGTGCCACAAGAACGCATAAGGTTAGTTGGGGCGTGTTTCTGTGTGTATATATATGTCTGTTTGTCTGTCTACTGTTGCTAGGAAGTCATTCTCCATCTCAGTTTGGTGAATATCTGTGTTGTTGGGATGGGTGGTTGATGGGGCAGTCGCATAAATTTGGGTGAGCAATGATGTAAGTCATTTACAGGCGCATCTATAACTTAGTAAACAATAATCTGATTTCTTGAAGGTCTCATTTCGATCGAAGAAATTTTGTGAACTGTTCAAGCTATGAGAGAAATTGTTCACGTTCAAGTTGGTCAGTGTGGCAACCAAATTGGTGCTAAGGTATCGATTTTCTGCACTTTCTTTTATTCTTTAAGATGAACGATGGGAAAATATCCATCTGTTGGAATTTTTCTGGAAGATGTCAGTAATGTTTAGCTGTTCGCACTCGATCAGTATTATCATTTCCCATTTAATTGTTACGATTTCAGCCATCAAAATTTTGTAATGTATTTGGCAGATTTTGATCGCTTACCATTTACTTCTCTGTTGTGTCTTTTTCCGTCTTTCCACTTGTGCTTTCGAGGACAGTTGTAGTGTATATTTTGACATCATTTATTATGTAGCACTATTGATGAGATTTCATGCGTGATCACAAGATCAAACTATTCAATATCCAAAGTCAGGGTGAAATGTCACAAGAACATGAGGGTTTTTAGGGTTGGAAATTTCAAGTTTTAAGTGCATGTTGAATTTTTTCAGTTCTGGGAAGTAATATCGGATGAGCATGGCATTCAACCTGATGGTACATACAAAGGTGATTCAGATTTACAACTTGAGCGAATCAATGTCTACTATAATGAAGCGAATGGTTGGTCTATTATTGGAATTTTTTTTCTTCATTTGCAAATGTTCTTTATTGTTTTCTCTGCTTGTTGACACTACCCATTCCCTCACACTCACATTTATACATAATTCTGCATTCACATGCATACCACATAGTTCCATGTACATGTAGTTATTTGTCTGTCACTGGGTATTACTTCCGCTGATGAGGTTCATCAGAACGTCCTCAAAATGATGTGCTCGAAAATTAAATGAAAAACTCTGCATTTCTTTTCAAGGTCCACAGTATGAATAACATTTGGGGCTTCCTTTTTCTGATCTCTTCATAATAGAAGTTAAAACTAAACCAAATATTCAAATAGGATGTGGTCCTGCATATACGTATTTTGACGAACCAGCAGTTGTACTTTTTAATTAGTTTTTACTTTTCATGATGAATAGTATGATTTCCTTTTAGATCTTCTATAACAGTGTACTTGATGTCGGATGGCAATAATGTACGAAATAGCGCCATAACCTTTACTTTATCTCCAATAATATTGTAAGGAAAAAAATTTTTTCATGTTCAGGGGGTAAATATGTACCACGAGCAATCCTTGTCGACCTGGAACCAGGTACCATGGATTCCATTCGAGGAGGTGGATTTGGCCAGTTGTTCCGACCGGATAATTTCGTTTTTGGACAAAGTGGAGCTGGCAACAACTGGGCTAAGGGACATTACACGGAGGGTGCAGAACTGGTTGACAACGTATTGGATGTGATACGAAAAGAGGCTGAAGGATGCGACTGTCTTCAGGTGCAGTTTATGGATCGTTACAGTTTTATGATGTGTTTAATATATATATATATGTTTTGGACAGTTCCATTTCTGATATAATTCAGTGCAAAAGTAGAAATTTTAGTATTTTTAGGGATTTCAACTGACGCATTCGCTCGGAGGTGGTACCGGTTCAGGTATGGGAACATTGTTGATCTCGAAAATCCGTGAAGAATATCCAGATCGAATCATGAGCTCTTTTTCGGTTGTACCATCTCCTAAAGTACGTATGTTTGAATTTTCAGTATCTTAATTTAATTTTGATAGCTATCATTCTATTTATTTCGAAGGTAGCCCCTCAAATTCGGGAACACTGTCTGGTGGATTTCTCTTCCATATGTCCCCATTTCACTTTTCAATGCATAACTGGCGGAATATTGGACGATTAAAGCTTTCTAGGTATCAGATGTTGTGTTGGAACCTTACAATGCAACGTTATCAGTGCATCAATTGGTTGAAAACACCGACGAAACTTTCTGCATTGATAATGAGGCTTTATATGATATCTGCTTTCGAACATTGAAGTTGACGAATCCAACTTACGGCGATCTCAACCATTTGGGTCTGTTCTTTTACTTGCTCAGATTTTTGGTATTAAAGTTTGAATTTAAATTGCTATCTATTGGGTCGTCCTAAGATCACGTTTTATTTAGTGTCTGTGACAATGTCTGGAGTAACAACGTGCTTGCGTTTCCCTGGACAACTAAATGCAGATCTCCGTAAACTCGCCGTTAATATGGTCCCATTCCCACGATTGCATTTCTTCATGCCAGGATTTGCCCCTCTCTCTGCACGTGGTGCAGCTGCTTATCGCGCCCTCAATGTTGCTGAGCTTACGCAGCAGGTATCTTATTGGTTTTATCATTATGATCGCAACATGAATTCGCTCTTCTGTATTTTCAAAACGTAGATAATCATCTGTCCATAGTCTCTTTATACATTAAATGCATACCTCTAACAGTATTACGCGAAAATTTCTAAGTGACATATTTTTAGATGTTTGACGCCAAAAATATGATGGCAGCTTGTGATCCACGTCATGGCCGTTATCTCACTGTAGCTGCAATGTTCCGAGGTAGAATGTCGATGCGGGTGAGTGCGTTTTGGTGTCCGTGTTAAAACTGAGCTACTGAAGCGTGGAAAAATTTCATCCATTTGTTTTTCTTTGCCTCGGCCTTAACTTAATAATGCACTATTTAGTCTTAGTTACGTATTTACCTGATTCCCGGGCATTGGCTAAAGGTCATTTCTTTGATTTAAGCTTCTTTTATTTATAATCTAGGAAATTGTTTTCTCTTTGAAGTCCGATTTGTTCATTAAAAATTTTGATAAGTTTTTAGGAAGTGGATGAGCAGATGATGCAAGTACAGAATAAAAATTCATCATACTTCGTTGAATGGATTCCAAATAACGTCAAAACAGCTGTTTGCGATATTCCACCACGTGGATTGAAGATGAGCGCGACATTCATTGGAAATACAACAGCCATACAAGAACTTTTCAAGCGCATTTCTGAACAGTTCACAGGTGAGGTGGTTTTGTCAGTCTCATTTGCTCGCTTGAGTTCATTTTATTAACCAAAATCTAAATTTTGGATATGAGTTGTTATGGCAGTCATGCGAAAGTTAAAATTTATCATTCAATATGTCTGCCTTGGAGCTCCCACAAGTCTACACTATATGAAGGGGATTAGTTAGGATCTAATTTCTTCTGATTTCAGCCATGTTCCGACGTAAAGCATTCTTGCACTGGTACACTGGAGAAGGTATGGATGAAATGGAATTTACGGAAGCAGAAAGTAACATGAATGACTTGGTTTCTGAATATCAGCAATATCAGGATGCAACGGCTGATGAAGAAGGTGATCTTCAGGAAGGTGAATCGGAATACATTGAACAGGAGGAATGAGCAAGAAATTGATAGATTTTGCAAAAAAAGACAAAACTGTTCCAATATTTCAATTGGTCGACTTTTTTCGTGTTTTGAGTTGTTACAATTACATTTTGTTACTTACTTTTCGCTTTCGACAGTATGGTAGCATTTTTTAAAGACTCCTAACAAAAAATATTTGTACTTCGCAATAAATTATGGTTTAAAACTATGGTTCTTACAGGTTGTGCAAAGTTATAATTCATAATATTGCGTGGAAAAAACTAATTCATGAGGAAAGCGATAATTATGACCCTTGAGAAGTCGCAATTTGAAATCACATTCGAGCCTTTTGTAAAATGTTATGACAGAAAGTGGCGCAAGAGATCGTATTTCTTAGAATAGGGTAGGGCGGAATTTGTTGTGCTGGTAGAATTCATTAGGATATATTTAATGCAAGTGAGAATTCATGCTTGGATGATAGGAAGAGGAACGCGAATGTGCTTCACAATGAGTATCCTATTGAGCAAGTGTATTTATGAAATAAAGGGGAAAAAAATAGATGATTTTCATTAAAGCGAATATCGGATGCGTCGTTGGGATCTATTTTGGTGTTCGGATGAGTATTGAGAGATAGATCGGTGAGATATTGTGAAAGATCTGCATAGCGCAGTAGTTTTTTTGTCTTCTATGAGGATGGAAAAATTGGCAGAGGAATGAAAGTCTTGGGCTTAATGAGTCGATCTGTAGATAGGCAGTGATACGCGAGTGCGTATCGTGTTGATATAGCAGCAATACAGGCGTTGCTGAAGCTATTTAGCGTCGTTAATTGACTCAGCCTTTCAACTGCTGGTGGGAGAGTTATTGATTTGTACTCTGACAATGAATCTATTAGCACATCATAGTATGCACGCTATATTCGTCTGCTAGAAATAATTGCAAGTATGCCAGCAAAGCTATTATGAACAAGGAGGAAGAGTAAATAAAAGAAATGGAATGGATATTGTGCAAAAAAAGTCTGAAACAATCGGTGAGACTCAATTACACTAAAAATTGAACGAGTGAGCTTGCATTATATTGCATGCATCTAAGCAACCGTGATGTTATATCTGATCGGTAACGAATGATGGATGATGATGCATGAGGAAAGTTGAAAGAACTAATTATAAAGAACGAACTAATTAATTGTTATCTTTCACAAAGAGTACAACATCCATTTCATCTACTTGTTATGGAATGAAGGTAGATTTTCTTTTTTTTTAGAAATTTATCATAATGAATTAATAATAGTTTCAACTTAGCTGGTGCTTATTTCCAATTAATTAATTTAATTACACAAATAAAATGTATCAGAAAATTTGGTTTTGAAAAAAGACACACGAAATATTTATACTAAAATGAATTTAAGGGAGTTGTGCTCTAATTTTTTTAAATTATCCATTATGTGATTAGACAAAAATTAGAGTTGTAATTGTAATTGTAATGAGAATGGGCAAAAAACAGGGTGGCAAGAAGGAATTGATTTAGAAAGTGATGAAATCGGAACTGAAAAAGACCACAAAACAAATTCTTATACAATTTAAATAAGACTCCTTTATTCTAGCATTGTTTTCATATGAAGTTCAAGAAAAAAATTGCAGGAATTTTAGGCAAAGTTTTAGGCTCTAAGAATTTTAGGCTCCGCAAGAAAAAATTATGAGAATCTCAGAATTGGAATAACGCAAATAAGAAGATACAGAAAAGTGCGGAGAAATTACTCGAAAACTTTTGCTATATTTTGCTCACTGAAAACTGTTCAGCATTGCTTAATTTCTCGTCTAATTTGCTTTATCGCTTGAGGCTTGCAATTATTTCTCAATTAATGAATTTGAATTTTAAACAACTCCCACTTCCTTACTATTTCAAATCTATTCTCATGTTCAAATCGAGCAAATTTTTCCGTCTATTCCAACCATTTATGCTCTGTCCATTACAATTTTCTCTTCGACTTCATCCCTATCCGTCCCTCAGACTCTTTTGCATTTACACAAGTCTAACCAACTACATTTTTTCAACGTGGCTGCAATCAAGTATCATTAGTTGCATATTTAGCAAAGCCTGTTGATTTGAGGAGAGAAAATACTCATCCATTATCTGGAATTTTTTGAAAGGTCATAAATACCGTGGATTAAGTTAAATGCTGCATAATTGTGCTACGAATCAATGCCCATTTTATTACTGCTTCAATTTACAACTTTCGTTTCATTCAATTCAATCTTTCATGAAAACTTCTCAAAAAACATAAAAGAATATGTACAACAATTGTATAACTTTGCCCATAAATAAATGAAACAACTCTCAAGATAATAATAATTCAGTCGGAGTAATATAAGAAGACAATGACCAAATTAAACCACAAATTTAAAAATGACTATCATGATTCAATCCTTCATTGGGACTGTAAAAATTTTTTTCCACTAATTTCATAATTAGTGTTCTTCAAATTACTCGACGACCTCAGAAATCACTTAAAATCACGTAGATTTTTTGATCAAATAAAATAAAATTCAATGAAAATTTCAAATTAATAAAACCATTATTCCACATAACACGATATTTGTTCAACAACCACAAGTAAGTGAAAAATAAAGTCAAAAGGAAAATTCACAGAAAATTCAATGAAAAACTCAAGACCCGTTAAGTTGGGAATTCTCTGAGAATTCAAAATTCTACTAACCTATTAAGGCCCTCTTGCAGCTTAATGAGCATCAAACAATCTCGGAATACATCGATTAGGATTTATGAAAGGATTAAATTCACAACAACATGAATTACTCATTTTCAATAAATATATCCTCAGCTGTCAAAAACTTCCAACCCTTCTCTCATTTTCATCTGTAAAAAAATATGAGATGATCTGAAAAAAACGCATATATAAAAAAAGCAAAATATAATCCTGAGAGTAGAGAAGATTTTCAGCTCTTAAAAAATAATTTGATTTTATTGATTAGATAGAATTGTTGATACCACATAACTTAGGACAAATGAAACCACTTATTGTTACTTACTAGTATTGCAATAATTAAATATGAAGTAACAAAAAATTTCATAAAATCAATTTTGATATTTCAGATTCATTTAAAAAAAATAAAACAACTTTTGAAAAAAGGCACAAATAAAATATGCGATATGAATGAAGTTACGGAAGAGAAATTAATAGAAATGATTTAAGATCATGAATATCAAAAAATAAGAGAGTTAATAAAATACTCAAACATTTGATTAGTCGACCATTTATAAAAGACTATTATTCGTCAGTAGATGACTATTGTCCAGAAAGCACTACAGTAAAACAATACTCCATTTAAGAAAGAATAGATTCAACAACCTAGTACTATTAAAAATGAATTTAGTTTCATGACTCTCCGAAAATACATTTCATATAACCGAAAAGTAACTCCAGATTATTTTTAACTGTTAATGTTATGTTATTTTTCGTTAATGTCCCTGACATATGATTATCTAAAGGACTTATTTTTAAGTCGAATGAATTTTAAATATAAATTAGAGAAATAAATTGAATAAATTATGAATACAGATTAGAGATTAATTTCATATACAATTGATTAACAAACCTATATCCACATTTCATTCAGTGTCAAAATTTCCTCGTAAAATATTATAAATGAAAGGCATTGCCGAACTGTTAATGAACTGTGAATTCATGAAGTGAAAAAAGAATGACACTTCTCGAACTTGCGTATATGAAGGATAAAAAGGTTAGATTAATACTAATGTTTAGGACGTTTTTTACGTTTTCGGTTCTGACGAGAATCACCTGAAGCTGTTGTAGGAAAGTCCGCCGTAACTGCTCTTATTTCTTGTGAAGGTTCATTAATCATGATTCTTTCATCTTGATTATCTTCATTAGGACCATCTATGGTTTCTCTCTCTTTATTCTCAATTTCAACCTCTTCATTCTCAGACTCTTTAATTTCACTTGCCGCCATTTCAACTGCAAATTCATCAGCCTTTTTCCGCTCTTCTTCCGAGTAATACCTAGTGAAGACATGCTCGTTAGCACAACAACGCATTGCATCGTAAGTGTGTTGCAACAACTGAAAGGTGACGAAATATATAAATAAAAAAGAATCAACAAAATAAAAATTATTCTAATCTCAAGATTGACCAAACGGTTCTAAAATTCGGATTTCTTAGGCACCTTATATTAAGTTACAAGAGTAAACTTTGACATCAAGAAATCTATAACCATGTTTCACCTGCGGGAATCTATCTGTGAAATAGGTAACAAACTGATCGGGAACTTCACCAAGCGTCTTTTGCACCTCTTTTGGTAATTCCTGATAATGATGTTTCTTGTTTCGCATTGCACGCAATAGATCTCGGACTTTAGTACCCTTGTAAGTTCGAAATTTGCGTAAATCTATAATAATGGAGATCGGAAGTCATAATTTGTCGCTTTTATCATTGAAAACAATCCGATCAAGAGAATTTTAAAAAATTTGAGAGCATGGAAAGTTCAATTTCTGCAATTTTGCACCAAAATTCAACTTTATTTCGGCTTTAGACAAATATATTATTTAGTTATTTAATGACCAAACATGCCTTAAGTACTTAGACACATAAACACATATGATTAAATAAAAGTACTCATGAATCTATTTAAATATTTGAATTTGAAGAATATTTTGAAAGGAATATGAAGTGTCATCACAAGGAATTATATGAAACACAACACAAACCTAATTTGTTTCATGCTTTTGAAGATAAAAATATAGCGCGCTGCACTTACACAATACTCAACACTTGCTACTTTTGAACCTCAATTCCTAGTTGTAGATTTCCCACACAAATTTGGAATAGAAAACAAACGAACCAGCTGCAAGAATGGGACAAATGGCCACACGCCAATTAAAACCGATAGCACAGCGAGCATTTTCCTCTATGCGACGCAATAAAAAAGTGTTTTCGTCTAATTTTTCGATCCGATCGCTGACATCCTAAAAAGAAGGGGAACTTCATGAACCTACTAATAGCATTAAATGAAGAGAACAGTATTTCGATTGTTGATCAATTCGATGTAATTAAGATTTAGGTCTTGGCCTATTTTTTCATCAGATTAATGATATCTACCCAGCTATGATGATCTGCGAATTGTCACAAGGAGTAATTTATTCGATAAGGAAAGTAATACATGAAGGTCTCATAGGCCTGGATTACGATCTTGCGTGACATTTTTCATTTAAATCAATCAAAACGATTTGTATACATTTGTAAAAGATGTGATTTAATGGAAATGCTGGCACTGCTTACCATAAAAAACCTAAGTTGATGCTCTTTGCTCCAGAAAAATGGATGTACTGCTAAAGTAGCTGATATCGGACGACGCAGTGGATCACGTCGCAGCATCGTTTCAATCAGCGCAACTGCCATTAAATTACCTGTAAAACATTTTAAAAATTTAACAAGCTTAAAATATAAAATAAAGTATGCAAAAGAATATTCATTCAAAAGGCGTTTAAAAAAGAAAATAGTAAATTTATACAACAAAACAATCCATTTCATCTTCAATAGACCAACTGGTCAATCATTCTATGAGTGCATCTTTGGTGGTAAAATAAAGCAGTTATAAATTTTTAGATGAACTTTCAGATATGAACTAAATTAAAATACAAACCAGATGTGCTCAGAAATTTCAAGCTATATTCTCCTTGCATGATATTTGCTTGTCGTTTCAAAGCATCTCCAAACGGATGACTTCCAGTTGTTAATACGTAGTAGTAAATACAACCAAGCGAAAAAACATCAACAGCACATGTCTAAAAACATAAAAATTGAAAAACAAATAGACCGAGGTGTTTTGCAAAGTTTGGAAAAAATGCATAGTAAATTTTATGCAGAGCTGTTTCTTTTAATGACAAAGTCCTTAACTAATGTTCTTCACGAGCCTTCTGATTAAATGGTTCTAGTGAGATGCAATACTTAGCATTTCAAATTACACCATTCCTATCGCAGAGTTAAACCATTAAAGGATAAAATACAACAATTACTCGCAGCGAATTTTTTACAGCTAGTTAAAAAATGGCCATTAGGAAAACTAAGATAAAAGATTTTTACAGCCTACAGCTTTTATAGCTGGATTGACATCTTGCGTAAAATCTTCTAATTGAAAATTGTCCTTCATTGCAACACGACTACTTGAAGCAGTCGTGCTGCGATGATGGTCATTTGCAATAAATTTGCAAAAGTAAATGAAAATCTAACTATTAAATTGGGTGAAAATCTCAACTACTAAATAGTATGCGTAAAAAAAACAAAAAAATGGAATATTGAATAAAATACTTACAACACTTGCATCTGATATTAAAGCTTCTGGTGCGACCCAGCCATCAGTGCCGATAAGGCCGGATCTTCGTGATAACGAGTTACGACCTGCTTGAAGTCTCTTACACAGGCCGAAATCTGAGATCAGCGCTCGCATTGCACCTTGCCTGGCACCTCTTGATAGCAGTACATTTTGCGGTTTCATGTCACGATGCACTGTAGAAAATTATTAATTAAAATTAATTGTAGAAACGAACCTGAAAATCAAATTTCGAAATCCCATCTGCATCTACGTGATGGGAAAGTAACCACAAGAATCGGATTATTGTTTCAGTAAGGAAGATATTAAGCAGGCAAGCGGAATAATAACAACTGAATAAATATATGAATCAAAAGTAGTAAGGAGCAGACAATTTACTTGCTTGAAAAATTGACTTCTTATTATAAATATGCATGCTAAAATCTTTGAAAATTTTTTAAAAAATGTAAAATTGACCTATATTTATACTGTGAAGATATGCAAGTCCTTCAGTTGCTTGATGCAGAATTTCCAACGGAATAAGGGGACATTTCTCTCGAATTTCTTTTTTCTCCACATAGTCGAATAGTGAATAATCACATAACTCCAATGCAATGTAGCGAAAATTGCTGTCAGATTCCTAAAAATTACGGGTACTATGAGAAAAAATAAGTAATGAATTAGGGAAATTACATTCACTAGATTAACACAGGAAATAATTAAAGAGAAGTAAAACACAGATTATACCAACCATGCAGAAATATCTGATAACATTTCGATGGGTATCACTTTCACGTAAAAGATCAACTTCGCGATCTGCAAGTCGAATGTCGGCAATAACCCGCTTCACGGCTACTTCTCTACCATCAAATTTACCTCTGTAAATCAAATTTTGATTTAGATGCGAAACTTCAATTTTACTAATCCTCAAAACCCAGACTAATATATCACCAGGGTATGGAAGTGATAGCAGTTAGTTCCGAAGGAGAACAAGTCATATTTTCAGACACTAAAACCAAAATTACAGGAGATTGGTAAAGATGAGAAGCGTTTCCACCAACCCTTGACTATTGGCTTCCGACATGTTATTAAGGCCTTAACAGATGTTTGGATTAAATCACAGGACAGACTCTATGGATAAAATTTTAACCTGAATACAACAGTTCCTTCGCATCCATGTCCAAGGCGATCTTCAGGATTATATGTAATATTTCCAGCTTGCAGCCACCCATGTGGTAACCGCTCTAATTGCCGTGCATACCAAAAATTTCTAAAATTTTTCGATGTTTGTGCGCAGTTCGTTCGTTGTTCTGGTGAATTCTTCTGTTCATGATTCCATAACTGCAAATAATAAACTATCTTAAAGACTAATGACTATGAAGGATTAGGAAGTAGTATGGTCGTCGCAGTACAGTTCTTTTGAAAACTGACGATGTTATCAGTTGCCGTGAAATATTTTTCCTCCATTGCTTATTACTCTTTCTCTTCGATTAATATGCATTATTCACGGTTTTAAACGAAAAATTTGAAAAACATGCTCTTAGTTGACTGAAATAAAGAAACTAATGTTTTAAATTAAGGCATTCATATAAAAATTTAAACCAGTAGTTTCTTTATTTCATGATTATTGTCGAAAATTTTTCTATTATCACTTTAATGAAATCCATCTTATCATCCAAATGCTGAACCTCATGCAAAAGCTACTCAATAAAATCACAGTAGTATCAATGGCATGGAGATACTTTACATTTAAGTTACCAATCACTTACTATTTATGCACAATGACATTGCAAAAAACGAATGATGATATGATATGCGATGGGGCTCAAGTATTAAGTATCCAATATCCAATACTCAAGTATCCAATACAGCTTAGCACTGATATTGGTTCTATAGTTGACAAAAAAATCTGTTCATATGCTGAATAAACATACGAAAAAGATGCCAGGAAACAAATCAAACCTTTTATCTAAGGTAACTCATAGACATAAATTTTCTTTTCTTTTAATCCTAGTAATTTTGCAGTTAAAATGAAACAGAGCCTTCTGATTTTATGTGAAGCTCCCAAAAATGTACCATCGCATGCTTTGAAATTACGCAAATCTTCATCTACCTTATTGTCCCTTACAGTCCAACCTTAGGAGATGTAAGGTACTAATAAAATAAGCCAATTTCAAGCAAACCTTTTCCATAAAGAACCAGCAGGCAACGGCAAACAATGTGGTAAATGAAATAACAATGGTTATAACCAATTGATTAGTCTTCCACGAAGCGTGTTCATCGATTTCTGCAGTCTGGACAGATATCTAAATGATCAAAAACGCAAAAATTCACAAGTATAAAATTTAACAACGGTTTATACAAATAACATTTCCGGAAACAATATTTGCCTACAGAAAGCAGAGGAAAAATTCAAAAAAAAAATTAGATAATGTCATTTCTGCCATTAACTGATTTCAAATTTAAAAAAAATAAAACTTCATCAGGTTGCACATCTGTTGTAACGAAAGCTAAAGAACGATATCGTTGCTGGCGAATAATTCGTTGTGAAATGAGTTGTGATTGAGTCAACTGAGGCAGTTCGTGATAGCCTTTAAGAAGGAAAAATAAGCAATTTACAGTTGCTAAATCTACAACAAAATTGATAAAATGAAAGCAAAATTAAGTAGGAAAAAGAGTGCATCGCTGAATCAACTTGCAAATCTGACCAATCAAGAATATACGTCCAACGAAAATAGTAGCTCACTATCTTTATCACTTTCAATGTTTACAAATAATTTGATATGTAACACATACCCAATACTAAGAATTCTCCATTGACTGTCTTATGAGTAATTTTCGCTATATCCAAATTGATCAAAGCAACACGACGAGTAGATGAACTGCTTTGTGTCTTCAGAACATCGTTCTGAAAAGAAAACCAAGCTATTTTGTATGACATAGAAAATGATCTTTTCTCGATAATCCAATTTTACTTATATTTTTTGCAAATCCCAAAAAGAACAAGAAATTACCATTTTTACTAAGTCATACTTTATCTTTTAAATAAAAAATTTAGATTCGAAAAGTTCAGCAAACCTCGACTGCAATTGGTGTTGGACCTTCTAGCAGTGGGGGACCGAGATATTTCGGTACCACGGTTATCGTATGACTGTCTACAAAAGCTGGCAATGCAAAAAGTCCGTAGATGCTTTCACCAACATACAAGGTCTGGAAAAGATTTCGAGAAGTGGCTTCCACGGACCGTGCTTGGTGAACATCATCGATCCATGCTTGAATTCCGTTTTGCGGTGAATGCTGAAATATATTTATTTCAGAGCAAGGCAACTTCGTAAGCGAATTAACATAAGTTTGAAGTACGTTCTTCCGAACTTTATCCCAAATCCCCTTATTAACTTGAGTGGATTATTTGCTCTACTCTCCGATGAACGTATTTTGTACCATTATCCATCTCTGACAAGAAAACTGCATGATGATTTATGCAGCTAAACTGACAAAGTGAATCTTCCGGTAACTCATTTTTTTTTCAAGCAACTGTCAAACACCTTTTGATTTAATTCTCAAAGAAGAATGCAAAAAAACAATAAAACAATCAGACGTAATATAAAATTCTCTCCGAGTCTTTCATTATTTCGGAAAATCATAGATTTCAATGAAGGTTACACAGTGAACTGAACTGCCAAATTTTCATATTTCTAACTTCCTCTTAAAAGGTAACAATAAAAAATTGTAGCAAATATTTATATTTTCCTAAAACTACATTTCTTCATCAACCTGGTTATTCTTAAACGTTGAAAACCGAATTTTACGTTCCCGAGTTTTAAATCTATGAATTCTGCTGAATTTATCTCTAATATTCAGGCAAAAGTTTCTCTCGAAATATTAGGCTCTCTCCGCTAGCTTCAAATTAAATTGGAAAACTGAAAATGATTAAATGTAATAGTGCTATGAATTAATTAAAATAATACTAAATGAATATTTTTGGAAGCAAAAACTAAAAAGAACGACAATTAGATTAATGGGCAACAGTATCATAAATTAAATGTAATACTACTCAAGAATCAAAAGTTTCATCTTAGTTATATACCTCAAAACCCAAAATTTACATCTTAATTTATATTTGGGACTCGTAATGAACTTCTAAAGCCCTCCAATGAATGTGTGATGAAAGTTTAAATAACAGTGAAAATTTAATGGTGAAAAAGGATAATAAAACCAAAAAAGGCATAAATAACTCTTCACATTTAAAGCAAATCACAAGTGAACTGCTATAAACTATTAGAAATACTATTCCTTATTCAGAGAAATAATCGTTGCTCATATCAGAAGTGCACATTAGATAAATTCGAGTATCAAGCTTAGGATATATCTAACTTAGATAAGAACTTGGGATGCCAGCCGTCAAATCATTCTATTTAAATTCGGATGATTTATATTTTTTTCAAAGCTATGGTTAGTACAATATTTTGATTGTAACCGACTATCAACAGGAAGTTGTTGAAGAAATAAAAATTATGAAAATATTGAAAAATTCTTACATCGTTTGAATGGTGTCTTACCTCACCAGTTAGTTATCTCGCCTTTGTGGCTCATATGTTCGTTCTCCCCTCTTTGATAATAACAGCTATCAATATCAAAGAACAGTGAACGTTAACACCAGGAGATGTAAATAGTCTTGTTGTGCATTTCAGTCTTAAGCTCCTCCAACTGCTACTTGTGTAGTGATAAAAAAACTGTGAGCTCGATCTGACAGCACTATTATTCTCTTACTACACTGTTATTATTCGCTTTTTTTTCAGTTAGTTGACCAAATTAACCATTTTGATTGCCGCTGCATTTCATTTTAATTGGCCAAAAAATATTATTTATCCAATCATTATTTTGTATAACCATAACTGAAAATTGCGAATTTTAATTTTTCCCTTAACGAATTATAGTTTCTACATGGAATGCAACCACGTCGAGTCTTCACAAAAACAAATCAAAGCATACATCAAATAAATAATTAGACTGAAATGGAGGTTTGTTACTAATTTATTTACTAAAAATTTTGTCTAATCTAAAATACTTATCATCTTATCTTACTTCTATCAATTCTCCTTATTAATTTGCACCAATTTTAATTATTAGAAAGGATACGGTTAGATATATTTCGAGATAGGACGTATAAGATCGCCGCATCTTAAAAATAAGTATCTTATCATTTTAACTCATTTCAATGTGGTTGGTTATGTGCTTAAAGTCACTAAGAAATAACTTTGATATTTAAAAGCATGAATAAGTATTTGAATTACTACATACCAAAACCTATTTAACCAAACAGTTTAATTTATTCCTATTGAATATGATACGGCATCTCAGCAAAGATTTTATAAAATGAAAAAATTAAAAAAAATCCCTTCCAAAATTTTTCATTTCTTGATGCTTTGATTTTCCGGTATTTGGGTCATTTAAACTATTACTGGATTAAAAATAATTCAAAATCTATTTAAAAGCTTTCAGGCAAAATCTCCAAGAGAAAAAAATTTGCAAAATTAAACTTTAACGAAAAAATATATGAGAAAAATTAAGTCAATTAAACACGAAGAATTACATAACTTATTAAAAAAGTAGAGTAATTATACGGATTATGTATGAGAATGGATAAGATTTTAATCAAAAATTAATTAAGCTTGCTATTTTTAATTTCCTGTAGTGAATTTGTTGGAAAATGTAAAAGTTTTAGCGAAAATTTTCTTTCTAAGAAACTTCACTGAGAGGCTCTCTCAAGTTTATGATAAGGTGTTAATTGTCAGATCCTAAAGCATTCCATCACCACACTTTAATTTTTCACCTTATCAATCTTGCTCTCTTTTTTCTTGCTCCAGTGCTCTAATTTTTCTATTTCCATACTGCTAAGTTTCTGCTATCCATCCATTTTTCAAAATTATCCTCCCATCAAGCCATTCAGCGCGGTACCAACTTCTGATAAGAACTCATTTGCAAATGCAATATACTACCGCAGACGATATGTATATTAGCGTGTACTTACGATGTACTACCAAATTACATCCTCTATTCACTAGTTCGACCGTCTGATTGCTTTATCAATTATTTTCATGAATATAATTGCATGCTTTGCACAATCAAATTGTCAAGATTCTGAAGTTCTAACTCAATATCTATCTCTATAATATTTTAAAAATATGCAAATCAAAAGGGAAATATTACCAAATAATCGCCATATATTGCAGAACTCATCAACGTTACAAAAAAGACAGAGTGCTAACAAAATTGGACGAACAAAATCTATTTATAAGGAACTGGCTTGGAATCATCTGAGACGGATATCTAGAGGCAGCGGTATGTTATCAACGCAGCATTCACTGCAGAAGATATTTTTGGAAAGTTAAAAATGAAAGTTATTTCTTGAGATAGCAATGATTAGAAACAGGAGAATTCTATGTCAACCTTTGATATTGAAGGAGCCAAACGATTATGACGGAATGAAACTGTACATATATACATGTACATGTACTCAAGATTTTTCCAAATTATATTTCACTTTCAATAACTGAGAAATATACTGTCGGGGAGGAGGAATAAATATAATGTCTCAAAATTTGTTTGTAAAACTTTGAGACATTACGGTATTTGCTGATATGCAGCAAATCATCAAATCCCGAAGCTTGTGGAAAGATATTACAATTTTCTTGGAGTATATGAATTCCGAGTATTACCACTATTTCACATTAAATCATACGGCTTAAAAAACTCTCATAGATCGCAATATATGGCGAAAGAATAATGAGATGCAGCGAGATTAAACATGCTGTAAAGAGTTTAACTTTGAAGCCTAATATGAATTGAAAACTATTTCCAAGCAAAATCTGGGATCTGATCAAAAAAAACTTTAGCTAACTGATATAATATGTATTCCAAGTATTCTGTAGCATGTAGAACGATGCTCTTCAACGATGATAAAGTGAATATGTAATAACAAAGGTGTGGCGAACTATATATCTCGTATCATCAAAAGATGTAGTATTTTGTACAGAATGGATTCCAAAGATTCTTGCAAACATTGGAAACTTTTGAGGATTTTTTTCGTAAATAGTTCAATGTTGATTGGCGGATGATTTAAAAAAACGTCAAAAAAATCTATATTAATGTCGGTGAGCGAGATGAACTACTCTCATAGCAATAAAAAGTATGTCTCTCATCACTAATAACAAATCAATCATGAGAAAGTGAACCGGGCAATAAATACGAAAAAATTAGCAAATGAAAACCAATGGTTGATGGAAAGGCAATATCCAGTAATGTACGTGAGCTTATGTGTATGTGGATATATTATGTGTCTGTATGTATGTGTTCCAAAATCCTGCTTGAACTATATTTTTCGCCGTTAACACCACTAATCCATCATCATCTTATGCTTTCTCGAACAATTGCGCCCAATATCAGTCACTTCATTTGTTACCTATTTATTCATTCTTTTTTAAATGCTACCTAAGCCGAATATTGCATATTTAGATTACTAAAGATAAATGATCTCATTCCTCATATATTATAAACACATAAGCATATAGCTTTTCACCACCATCTGATGAAATTATAATATGGTTTTGGATATAGAATCAGTTCACCTGGTGAGGTAGAAAATCACCTTTTCAAGAAAAATCGAAACTTTTATCTATAATCAAACAGCACTGCTTCAGAATTTTAAAGCTTCTCATTTTACTACGCTTGAATGGGCTATACTTCAGCGTCCATAGTCTTGTGGCTTATAATTTCTAAAAATTTTACAAAAATAATTTCATTCTTAAATCGTTTTCTTTGGATAATTGACTTAGATTGATATCAAAACTTACGGTGAAGAAATTTACTTCGATTTCTGTAGGATATCCTTCAAGTGAAAGACTTCGGAACAGATCCAAAAGGAAAGAATGGAATGTTGAAAAAGGACCATTAAGTAACCAATGTTAATATACTACTTTAAAGTAAGAAAAAGCAACCATTGTTTGTATTTCTAATTTAATATTCTGAGGGATATCCAAGTCGTTCATTTCGTATTTGAATTAAAAAAACGTATCACCCACACAATACTAACCTCATCAGTATGGTAATGACCACTGCTATCTCTTATTCTCTTTACTACAACTCTTCATCACAAATTTATTTCACATTATGTTCCCATTATCACCACATTACCGCTATCATTATCGCCACACTACAACATCTAATTTAAATTAGTTATCAACATTGCCACCACTTTCATCACAGGCATCATATTTGGGTTTTAATCGATGCTACTGTCATTTATGATACAAGCAACATTTACTGTCCAAGTGTTTTTTAATTCAAATAAAAAATATTGAAGTGACTAAAATCCACAGCAATGGCAAATTATTGCATTTTCTGTTATTCACTCAGTGAAGCACCTCCTATTTGTAGCTTAATTCGTAGGTAGCGAAATGTTGGACAGATTCGTAAAACATTATTTTATAGGTTCAACTATAGTATAATATTAGTAAAAAAATAAAAAATATAGATTGCTCCTCATATCACATACCGATTCATTCGAAATCCTCAAATTTAAAATAGAAAAGATACTAAAGTCTGCTGCACAAAGCAAAAGCAATTTGGGATAATTTTTGGAAGATTGAAGTAGAATATTATTTTCCTTTTCTTTTTAGGGCTAAGAAAAAAAAAGGTCGAAGTGGGGTTGGATGAAGGAAAAAAAGAGAAAAAACAAGAGCAACAAGAAGATTTTAGGATTTGGGAAAATCCGTATCCGGGGACATCTTAACTATCGTGAGATCGTGCTTCGTTTTGAGCGACAAAGCACATTCCATGGCATATCACATGCTGCTCTTGCTTCGAACACTAAGTGGCGTGTCATTTGGTACACTGCATTTATTATTTGCTTTTGCGCTCTCCTTATTCAAATCATTCTGCTCATTCGACGATATCGAACTTATCCGAAATCGGTTGATCTTGATGTAAGCAATTACTCCTTCCTTTTCCTACCTATTGTGAAGAATAACTTAATACGAATAACGAATATATTTAAAATCAGAGGGAGAAAAAAGTGAATAAGGGTGTTTATTGAAGTAAGAACCACAGATCGATACCGAAAAACGCTGCCTATCAATACTAAAGTTAAAATGACTTCAATGTTAATTTCAAAAGATAGATGATCATTAACAGTTAAGATGAATTTAACGTTACTTCACTACCCAAATAATCTTGAACTCATGGTTCTATCGCTTATTTACATTAACAGCTGACAGCTAATTAATGCCTTCTTCAATTCATATACCAATTCTTCTTGAAAGACCAAGTAACTTTTTCAATCCATTTCAAATCTCCCTTAATGTTAAATCAAAATATATCACTTGCCCACAATTGAAATAAGCGAAACTAAGGAAATTATAATTTCAATGTGCATTTCAGCTCAAATTTGAAAATGCTCCATTTCCTTCGATAACACTGTGCAATCTAAATCCTTATAAAGCATCGATGATTGTGAAAGAAGGACCTACAAAAGCCATGGTATTTCTCAGCCTTGCTTAAAAATTTAATCATAATTTTCGTTCTAATTTTCGGATTGTATTGATGATTGACACTTTTGAGTTCTGAGATGGTTAGGATAATTCGTCCCCACCACTCTTTATCATTCAGATGGATGCCTTTTCAAGCGCTCAAAATCATCTTGGATCATATGGTATTTCTGCCGCAGTTGAGAATGCTCGAGAAGAAGGTAAGATAATCTCACATTAAATGCTAATGTTTTTCTTTAAACTTTCAGAAATAGACACATATTTTATTTGAAGTGATGTTCACTATGATCTTTAATATCTTTCAATTGTGGAAATTTATTGAAAAATTATGTCAAGCTTTAAGTAGTTTTTTGAAAAGATCTTTCAAGTAAATAAATCAAAATTTTTCGGAAATGATTCATCAATCTTAGGTAGAAATACTAATAATTTTAAATTACAACTGCAAAAAAAAGACTGAAATTTTTTATCTAATTTCACATCTCTTTCATTTTCACAGTTTTGTTCATTCATTTTCCTTACCATGATGATTATTATAATCAAGGTATACAAGAAAAAAATAAGATTGAATAAGAATGTAAAAATTCCAACTTAATTGATCAAACTTAACAAAAAGATAAAAATCGATATAGACTACCAGTTCCTTAGAGGACAGAAGGTTCCTAAATGATGCCTTTTCAGACGTATATCAAATTTGTTAATAGAACTTTGTAATCATAAACAGTTTAATCAGTAGTTCTGCAAAAAAAGAAAAAGGCCTAGAACTACTGACACAACTTGTCTTTTAGATTGTGATAAATCTGGCAATATTTATTTGATCCATATTACAGTTCCGTACGTTAATAAAAATGATGTCTAATCAAAAATAAAACCACAACTCAGCCTATCAGTCCCATAATGAAAACTTTCTCCTACTAATCACTCTTCGATCTTATATATCTAAAACTCTAAAACCAATCCGATAAATTCCCATTATCCACAAAAAAAGAAAAATCAAATATATTCATCAAGAAGCTCTGCAAAATCCGTTTTTTTCAGCTGCAAAATCACGACAATCTAGAGCAGTATCTTCAAGTATACAGAGATCAATCTCAAATCGACGATATCATCAAGCTTCCGTCCACTGTCTCTGTGAAATTAATTCACTAACTGGTGAGAGGAAAAAGGGAAGCTGTTTTGCAGCATATAAAGGAAATATTTCAATCCAATTCACTGACGTTCTGGCACGTTTTTATCCCAGTAAATGTCTTTGTCAATTGGATTGGGTGTCTAAAACTCTATGGCCATGCTTCCCACGTAAGCTCCTTCGTTTCACTTTAACTATATATTTTGCCTTAACCAATTTATCATTTAGTATTTCATTTCAGTTTGTTACCTGCGACTAAAAATATCCTAGTATATAATTTCATTCATCAACATATCTTCTAAGTTCGTAGCTTTTTGCTAACAAATGATATATTTCACAATAGCTACATATAGGCGAAGTGGAATATAATGGATTTTATTATGTTTATAATAAATAATGAAATTTTCTTAGATTAATTCGAAAAATGTGGTCTGTATGAAGAAATTCCACTTTTCTTTTTAGAATTTCTTAACACATCGTTTTTACATTAGTATCTGGCATCACAAGAATACAGAATACAGGTATTTCAACTTAAAAAAGGAAATCTCACCTTCGAACTTATTTTCCTGTAGCTATCTCAGCTTCTGGCTCTCTCTCGAACTTTGCTATGCTTTCATGATTTTAAGTTTTAAAATATTTGCTTACATTCAGATAAGACATGGAATGAACAGCTTTGCACAGGATGTATCGAAAATTTGGGTCATTGTCCGATGAAATTTTCCAAAGCAAAAGCCGGTGAGGAACAAAGACGACATCCGAGACAGAAGGGATGTCTGTGCCACCGCGAATACAATCACTGTATAGCAAACAACGAATATGGTTTTATTCTAGAAATTAAACCAACAATAGATATTTTCGCACTAAATATTTCGGAATTTTTCATCAGACCGACAAAATCACACACTGCTACTACCATTTCTGTTACTACTAAGCAGACAGCAGAACTTACAAAAGCGCTTGGATTCGAGGTCTGTCGTTTATCATTTTCTAAGAAATCCAAAAATGAAAATCTCCTTTCTCCTTCAATATCCAAGGTATCTGAACAACATCGCACTTCAGTTTTTCATCTACTACTACCTAAAATCCTAGTTTCGGCACCTTAGAAATGCTAATTGACATTCAATTGGTCACATTCATTCATCCAAAAGTCCTTTAAGAAGTTCAACAAAAAAATGAAATAACCACATATGAAGAAAGAAGAGCAATTAAGGGTAAAAATGGAAGGAAGCAAGAAATTTGAAATAAATTTCCATCTCGTCATGTTTCACATGGCATTCTTTGTAGGGTTTAACTGACGAAATAGCTATTAAAGAACAAGCCAAAGAAAATTTGATGTTTGTCGTTGGTGAAATGAATTATGGAACAAAAGTGAAAATGTCATATCGAAAAGATGAACTCATCTTAAAATGTTCTTTCAATCAAAGAGACTGCAACATTGAAAGGTGAGCTAATTCGATAAAATTCAAGGAAATGGGAAATAACAAATTAGAGTTGACGTAACGATAAAAATTAAGTACAGAGTAGCTAATGACACTGATAAAGAGAATGTTTCGATTTTTGATAACACAAATTCCTGCAGTTAAATCATTGAAAGACAAATGGCTCAATAGTGATCTTTCATTTTCGAAATTCCATTCATGGCAATTGAATTTAGAATTTGATAAGTTATTTTTAAGACGAAAATTATTTTTCAATACACATCTTTGCTACTCACAGAAATAACTGGCAGTCTAAAATTTGTGAAAGCCTTCAACATTAAAATCATTGAAATCATAAAATAATCATTGATCATACAGTTTTTCATATATCTGTTTTGCAGCGATTTTAAATTACATTATGACCAAACATATGGTAACTGCTACACGTTTAACTGGAATCGTACCAAACAAGTAACAGCTCATCAGGCCGGTGCAAACTTTGGTACATTATCAATTTTAATTTAAAAACTTCTGTATTTCTCAGAATAATTTCGCAAATTGATTTTTGGAAGTTCTATCCGTCAGTAATTTCCCTACTTCGCGGAACCCTCTAAAGGAACAGAACGGATAGTTCGTACACATAAAACAATTCAACACACCACCATGCATGCCACTGACAATACTAAATTCAAGATTATTAATCTGTTAGGTTTGCGAGTACTGCTCTATGCTGATACTTCCGAATATTTGCCAACATCAGAAGCCGTGGGTTTTCGGGTAACCGTTCATGATAAATGGGTGGTACCATTTCCAGATGCATTTGGTTACAATGCACCAACCGGTTTTCTGTCTTCATTCGGAGTTCGAATGGTAAGTTGTGTATATCCTACCCTTAAATCATAATATCCGAAATATTTCGGAAATTTTCAAAACAATCTAAAATTATTCTTGATCTGATTAACTGGATAGATTCTTTAGAAAAAATTCAATAGAATTGTTCCGCCACATGGTCAATGTTTGGAAGACAGCAAGAGCAATGAAGAAAGCATATATCCCGGATACAATTACTCTACTGAGGTGAGAATCAAAACCACTCAATAAATTCTCCAATCTTCAGAAATAGTTATTTTTTTGAAATTTCAGGGATGTCACCGGACTTGCAACCAAAAAGAGGTTATTCGCATCTGTGGTTGTGCAAATCCAGCTTATCCGATGCCTAATACAGCAACATCATGTAAAGTTAGTGATCACATTGCTCGGGAATGCATTAAAAATGCTACATTACGCTTCAGTCATCTAAGGAGCGAAGGAAATCTAACGGACTGCGTGTGCCATCAACCTTGTTCGTAAGTAATTTTTTGAAAAACCAGACCATTATTAAAAAATAGTAAATCTCAAGTGATAGTTACTGGTTAAGAACAAGCAGATATCCCAAATTGCAACTTACAATCCAATATAAGACGCAGTCAATTCTGCATTGAGCGAAACAACTTATGCTCAAAGAAAGTAATTTGCTGGAACATCTCCGCATTATTTAGGGAAATCTATTTTTAAAAATTTAAATGTTCAAATTTTATTTGGAACTAATCGTAACGTAATGTGGGAATATGGTTAAACCTATACTTCACAGTAAAATTACGTATTTAACGAATAGTCAGCGGAATATATGGAATCCCAACATCTAATTAGCAACTTTGTAATGGACCTCTCAAAAATAATTAAATACAGCAAATAACGCATCCAGTTAGCAGCTTGGTGTGAATACGTCCTGATTATGCATTGAAAAACCTGTTGCAATTTTAAATTTTTGTTTAAACAGGGAAGTGAATTATGAAGTAACATACTCAGCTGCTCGATGGCCTTCTGGGACGACAAAAGTGATGGAATGTGATGCTGCAGATGATCTCTGCATGGAGCGATACCGCAAAAATGCTGCGATGATTCAAATCTTTTATGAAGAACTGAACTACGAAACGCTTACCGAAACACCTACCTACACCGTAAACAATTTGCTTACCACGATTAAGTAGTCACTAACTGCCAGTCTCCATTAATCCTACTAATTTCTTCCGAAAAGATTCTGAACTAAGCGAAAGAGTTCATTAAAATGAAGTTAGAGAAAACAAAAAAAAATATACAATACTGATTTTTCAGCTTACGAGTGCTTTGGCTGATTTGGGTGGTCTCACAGGCCTTTGGATAGGTGCATCCGTGGTCAGCTTGATGGAAATCATTGCCTTAGTTGTATATACTGTACAAGCATATGTTAGGAAGCGAAAAAGGCAAGTTTGTTTAGATCCAATAAAACGGATAGTCAACAGTAAAAAAGGAAGTTTTTTCGAATCCGTGTAACTTCATCGATAATAATATGGACAAAATAAAAAAGTGAATAAAAGTAGTATCTTTGCTCTCACGCCCCACTAGAAATGCAGATCAGTAGATCCAAAACTCTCCTTGAATAATGGAACAAGGATTTTTAGTTTAGAAATAATGAAATTATATATATATTCAGGTTGAAGTTGGGACTGCATTGTAAGTGAAAAAAAAAAGCTTCTAACGGGATGTACAACTGACAAGTACCACAGCAATACTTTAAGACAACAAGTTTGATTGCAATCGCTGAAACGGTTATTTCCCTCGAAATAATTTTAAAATATTCAAATTCCAGGTTCTCCGCTAGGCAGTTATGTCAACCGAGTGTGTATCCAAGATATGTCAAACGATCTCTATCATCACTTTCAACAGATTCATCCAGTAGAACAAAAGTGATCCAAACGAGGACATCACCAGATAGGCTACAAATCTCTACAAAGTCATCAATAAGTGAGCTGTTATCAGAACTAACAAATTAATCCAAACTAGGTTATTGCAACAGCTATAATCATTTCTGCTAAATTAACGGTTCATGTATATTAGCAGGTCAAAAAGAACGGGAAATGATAGAAGATGAAGGTAACCAGAGACAACATAAGAAATCGAAATATCTTCCACCTGGTGTGGACTTACCCTGCGAATGTGTTTGTGAAAATGGGAAAATCCACGTTAGTCAAGATTTCTTTCTTTTCAATAAAAGAATTAGAAAACTTGTTCCCACCAGTCAGTGCTCGCAAAAAGCTAAAGAATAATTTCGGTAGTTTCAAATAACACATTTTTAACTAGTCGTTCCAGGTAATGAATGCGTTATGTCCTGAACATGGTTATATGGTCAGAAGAAAAGAGAATGCTGGATTATATTGTGAAGTACCTGGATACAATGATGTTGAAGAGGAGCATGAAAATGATGACAATGACGTTGAAGAGGAGCATGAAAATGATGAATTGTAGCAGTGAGCAACAAATAATGGGAAAAAAACGAAATAGCAAAACTTTGCAATATAGCAGTGATGAGAAAAATGATCAGCAAGATGATGGAAAATCAAGTATTTACTATAAAAGTGATACCGAAAGAGTGATGAAATGAAAAAAGCATCGTGTGCATCGTTACATTAATGACAGTTTACAATTAAATCAATTAAAAATATAATTTCAAGTAAACCTAACCCTCTTATCAAATGATGGACAGAAGAACACAAATAGTATGATGAGAGCGATATCAACATGATTTTCTTAATCCGGGAAAAAAGATTTCTAAAGTCCTCTTTGGAGAAGGCAATGCGAAAAAATATATGCAACATTTTTGGATGCTTTTATGTAGGGAAATGCCCACACATGTAGTCAATTTATAGCTCTTTTTTTGTTATAATGCTAATAAAATTTTATTGAAACTGCGTAAATAAAAATTCAACAGTCTCAATAGTTTCAGAAACAATAAAAAGATAAAAGATGAAGAGCAGAAGATCGAAGAGAATAAGAAAGCATAAAGAATACATATTTCAAGGACGTTAAGTAAGTAAAAGATACTGTATGCATCAGCTAATAAATCTATTAGTAGGGACTGTAAATTCTAGAGTGCTCATACAGAACTGCGCACTAAGCATGTAGCAGATGAGCTGATACTGTTGATTTTAGCGTTTTAAAAAACATAGAAAAATTCAAAAATTTTTAGCATGAAAAACTCAGGATTTAGTGATTATTAAGTGATTTTACAGTGCACTTGACAAAACTAATGTATTGGTATCATTCTACATTTTTTCATCCGGCTAACTAACATTTTATAACATTTCAACCGCACTAATAAAAGCCTTAAAAAATCTCTGCTATTCACTCACCAGTCGAAAATCTTTATCATCTCTATTTACTTCTCATATTATTGAAAGTATTACCTTTACCAACTCCTCCAATGTTTCCTTTCCCATAACTGTATACGGCAACCTGTGTAAGCCATCACTTTGAAGTACATACATTGCAACCACGATATTTCCCACATCTACCTCCCATGCTACACTTCCTTCTGCTGCATTTACCGCTAGCACTTGACCACCCCCAGTACTCGTAAAATGTTGATATGGATATGAAGGGTCAACTGAAAATAGCCAACAATCGTTTGTTAGTTATTTTACACGGAATAATACTTTTCCGCATAAAATGTCAAGTAATTTATTTGTAACCTATCAATACAACACTCGGACACTTGCTATTACTTAAATGTTTATCTTTACGAACTCTTCCAATTTTGTTCTCCAAGTGCCTATTTTATTTTATTTCATGCACTCGTCAGTCTGGAATAAAAATCAAATCCAATGTTAAAGATCTTACGACACGTATTTATATTCTTTGTGTTTATAAATTTTAATTTACCAGGCGAAAGATGACTTGAATAATCGGTAAAAGTTGCATTCCATCTTCTATCTCGATTTTCTGGATCCACCATTGTTAATTTGTATTCCGATCTAAAAAGAAATGATTCAGGAAATCAGTCCGTTCCATAAAATTGGATTACATTTGCCTTTTTATACCGTTATTTCATTTTTGAGTGTTTGTTTCTCAAGTGAGAAACTTATTCAACCATAACTATTGAAATAATGCCCATTGAGCAACAGGATTATAAAAAGGACTTGATAAATGAATATTGAACCTTCCAATCAAAATACTGCTATCCTTGTTAAGCGGACACTGGGAATCTGTTTCTGACTGCGATAGCTCCCCCACTTTTATTCCTTTATTTGGATCAATCTCCAACCATACATCTCTCTTACTTCCTATAAAATTCGATCAGTTGCTATTAAATACAAAGATCACTCAAATAACATAAGGATATTCATTTTAAATAATCTGAATTTTTATCGAAACGTTTTGGTAGAAGGATTCAAAGCCATAATGAGAGCAATAAACAAATTTTCAAACTACTACATTTCTAACCTGCATAAAGAACACCATCCGTAGTTCGACAAGGTGAAGCAGAAACAAGTTGTGGTATGGAATATGGCAATTTCTTTAATTGACCATCTTTCAATATGTACAAACCACCGTCTTGCGGATCTGGTATGAAGGTAAAACCATGTCGAATGGTTTTTGGAGATATCAATACCGGATCTGAAATCTTATTTCATTCCACCACATTTTATCAAAATTTCTCTGACCTAAAAATAACAAAAAACAAACAAGCATATATTTTGTCATCTGCATATCATAACCACCATAATACTAGGATTAGTCCTTTTCAAACTGTCAATATTATCGTGAAACAAAAAATGACTCACCTTCCTTCAAAGACCATTTCACTTCTCCGCTATGGAAATCAATTCCTTTGAGGTAGCCATCAATGGTAGACACCAGCAAAGTTCCACCCAAAACAGTAGGTGAATGAGACTGGATGATCTGAACATTACATTAGGCTTTTCCATTACTTTCAACAAGGATTCTTTTCACAATAAAAAATATTTCTAATAAATCACCCATTTGAATATGATATTTCTGCATGTCAACATTTTGAATACTCAGCTAGGGCTTTCAAATTTAAACAGAATTAAAATCACATTTTGACCCCTTGACTAAGCATTTTTGATTCCCGAAATGGTTCTACCAGAGTACAGCACAATTCACTAAAAATTACTCCATCTTTGCAACCTTCACGATGTTTAAATCCAATTTTAAAGAACTAAAATCTCTCCTATCCTGTAATTTCAACCATTTTTCCAATAAATTAGTTCTGGCAAGTTCTACTTTTCTTGAGTAAAGGCTTTTTCCATACAATATTTTATTCACTCCGGTAAAGTATAAAAGAAGAGTTCCAACGCCTCGAAGCAACGTACTGAAATGTAAGATGAGAGAAATTTGGCATTCGCCCCAAATATTTCTCGTCAGGGATTACACTTTTTGATAACTCGATACACAGTACTGCAAAGAAAAGTTTCCAACGTTATCAGAAGGCATTAATGTAATAACGACTTACATCTTTAACTTCGGCAATCGATACCGGTACGATAATAATTAGAAACAAAAAAAATGAACTGCACATGTCGCGTTTGATTATATGCATTCAATGTAGAAAACATGTGCAACCAAACAAAACATCCTTAAAAGCTTTTCGAGTAGTATTTATCTGAAAATTAATTAAGCGAATAAAATTTTCTGACCTACAAAATAAAAATCTTCCAAAAACGAATTTAAAACTTGGAATTTCTCATAAACACAGATAGCATTATTATTGCAAAAAATTCCACATTTCATTAACAGATATGCTTTATATCAAAGAAACACGGAATAATAATATGGGGGAAAACCACAAATATTTATTCTTCCGAAAACTCGCTAGCTTCGAGACTTTTATTACCGCGGTCATTATGCGTAAACGTTACATCTCGTATCCGACGAATTAAAAGTTAAATTATATTGAGTAATATAATTATAACAGTCCTGCTCTCTTTGATATATTTCATATAGTTTCGCAAAATTTAGTAACACCGACCACTTCTAAACTTTGATATTTCTTATGAAACTAATATTCTGGATGAAATCATTTCCAAGAAAATGAATCGTATAACTGGATATCGTATAACTGATGTCGTAAACATTCATTTTATGAATGTAATTCCAGTTATACGATAGTCAAATGAAGCTATCCTGTCAGAGTCTAATGAACTTGGCAGTTGAAGAATCCAATATCTCTGGCCATATAATCTAATATCAGTGATAAATGCCTTAACAAGACTTATATATGCCTCGAAATATGTTGTAAAATTGAATTAAATATTAAAAACAGATATTAGAGAAACTGAAATGAATAGAATAAATCCAGCAAATTTGTAAGATTCAATGCTATCGTATAAGATGAAAGAATTTAAATCGTTAATCCTATAACCAATCTCCCCTAAAAGTATCTCGAAGAGTAACCATAGAGGAACAATAATGATAATCTGCGGATTTTTTGGTAAAATCGAAGCTTCATTACCCTCCCTTATCAGTCTAAAGCATTTGGAAGTGTGTCGCAGATACATTTCACAGATACATTCCACTCAAATCCTTCTATCAACGTTCTCAATTCAATATTGTCTAGAAATTCCAATTTGAAAACAAAAGCACAAGAAAATTATGTAGTAATTCTTGATCCTGATAACCCAATAATCAGTAAATAATTTCTGGGGATATATGAGATGCTATAGCTCTGTTAACATTATTCAACCCCTATAACGATCGGTTTTATAGATATAAAACCAATAGAACCGATTTTCTGCAGTTAGCAACATTTTCGTAATATCAATTTCCTCCATTCTCGACTTCATTTTACACGAATTCACTATATTTTTCCTATCATATAGCTTGGCTCCAAGTATATTTCTACCGATCTTCGAGGACCAAAACATCATCAAAATTTTTCTTAAGAACTCAGCTCAAACTTTTTTGTCACATGAAATAACAGTTCTATTTTCAATCAATAATGCTTCCTCTTTCCACTGCAAATTAAATCCTTCCCATACGGGATATTCGGAAAATTCTAGATATTCTGTGATTCCTATTATTTTAGCTAGCAATTAAATAAAATTAATTTGCTCTAATTTACAAAGCAAAACTAAAATGAATCCATATAAAAACATTAATTTGCACTGCACGGACTCACCAGCAAACATTTAATTGCAAATCACAAATAGAAAGAAGCAAAGATATAACAAACAAGCAAATAAGAACTGTCCATAATCATAAAGATATCCATAAGAAAATGAATCATAAATGTATAATTTGGCAGGAATATTTTGGCAGATAGATCATACCCAATACTTATATATCACATCAAATAAGTATACTTTGAGGGAATAATATAAAAATAACGCTAAAGAAAAAGTAATCGGAGTTATTTCTGTAACAATATACTGGCAAAGCTGATTGCAAAAACGAAACAAAAATTGGTTGAAATGCCGTTTTGCTGCAATTTGTTTTGATAGGACTAATTACTGATTGTCTTCACTAGTAAAGTATAAGAATATCATCGGTACATGACATAAAGAATATTTTCTGTTCAAATACAAAATTAAAATATAACAAATTAGAACTTAAGTTTTCATATAAACAATCACATTTCAAGTTTCAAAATTTTAGATATAAATTTTCGAAATAAAGTACTTCGAAAATTACATTGAAACAAATATAAAAACATAAAAACAAATTAGTACAAAATCTTTGTCAAAAATTTATCTGAAACTGAAATAGGTTATTATTAATAAAAAAGCACGGATGATTGGATATCTTTCCCAGAAATAAAACAAGCTAACTCTTACAGTGGAGATACTAATACCTTTTATATTGATGGTTATTCCTTATGATCTATTCGTAATTGTCAAGTTTTCGCAGTCACAACTTTTAAGCTTAGATCAATCATCCGGAATAAGATATAATAAAACATGCAATAAACAGATAATGATAACAAATAAAAAGATTTAAGTTATTTTTTCTAAAAGATTTTAAGTTGAATTGCAGACAAATGTTGTCTAAACATTAGCGGTACAAGTCGATGTCATAATATATTGCCATCGTCGTAGTTTACAAACCCTAAGATTTCTTTCAATTAATTTTCAAAAAATTGGTTAAAGTTTTAAAGCAGAATAGAATGTCATTGCAATCACCTTAATAATGGATTAAAATTACCATCAGAGATCAAGCAATTCACTATAACTACTGAATACGTTGTTGATAAGCTGCTGGTCATTTCATGAAAATGCAAGCAATTTTCATGCACAAAATAAGATAGATTTCAAGCGGATGCATTTGCACTAGCTATGATAAACACATTTGGAAACAAATGAATGCCAAAGAATTTTGAAAATAAATAGAAAAAAAGGAAGAACTAAATGGGAGTTATGCAAAGCAACGAGATAAGCATCGCATAAGCTGGCACATTATTTGTAACCATACTGCACCGGTAGTTAGCAAAAAAATTGACTTACCAGTAAATCTAGCACATTTCCATCAATTTGCAATTATATCCTAATTATATCCTTCTTAAGATTCTAATAGTAATGACAGATTTAGACCAATTATCAAAGTCCTACTTACTTACAGCGAATACAACATGCAAAATGTTTTAATCCTAGACTGCAACGTTGAAAGAAGTTAAAATATAGGCAGAACAAATAAGTTATACTTCCTATTCAGATAAACACGCTGTACTATAAGCAATAAGCCGGTTTAACACAACACTGATTTCATTTTTTAGTCTCATTCTTTGAATCAATTGTTTCTCTCCGTCTAATTTGTCGACAGAGCCTGAAACTACTTGTAGTGTATACTGGGTTTTTTATTTTCATAAATATTCTAATACGAAAATCAATCTGTGTAATAGATGACTAAATAATCCAAAAATCGAATGTACTCAAAATTCTGAAACCTCAAATTGCAATTTATGCAAAGAAATTAAGTGGAACCTGAAAAGAACTATTAATTCATTTTTGGATTTTAACACACAATTCCAAGCTAAAAAAATTGATTTCATATGTTTCTTCGCATATACTATAGATTTTTAAAGCAATTAAATGGATTTGCACTTTGAAGAGATTAATATCAGTGTTAATATCATTAATATTAGTATTAATATCATTCGTCTCTGCAAAGGTCCAAATTATGTTTTTATCAGCATGCATGCATGCATTATAACGAAATATGGATATGCAAGCTGTTAACCTGTTATATAATAGAGAAACTTCGTTAAAAATAAGCAAAAATTGACTTGCACCTGGAAGCGTCCGAAAATTAACAAAAATTGACGAAAATAACGATTTTTTTAAATGACTGTTGAAAATTTTTAAATTTCAATATATGATAGAGTTGTTGCTAAAACTCTGTGCTCGAATTCGTGCTCCAGCAGCTAGCTCGTAATGTTCTCGTGGCAAGTGTAATGAAAGCCGGCGCATTGATAAGATAGAAACATCCAAATCTGACCTTAATTCTCGAAGATCCCGTTGAACAACCGATTTTCGCCCCACGACCTCCAGTCGTCTTTTCCGTTCTGCATCCAATTGTTCTTTAAGTACCATTATTTTTGACTCGAACAGTTTAATCTTTTGCGCACATGCTAATTCTCGCTGCTCAAGTAACCGCTCAATCTGAAAAAACTGATTAAAACCATCATATTAAAAATGAAGGACAATGAAGCCGGGCTAGAATTGTTATGTTACCTGGATTTTACTGATTTTGAGCAATATGAATCAGAAGCAATAGCTCCAAATAAAAGCAAGTTCCTCAAATTGAAGCTGAGTAATTAAATATTTTATGTTTGGTTTGAATTCATATGAGCGTTCGAGGTATTATGTGGTATATTTAGACACCCATTGATAATAATTAATCGGTGAATAAAGTAAGAAAATTTTGATTGCGTATCAAACCTTTGAAGATAAAATAAATTTGACAAAAAATTATAATAGCGTAAAGATAACAAAAGCTAAAATGTTATTACTTGCTGCCTTTCACGTTGAGCTTGAGTCAGCTTATTTTCCAAAGCTCTTAATTGTGTTGCAGATTCTTTAACCAAATGCGAATTATTTTCTTTTTCCAGCTGGACAACCTAAAAAATCTAATAGCACTTCAAATTCGGTCTTTTCAGTGATATTTCATTTGCTGAGTTTTGTAAAACTATTTTTTTTCAATGTCTAACGTATAGATATGGAACTAAGCTTCACATTAATTCAAAATAGTTATTCTTCATTAAGGATGAAACATATTTTTCCATCAAAAAAATTGACGAATGACATTATGAAATTTTCAGCTGAAATATCAATAGCAAATTAAAATTTTGAAATTGAATCAAATTACCTGGTTTTGCAATTGTGTGCAATTCCTGTACAATTCCATATTCTCCTTTTCCATCGTTGTCAACGATTTGTCCAATGCCTCACGTTCGGATGTTATTTGATGCATTGCTGCATTGGTCCGTTGCTTTTCAGTCTCCAACTGGAAAACTTTACTTTGAATGCCAAATAAATTCCGTTCGTAAGATTTACACAATGCATTGAAATTTGCTATAATTTACCACCCAAAGATTTTTAAGCAGACAAAATAAAAATCAACATAATCAAACTGCCATCGTAACAATAATGTATCTGTCACTTAAACTTTTTGAACTTTAAATTCTAATTAAAAAATTACCATTTCCACTTAATAAGTATCTAGCATCGTTTGATGAGAAATAATAAAGAGTAAAAAAATGGAGTTTATGACTTTATCAGTACAGACTGACTTGAAAAGCCACCAAGTCAACCCATTGACAGCTATTTGAGGCATAATAGGCGTTTCTTCCTTTTCTCGATAATCGAAGGTGTAAAATTTACCATTTCAATGTTTCGTTTTAGAGCTAAGCGCTCCCTTTCAAGACGTGCACAACAAGCATCAAATTCTCGACGTTCCACCTCAACTCTACTTAAATTTCGTTTCAATTCTTCATTTTCCGCAAGCAGCACGATTTTCTCAGTTCGCAATTTTTCCAACTCTGTGCGTATATTCTTTTCAGTGTGTTGACTATCCCTTTCTCGCTTAAATAACAATTTTCTTTTCAAATTTCATAATTAAAAATACAGAAAGAAATTTGCTTACTATAAAGGGGACGTATAAGGATATGACGTATAAGGATGAATTTCAAGAGTTTTAAAAATAAGTTCACTGTTAAATGCTAAATTCATCATTACGTGAAGGAGGAAAAAATTTTGAATGTTCCTGGAAAATAAAAAACTCACATTCCTCTGCTTTCGTGAAAGAAAGCAATCGATATCAAGCCATAGAAACAGTGGGTAGAAAATAAAGAAACCTTTTCCATGATGTTTAAACGCTCCTGTATACGGTTCTTCTCCGCAAGTAGCTCTTCCAATTTATGTTGGATGCTGGCAATTCTATGAGATGCTTGCTTTTGTCGATTTCTTGCTTCATTCAGATCATTTCTAATACAGAAACGACGATTACTGCTCGGGTAAATAAGACGGCGCGTATATCAGGAAGCGTAGGGAAAAAATTTTAATTTAAGATACCAAAAAAAAAAATTTTCAAATAAATTGAGACACTACTTTAAATTTTTAAGCAATTTGAAATCATGTAGAGCCAGAAAGTTCTAATAGAGCCAAAAAGTTTCCAGTATACATGTATAATTTTGAAAGAGCTTGGTGTATAAAAATCAAAATCTATATTTACACATTTAAGTCTAATATATGCTTAAAATCATTCCAGCGAGTTTTGAAAACACACTTAAGCGAGTGTTTTTCTGAGTCGCTGGCTCGTAATCGAAGCAAACAATTGTCGTATTCATGCTTTAGTACACTTAATTTTGACAATAAATCCGAGTCACTGGTAATTATGCGATCGTCGTGTTTTCGTCGATCTTCTCCTAGGCTTTCATCTACCTTAAAAATATTAAATATTTATTTCGGAGCATATTCACACAACTATTAAGTGGTTAATCCGAATTTTTGACAGAGTTGTAAATCAATTCATTTAATTTTTTTTGGATAAACAAATTTGAAACTCATGATCACCAAAAATTTTCAAATAATATTAATGCAAACTCCTCCTTGCTATTCAAATAGAAAATAAAAAAACATTCAAAAAATGAAAAGTATTAAAAAAGTGGTAACTGCACCTTACCTTCGTTTGCTCAAGCATATTTTTGTATTCTCTGTTCGCTTTTTCCAGTTCTCCACATTGTTGTCGTGTTCTTGAAAGCAAATGTTCCGTTTCATTCAAACGTTCTTCCAATTTCTATGAACCAATTTTAAACTTAGTTTTTGGTTCTGCAGTATGAATTCTTTGAAACGTTATGGAATGAAAGACATATGTCAAGGTCACATTGTTTGGTTTTCTATCTTTGTCAATTTACAACATACTTAACAATAAAAACAGTACCTCGTTAGTAGAAATCAGTGACTTCATATCTGTCCAGTATTGCTCTACCTTTTTGTCTGCATCTTTACAAGCCGATTCGTATAACAACCGCTCTTCTTCCCACATCACCCGAAATTTTTCTAATTTTTTACGTTCATTTTCCATTGCTGATAGCTCCTTCTTCAAAGCTGTTACTTCTTCCTAAACATTGCTACGCTATTAAATAAATTCTCCTTACAGTAATTCAAAACTGCTATCACAAATATTAATATTATAAGTCAAATCACATGTATTTATATAACCAATAAAATTTTGCAGCAGTTTGAAAAAGTCACGTGCCATGCATATCCTAAAATGGTTTGCTTTATGTCTTTGAGATATACAAAACCAACCAAGATTTCTTGTAGAAACTCTCGAAATCCACTAACATTTAAGAAGGAAAGGCGAGCTTCTCTATCACGAGTATGAAGATCAGCGCTGACTACCCGAGTTTTCAATGCTTTGCTTTCAACTTCTTTGGCTCGAAGACTTTCCTCCTGTGAAACTAGGAGCTGCCGTGAACTTGAAAGACGTGATTCCAAGAGCTGTTTATCTTAAAACCTCGAAATTATTAGTGGAATTCACTTAAATTTAAATTACAGTGATGCAGAAATCAGATTTTTTCGCACTTTTAGAATCTTTTGTTTAAATCATGTTTTTTTCTCCCTTTTCATCTTCATCTTAGAATTATATATAAACCTACCTTTTTCGAGATCAACTAGTTTTCGCTCCAGTGAATGGACTTTATCTAGACTCTTTTGACTCTCTTCCGATGCCCGTTCCCTATCAGCTTTCAAACGAATAAGTGTGGTTGCTTCGTTAGCCTGCATGAGAATAATTAAACCCAGAAATTATCATGATAAAAATATGGGAAGTTGGATTACAAAGTACAAATGAGTCTGAATCTAAGACACAAATTTATTGAAAGTAGTGTAAAGAAGTATTATTTCAAAATGTAACAGTATAAAACTCTACAAGCATAACTGCTACGTAAACAATTATAAATTGATACCCTGGCTTGTTCAAGCTCGTCAATGCGATCCTTCAAATACCGAAATGTTATTTCAACGGATGAGCTTATATCTAAATTTTCGAGACTAATCGATTCGACGTCAGAGTTTAGATCAAAACGTACATGAGGAGGAAAAGATGCTGAATTGCTACGACGCAGGGATCCTTCACCTTAATAATTTTCAAGACTAATTCCACTATATAAACTTCATCAAAATAATATTTGACAAAACGATAATTTTATTCAAAATTTATAGCAGATTATTCCACCTGCAGTGTTTTTTTTTAGCTCTAACTGTAGATATGAAAATTGTAAACTTAAAATGTGCTAAAAATTTAAACATTTCGCTATTTGTTGTGTTGACCACTGCTACGCAGAGTTTAGAATTCCTAATAAAAACTAATGCATCACCTGTATATAAAACAAATGGAATTTGTAAGAATTAAATAAATCAACGGAAGATCAATCCCTTTCAACATTACTAATTTATATTTGTCACGTGCACTGCTGACATTTATAGATTTATCGATTTCGTTCTACGAATAATCAACTTAGTTTACCTGATCGCGAAAGATCTCGATTTATCACTTTTGTACCAATTTCTGAAGCACATGATCGAAATGGTAATAGATTACGAGCTTCTGCAAATAAGAGCAAATTCTTAAAAATTAAATATATCAATTGATTACATAACCAAGATCTCCAGCCAAACATTAGAAAATTTTGTGGCTTTCATTTTTCGAAAATTGAACTTACTTGCAAAACTAAGTGCTCTTCTAGCGCTATTTTCAAAATGTGCCACTTTTTTCACAAGTTCTTTCCGCGACATTTCAGATTTTGCTAATGTCTGTTCAATATTCATTCGTTTCGCATCTCCAGTAGCCAATAGATTTCTGCACAGAATGAAATTGAAACTAAATAGTTCAAAAGAATTCTGAAGAAACTTTAGTCCACCAAAATTTTCATCACTTCTACTTGGCTTGAAATGAATATCCAGCAGCAATAGAATTAACAAAAACTGGTGAGTAAAATTTAATATATTGAATTCTAATTTAAAGTACAAATGAAGTCTAAATGGATGTGTCTGTTGTATAATAATTGGAAAGTTAGATTGCAAAAATTGCTCCGTCTTTGGTCAAAATGAGTTCCTGCTATCTAAAAATTATTGTTCAAACATTCATCATTCAATTTTCTATTATTATGACATAATATGAAAAGAATTACGAATTAAATGACAAAAATAAAAACGACTTACTTCAAACTGTTCAATTCGTCAACAATAATTTCCTTCTCACACATGGCTTCAATGCGACCTTTTTCTGCGGCCTTATAGTTTTTTACGATATCAGCTATTGCTCGCTGATTTGTTGCAGTTTTTTGCTCCAAAACACTACGCGTATATGTTAGATCACTTGACAGTTTTTCATTTTCATCTTGCAAAGCTGCTATCGTTTTTTCAGTTTCATAGCGCTGTTAAAATTTTGAAATTATAGCTATTGAATAAATGGATTTTTTCTAAGAATGAATTGCATTAACAAGGCAAGCCGTAGGAAGAGACAAAGATTGTAGAGCCAGTTGAACTAAATAAATGGTTAATTCAATAAACAAGAAAGTAAATATGCAAGTACGAAGCATCAACGTCATGCTTTGTTTTTCTGCTCATTCTGCTTTGGAAATTGCACTAAATAAATTTTGAATTAACTAAAATAACAGACTTGTTGGGAAGGGAATTTTGCAAAATAATCATACCAAAAAATGGCACAAACTTAAGCAGATATTAAAAATTTTTTATTCAGTATACAGCCTCAGAATTCTCATATTAGCGATTCAGGGGCTTCTTCAAAACCTTTTGTCTTTCCTTTTCCAGTTCCTTCATCGCCTGCTTTTGTATGTTCTCGGATTGGCCGGACAGAGCTGTCAAGCTTGATAAATCGCCCGTTCTCTCTGACAGTACCATCTCCAGCTTCTTGTTCTAAATGCCATGATTAGATTTTAATTTCAAGTTTGTTTAAACTTTAAAACCACTTAATGGATTAATAACTGAATGTGTCAACCATACTGCCAATCTGCAAATATATTTGGTTTGGATTCCAGAACTGAATCTCACTACCGTTCCTATAACCATATCATTCATCATATGATCAAATCTAATTTCAAGATTGTTTACTTCATTCTTTAATTGTTTCAAGTCGTTTGATAATTCCTGTGTTCGCTTCTCCTCTTCATGCAGTTTGCTTCTTATCATTTCAATCTCTTTTAGCAAGATCTCTTCGTTACCTTTCATTTCTGAAACGAAAAAAATTAAGATTTAAACAGGGCTATAGTAAACGATCCTTGTATGGCCGTCAACTACATGAATAAATTTTAATTTATCATATCATTCTAATGAACCAAATTAATGTTGTGTGCGCAGGACAAAGAGTTGAAATGTAATTTTCTTCAACTCATATTGATATTGATATTCATAAGTTGGCCAGTCATTAGTCCACAGTTTTTCTGAGAAAGGGAATGACACAAAGAAGATCGCTTTGGAAAATCATTAACTAGATGTCGTTATTACAATTCACAAACTAACTTCCGTTAAAAGCAAAAGTGAATTCTACTGATCCAAAAATGAAAAGCGCACAAAGCCTAGCAAATCATATATTTTTTATTTTTACAGTGAAATTAAAAGTTTTCAATATCAACGAATCTTTTTCAAATTTCATTAATTCTCATCAACTTGGAAAACAAAAACACTTGCCACTCAGGGCTAAATTTTGTAACAGTCGTAATAATATGGTAAGTATTTCAAAATTATACCTTCTACTTGAAGGCAAGCTTCCTGCAATGAAGTTTTCAACTCTTCTTGTTGTGTTTTCAGGTCATTCTTTTCTCGTTCATTATCCGCAAGAATACTTTTGAGAGCAGCTTTCTCATTTCTGTGTAATGTAATTTGATCCTCCATCTGTTTCAATTCATTTTCAGCCGTCGACAAATTTTGTGTTTCTTGAAAAAATTACATTTTAAAATTGAACAGATAACCAACGCCATCTTATAACTTTACGGGATAAAAAAAATATTAATGGTTTCTTAAGGATATTTACTAGAAGAGAAAAAAATACGTTAATGAAATGATTGCAGGAAAAAAGAATGGAAGTATTACTCAATTTTAACATTATATCACTTATTGATGCCATATAAAATCCACCTTATACAGTCGCTTAGTAAACAGTTATTAACTTATTACTCTGTTTTATCTGTCCTATAAATTACACATACTGCTTTATTATTTATTACTAAATCATCATTTAGCAAATTAATATGTCACATGATACAAGAATAGTACACATCCTATTACTTTTGTCTAAACGGCTTTCAACAAACTGAAGCGTCTTTTCTAGTCCCAAACATTTTGTTTGTAAGCTTTCAATATTGTAACGTGCTTTCGTAAGCTCATCTTCTTTTAATTTTATGTTTTCGTCCCATTTCCGGCGTTCTTGATCCAATTTTTCCAGTTCTAACTTCATTTCTTTGCTGAAAAATCTTCAACTCTAAAACTTTTAAAACACAGTCAAAATTACAAGATATTTTATTTTATAAACAGCTCAAAATCACTTACTCTTTCTCGCTTATTTCCGATTGCGATAATTTAACAGTATCTTTTTCGCGATCAACTAGCAAATTTAAATCCACCATTTTGCGCCTCAAATTGAACTGTGCCTCTTCACTTTGTTGGAGTCTATCATTTAACACTTTCATATCATTCTCCATTTTCAATACTTTCAAGTTGTATGAACTGTCTTTCTACAAGAAAATTCTTTATATCCTAACAAGGAAATGGAATAGGTATAAAGGTAAAAGCAGTTGGTGATTATTTTTAATGAATGAATCTATTTCAAATAATTTTAGAAAAAATCATTACATTTAATGCAAAATCAAGTAAAAGTAAAAATTCATTACATCATATATATAAATTTCCTTGGTTATCTCATTTTCTCTACAAGGTAGAAGGAGGATTGCAAAATAACTTCGGAAAAAGTTCAAAAGTAAAAGGTTAGTTTAATTAGCAATTCAGAACAAATGGCATGCCACCATTTCCTACTTTTCAATTATTGCGGTGGAAGTTTACACGATATATAATTCAAAAAACGATCCTTTCCTTCGGATAAAATAAGACCAACCTCAGTACAGATTTTTTCCCATTCTGCCATTTCCTCAAGATATTGTTCTTTAATAGCATCCAGTTGTTGCCGTAACGAACTCATTTCTTTTTCGCACCGTTCTTTTTCTGTATCCAACTGAGTACGCAAGTTTTCTTTTTCAAAAGTTACATTTTCATATCGCAAAGAAAGTTCTTTCATTTTTTCTTCGGTTCCAGCTAGCAATTTCTCCAAATGTTCCTGCAAACAAATCCTTCGGCTTGACTAAACATTCATTTAAGTACAATTTTAATTATTTCAACCTTGATCCAAATTGACTGAATTTAATTTTAAACTTAAACCTAATATGCCTGCATTTTGTGTAAATTTGGATTCAGCAATTCAAAGCTTTCGTTTCAATTTACTGATCAATTCATGATATTTCTTCCTAATATTTGCTACAACATTTATGGGAAGTATTAAGCATTACCTAAGTTTTTTGATAATGTTGACTAGCCAATGCATGTGCATTAATTTAAAATTAAATCAGTCCTCAATTTTTCACTAGTTCTTGAAAATTTTACCTTATTTTTACGCAGAGCAAATACTGTCTCATCGTAATTCTCAATTTCGGTTTTCTTTTGGGTGATAACTTTTTTCTCTATTTCTCTGTATTCGTAGTGTACACGCTTCAATTCTGCACTATGCTCCGATTTAATTCTATCATTGATTTCTGGAAACAGAGAAAATTGAAACCGGAAACTGAAATACTCCAAATGATTTATTTACGCTGGAATATTCATAGTATACTTCTCTGGTTCACAGACGCGTATTATCGTAATGTCATAGCAAATTTGAGAATATGAAGAAAGCCAATTTATTTTAAGTGGCACTAAAAGCTAATGTATTTTGTTTTAGTATAGTATCAATAAAACATTAGTTCGGACAAGTTGTTCCGTTCTATTAATAAAATATAATTAGTTCTCCCGTAAAACAATTGATGCATACAGACATGAATGAAACTAGTGTTTCAATAAATTTCCAAACTATAAATTGACCTTCAAAGTACATCATTATAAACTAACCATTCAATCGGGATATTTCGAACTGTGATTCAGATAATGCCTGTGATATTTCGCGCTCCTTCACTTTATACTGTTCCAAAACATCATGAAGTACTGCTTCCTGAAAATGAATTTTCCAGAAATAAATAATCAAAGGTGAAAATAAGCTTTCGCAGAATTGTGATGAAACCATCGATGACTATACAATCCTTAACTACCTTAACTACTCCTAATAATCATTATCATAACTTCAACTTAGAGATGGGAGTTGGATTATATTTAAATTGTTACTTGGGCAACATGACTTTGAATGCAGTTTTCTAGATCTGTTATCTTTTTTTCCAGTTTAACTGTAACGTTAGATATTCGACCAAGCTCATCTTCCAAGTCCGAACGTTCTCTGAAATGGAAAACATCTGGATAATTTAAAATTTTTTAAACATTTACCATCAAAATAGATGAATTACTTATAAGAATGAAAACGGTTAGATGAAAAAAACATCCGAACTACAAGTAAACATTAACATCCGAACTATGGGTAAACACATGCAAGAGGTGTGATATCCTGGAAAAACCTTATGCTGTGTTTGCTTATACCAAATTTTTATTTGTTGTTTAAGTGAACATGAATTTACCAATGGTGAGAATTCGACATAAAATGATCTATGCTAAAATTCATATATTTCGGAAAGCTACATCACATCTTTTAGTTCCTGTAAAGTAATTTCATTGCGATTTTCAACAAATGTGATAAATGAAATGTGTGAAAATATACTAATTTTAAGAACTCAGCTTCCGGAGGATATCACAGCAAACTAATGTTGCATTGAAAATAATCCATAATACTGCTAACGTGCTACTGAATTTGTCAACGTACTATTATGCAATTTGCAGCGGAGAAATAATTGAAAGAGCACTCTGGCGAGCAATAAAGTGATAACGATTGTTATTATTAAAACTGAACTGTGCCATATACTAGAAGCAATAGTTAGGTTAATAGCTAAATGAAACAAACAATAAACATCAAATAACAAAAAAACACAACACAAGGAATTGCATACAATAAATTGTTCCTATCAAATTACTAACGTAATTAAAATTCTCTCTCCGCTTTCCTTTTTATCTTTTATTTTCGATATACAAAAGTAAAGAGATATGTTAATATAGGCATTAACAAAAAAAACTTTGTGTACTATTTGCCCAACACAACATGCATCATTTACCATTTTTCTACTTCATATTTCACCTATTAATTACACATTACTTTTCATCTATAGACATAAGTGTAATTCACTACAGTATCCAGTAAAGAAAATTTTTTAAAAAATTAGCCATATAATAGTTTGAACTAAAAGAAATTCTAGTTCAAACTATTATATGATTAATTTTTTAAAAAAGCGACCGAGGATGTAAATCCTGATCAATCAAAAATAATTCTTAATTTTAGGATAAAAATAAATTAAATGAAATGGTGCAGATTAAACCCAACTAGACAACAAATAAAAATGCAGAGTGTGTGCATACGTCTTGTTTTCGATTACATAAGAATTTTGAATAAGACTACTTCAAAAGTTTCGCTCTTTCTTGGTTGAGTGCCACAATCTTTCCAGTACTTTGCTCCAATTCTTCCTTTCTCATCGCCTGCTCCACCTTAGTATTAAGAATTTGCTCATTTGTCTGGAAAAAAAAATAACTGATCTAATTTGATTCACCACATACACTGCTTTTTTGTATCGCTTAGTTATACAGTTAATTTGGAATATCGGCTTCTTAAAAGATTTCACAAGGAAGTCCAGTCATTGATTGAGCTCAGAATGATTTTCTTATACAATATTTTAGATCAATTTCAAACATATGCATTCAATCTAATCGAGACTTAAATGGTAAAGAAACTGAAAGTATAAAAAAAAAGTTAACCGAATCAATTTTGATTTCATAGTCTGTCACTGCTTTTTCCAGCAACAAAATTTTCTGATCACGATCTTTCAATTGCTTCGTAATTTCAGAAATTTTTGTGGTGGCATCTAAAATGGTAGAAAGGCACAGAAAAACAACAGGAAAAGTTATATATTCAAGTATGGTTGAAGACAGTAGCGTCAACGTGACAAAGAAAAATTGGCATAGGTAAACAGATCTTTTAAATCAATCTTGAAAATTTCGTGCAAATTAATTAATTTAATGCTTCGCTGATAGCACTTAGTATGGATGCTTAGAAATACTAAAAATTCAAATTATTCAGATTATAAATTCAAACTGAAAATTTTGCTAACTCCAATAATCTTAACAAACTTCTGAGTTTTTGGTAAGTCCGCATTTGCAATCGTAGTAAGATAAATAAATACCAATATAATGTGCTAGATTTCTGGCAGTAATCACTTCCAATTTGAGATTAGTTAATTCAGCTTTTAACTAATGCATTAATTCTGGGAAATGTGAGGAGTTAAGATATCAGTTAAAAAATTTCGCGTAGACTAATAACAATCCACCCGCATTTATTTTTTTTTGGAATTAGAATTGTTCCTCAATTTCTACTTTCAATAGTTCACAAATACTCTAAAAATTCTATTATATGCTTAAAATTATGTCTAATCAGCTATAGATTTTATCCATCATATCAAAGAACGAATTCAGCCATTTACAACGTTCACTGCTATCTTTTGTTATATTTAAAATATTATTTTGAACATACTTTCCAAAGCCTCCTCATTTTGCTCCATTATGTTCTTATTTTCAGTCATGTTAGCACGTAATATATTGATATTTGACAGCAGCGAAGCATTTTCGGTTGCCAAAACTGACTTTTCATTTCGAAGCTAAAGAAGACTTGTAAAGTGAATTGATTAAATAAATAATTATAAGGCAGTATTGCAATGTACGTTTATTCGCAATGCTGCTTTAAACTTACTTCACCCAAAGTTTCATCCTTCTGTTCCGTTTCCAATTTTAAATGGATGGTAAGTCGCTCCAATTCTGCAATACGTATATCTTTCGCTTCACTCGCAATTCTAATACCGTTATTTTCATCACGTGAATTCCGCAGTGCTAACTGTTGTTCAAGAATGATATTTTCTAAAAATTTACAGTAATTTTATAGTTATAACAGTTTTTCGTAAGAATGAAAAATATTTTGCAATTTATTTCACCATTTTAAGTCATTTCCAACAGGAAACATTGAATCCTTTAGAATTCGATCCAGGCAAACCTTATGTAGGCATAGTTAGATCAGTAAAAGACGCTGATCATACTGGCCGTTGAAGCTTAGCAAATCAAACTACCAATAACTTAATAAGGTGATGAAACGGCGCTGTCAACTCTTAATGATGAACAGTGTTACAAAACTTGCATTTGTTTTCCTAATCATTTCAATTCATTACCAAGCAGCAACAGAAAAAAAAACATCAAATTGTAAAAAATGCATTGAATTGAAGAGTGCAAATTTTCTCTAACCTTTTTCAGCCATTCGACGATGCTCTGCCACGCAATCAGCTTGAGCATTTCGAAGTTGATCCCGAAGTTCTTCCACTTCATTTTTGTACTTTTCAAGTTCATTCTTTAAGATCAATAGTCTTTGGGTACTGTCCATGTCGCGTTCTTCCATCTCATCTTCAAAATATTTTCGACGCTCAGCAAGTTCTTCTTGTTGCTTCATGAATATTTCATTTAACGTTTCCTGATGATTACTATAAGTACAATTATGTTAAATAACAATATAAATTGTAGTAATTGACGAAGCCTAATAAGCAATATTACGAAAGATGCGTTAATAAGCAACAATAGATGATTCCACAACAGAAATGAGATAAATTGATTGTCCAGGAATCCAGACCTTTTGAAGCTATAAACAATAATTTACAAACAGCAACCTGCCTGTTAAGTAACTGAATTTCATTTTGAAGCTGTTCAATTGCCTTTTGCGTCTCATTTTTCTCAGTATCTAAACGCTCAAATCGTTCATTTAAACGCCGGAAGTTCCGTTCAATTTCTTCTTTTTCTCGTCGTCTGAAATCGCATGTGCAGAATAGTTCATCTTATCAACACTCATAGCCAACGGCCTAGCTATGCTTGAAGTCAGGCATAAAACTTTTATATCAAAATAAGTCAAAATCTATAAAAGCATCCCTTTTCATTATATTTTGCATTTATTAAAAAAAATCTCAGATAAAGAAAACTTTTATTAAAAATCCTTTTAACGAAATATCAAACGAACATTTGATTATTCGCTTTCATAAGGTCTACAAATTCTTCATCGTTCTTTCTCCGTAATTCTTCCATACGAGTTAGTCGATTTTCACGTTCAGATAATTTATCCTGGTATTCGCTACATTTTCTTTTATAATCTTTAATTTCGTTGCTTTTGTCTTGCAGTGCGGCACGCACCAAACGAATCGTGTTAAAATAGCCTAATATTCCATCTAAAACAGTTGTTCTTCCCAAACAGCAGTTATAAGAACAGAAAATGAGCTATAGATATGTTGCTTGCTTCCACTCTACAATCTTCATGATTTTTCTTGTATTTCCAAATCCTGTCATATGCAACGTTTTCGATTTGCTTTAAGTTTCTCCTAGACACATCCATCCTACAAAAAAATAATACCTCGATGATTAAAAAGTAAGTCCGCAGTTCTAACCTGGACTAACAGAACGGGTTCGTCGACCGCGTATTTCATCCAGTTCCGGTATTAAATGAATTTTCTTCAAAGAATCCTTTGCAGCATCGCGTTCTTCATTGGCTTTCTTAACAAGACCTTCCATGAACGCAATCCGACGATTGGAATCATTCAACTCGTATTCCAGCTGGGAAAGGATAATTTAGCGTATATTTTATTCCATAACCAGGATTATGTAATCGTTCAATCGATACACCTATGGCGGTGTTAAGTAACTCTATTTATCATATAAGCAATTCTGTCCAATCTACTTATTTGTAAAGGACAGACTGAATAGAACAAAATATTAAGCTATCTCAATAGATATCCTCTGTATAATTTCCCTAGTACTACTATATGCAAAGTTAAAACCTTAATAGTTCGAGCAGCCACATCTTCATATTTTTTCAATAAATCATTCACCGCATCTTCACCCTTTGTTTCTTCCAATGCAGCATGTTTCCGCTGAATAAATAAAATTTAGTCCAACAAAACTCTGTACGGGACTATGACTCTGCTATTTGCTTATTGTTTTCAGCATATTCTATAAGCACATAATTTGGTGAAATAGGGAAATGAAACAAAGTTCGACATCGTAACACATTTTTCATTGAGTCTTGACATAAGAATTTTAAAATTCAGTGAAGAATTTCGTAATATTCATAACCTGATGATTTCAACAATGACATTATTGAAAAGTTAGGTGTGTCAGTCATATTAAACAAATATATTACTAATAAAAGCCAATAACACCAAATAATATGTTTCCGTTAAAAGAGCTGATCTATCCCCTTAAAGATCATCCTTAACTGTATAATCCATTAGCACCTTACTATCTTCATTATTTATCCGCTAATGACCTTGAATATTTGAATATGCTAACGAGCTTTCTTAACTTTCACCACTTTCCTCAATTCCATTCTTAGTTCTATGTATATTTTTAAGCTTTGAAATATCTTAATTTGTAATCCCCTTAGAGTTTGTAGAAAAACTACCTATTGTTGATCCTCATCGCTTTTATTAACACCGAGACATCAGTTTAGTTAGATACCACTTAGAGAGAATCAATAATTTGTACCTTCATTTCAGCTTGGCAAACAAGTGCTTCCATACTATTTGCACAACGTACGAATTCGGTTCGTTGCCGATCCAAATCACTTTCAGTTTCCGTTCGCAAATCTCTAACCTGTCAAAAGTTTGGCCAGTTATCACATGTTGTGCTTGTGTTATACTTCATTCCGTAATCTCTTTTGTGTGTATGAAAAGATTTTTTTCTTTCTTCTTTTGTATATGGTTATGTTGTATCATTTCGTTGTCCGGTACGCATTTAGCATATAGATGTAATCTTCCTACATCTCAATATCCGAATTCGGACTTTCCGCTTACTATGCATCAATTTTGTTATTACTTGGAAGAACTTCATCACTATGTATTGATTAATGATTAATAATTGTAAATACTTCAGTTCTAACATTGATAAACCGTTTTAACGAGTAACTAATTGCATAGAGAGTTTTAATAGTGAAAGGTGAAACTAAATTGTTTAACAATCATCATGCCATCAACAGGACAAAGAAGCGCATTAAATATGTACACACTTCTGATGTGCTAGCAACTATCAAATTTGATGAAATTTAATTTTGAATAATTTTGCCGCTCTTAACTGTGATTAAAAACGACCAAAAAGTAGAGATTAATTAGTGAAATAAAACTATATTATAAACAATGATAATAAATGCTATGTTATTAACTAAATGTAACCTCTAAGACAAATAGAAAACCCAAGGAAATATATCAAATGCGGTTCGTCTTCTAAGAATGATTGAATGTAAAAGATTTAATATGATCTAACATCTTTTATTGGATGGTTGGGTAACTGGAGCTTAATAATGAAGATAGGGGTTGAAGTTTGTCTCTAAATATGACAAGAGAGAATTTAGATTATCCAACATTACGTTGAAGATTTGAATCAATTGATTGGTGCCAGAGTGTAATCATGCCAAAAGACTGGTCGAAATGTATTCAAATTGGCACTTATTTTATATAACTTAATGAAAAAAATGACTAGCAACCTGTCGTCGAAGTTTGTTGAAAGATACCCATAATTCAAGAATATGCTGGTACTCGGCATCCATTGTACGTTTTCTTTTCTGTGAAAACGAAATTTAAAATTCGAAAATGAAATGCTCGTTTTATTTTAAAGTAATACCTCTCTCGCCGAATAACCTCTGTCAGTGTCTTGGAATATAACCTACTTCTAGAATGATTATAGTGAGATTGAAATGAATAATAAAAGATCAGTCATTGGTTAGCCTCACTTAACCAAATATTGCAAGGCAATTGCATCAAATAGAGAATAAAATAAAAATTTTGATGATTTTAAATTTGGAAAAAAAATTCCAGCCAAATATTTTGAAACGCTGATTTCTTACTTCATTGTTTTGTCGTAGCAGGCATCGTTCTATTTCCCTTTCATGTATTACTTTCATTAATTCTTTCTGAGTTTTCAGCAATTCGTCTTTCAAACTTTGATTTGTACGTATAGCAACTTCTGCTTGTTCCCGATATATATCATTTAGATCTTCCAAGCTATCATTCCTGTAAATATAATTCCTTGTCTTCCATAAATTTTCACAACAAAATATGTGTAGAAAGTTAATAACATAATTTGTTTTCCTCACCTTAAATAAGCTGAATTTATACTAAAAGTGACAGCTTAGCAACAGGAGAAATTTTAACTCGTAATTTTTCTACAAAAATAGCTCACACATATGATTACGTTTATTTAAAACCTATATTTATTAAAGAGGAGCTTCATGCACAAACTATTATGAATTAGAAAGTTGATAACAGTGAAGAAAAACTGATTTTGAATTGTTTTTAGATGAAACTAAATGTCAATAAGATAACTATATTGAAACATACCTTATTTGTTCATCACGTAACTGCTGAATGATTACATCAGTAGAGCTATCAGGCGATTTTGTTTTAAAACCGGTATCAATGAAAGATGAAGACAACAGAGGATTTGCACTTAGCCCATCAGGTCCAACGCGTAACATTTCGGGTGAACTTAAAATTATAGGCAAAAATTTTCCGGGTACAGAATATGAATATGGAATTAAAAACTTTGATTTATATGTATAACAAATTTTTGCTTTTACACGATGCGATATATATCATTTAGATCTTCCAAGCTATCATTCCTGTAAATATTATTTCTTTTTGCAAATATTAAACACATTCGGGTTTGGTAGTTAGAGTAATTTAAATAATTTCTTAGTGATAAATTTCTGTGCAGATAAGCTATCTTCAAAAATCTTCGAAGGTCCATCGAACAACGGCTGGTGGTGCACAAGGATTCTCTAATAATTTGAACCGGATAATAATATAGTTTTTATCTTTTTCCTTATAAATCATATTAGCTCATGATTTTGGAACAATTTGATGTCTTTGAACTTTTTCAAAAAAGAATCCATATGACAAATAGCATAATATACCGTGGCAAAACGTGAACGATATCACCGGTGGCATCGACATATGGAACATGCAAAGCATTCAATTGAGCTATTGATTTCGCCGTACGCTGTCGATACTTCTCTACCTCCAAAATTCAAGATTTTTTAAATTTTTTGAGATTTAAAAATTTGAAATAATCAACAAAATAACAAAAATAAATATCCTCCATACTTCATTCAGGCACTAAAAACTATTTTCTGATAGCTGGAACAATTGAATAACATATGACTCAAATTAAAAGTGAGTAGTATAATGTGCACAATAATGAAGTCTTACCTTTTCATAAATTATTCTCGGTGATATAACATGTAGTACGACTGAACTTCACTAACCTTGTTGCTCAAACCTGCCAGAACTTGACGATACTTTCGCTGTTCATCAACACTTGCATCAATCCTATTCCGGTAGCTGCTTAAGTGAGAAGGCTCGAAAACAGCATCGGTTAGAGATTGTACTACTAAACAAAAGTTTATTAATACTCATATTTTTGATTTGTAACTTTTGCTTACAGGAGATAGCTCAAACATGTAAGTCTATAAGAAACATAAGTTTGTTGAAAAACAGCTTTATGCACAAACCATTATGAGTTGTAGAAGTTGATGGAAGTGCATCGTCTGAATGCATAACAAAATCACTCAAAATTGTTTCGTCGCTGAAAATACAGAATATGGTATTATGTAATGATGACGAAACATTATTTCATTGTCGCGAAATTCAACAAAATTATTAAAGTCTGCTTCCACTTTAAATATCCTTAAACATCTGACACACTTCGTATCTTTCCAAAATTCTGAAGTCCCTTCATTTGATTATTTGACGGAACTTTTAAAAATCTTTTCACAGTACAATCAAAAAGCGGCAACGGAAGGGAAACTTTTAATAATACTTTTCAACAATTCATAAAAATTTTTTTAAAAAGAGTAACATCTTTCTTTTAAATAATATCTTTTTCTACAAAAAAAATCCTTTAGAACTCCACTCAGATCACGAGATTTAATGAAAAAATCCCGAAAAAGCCAGGTTTATTTCTTTTTTCACGGTTAATTTCCATCACGCTTAACTTACAGGTGTGGATATCATCAACTGATGTTTTTCCTATCTTATCCTAAAGTGCTTATTACCTGATGATATGCAGGCTTCTATAGTAACGATGAAATACTGTACCATAAAAAAGAAAACAGAAATGGGATCAGGGGAAAACAAGGGGAACGGACTAGTTTGGAATCAAATTATATAAGTAATTATATTGTCAACACACCTATGATAAATTTTAAATGCTTATTTCATCTCATTTTATTCAACTTAAAAATCTTGAAATAAATTCAAAATAAATAAATATAAGATTATTATCCGAATAAATGGATAATCAAATGAAGGTAATGCATATGCTTACTGTATCAACATAATCGTTCTGACTTAATCATTTACTCTCATTTATTTAATAATTTCCATCTAATCAACTATCCATTTTCAAATCTTACTTATATCGCTATTTACACTCATTTTTATTATTTATACAATTATTTATATGTTTTCACTAATCATTCCTTAATTAAATTCTCTTTTTAGTAAATATTATTTCTCAGTCCGAAATTCTAATCTTTAGATGCAGATGCAATATGCCTATTTTAATCTATTTTTTACTATTAAATATCATATGACTGGAAATGTTTGCAGACAATAAGTTAAAATATCTTCAACTCAGTAGCAAATGAATTTTTAATAGCATCACTCAGCCTGAAATTCTTTAACTAACAATACACATTAAATTCTAAGCACTTTATTCATGAATTATACTTTATCCACAATCAAGCAAACTAAAAACACTGCAAACATTCAGCAAAACGAACAAAAAAAAAATACAGTATTTAAACTACATAGAGTGATAATTACAGGGAGAATAGAATATCAGTATAAACAAAGAAATTGCAATTTTTCTTTTCGATCTTTTCAAATTTAGTTTTAGAATTTTTTTTTTCAAATAAAGACATTGTTTGAGGAATATATGTTTGGTAATTTACAGTGAGTGAGACAATTTTCGTATACGTAACTTTAGAAATATTGCATTGATAATGAAGATACAAGTCTTTTTTGGTGGAATATGTTATACCCAACAAATCAACAAACTATTTAAGGCAATTTCGAAAGATTCAAAAACGCTGTACCATGCATGTTAATTAATTGCTTTAGGTACTTATTACGATTATTTACTCCAAACAATTACTATTATTCCAGTTTTCATAGAAACTCCAACAATTTGCAAGTAATCCTTAAAAACTAAAATGTTAAGAGAATGAAACTAACATTTCAAACAAGTTATTAATTTCGGCATCAGTGTCTTCGCTTTGTTCGCTCATTGTAATTCATTTTTTTCCATAATTCCTGGTGGTGATAATCACTTCAAAATTTCAATATTTCACCTTCAAAACGACTGAAATTTATTACTTTTAATGCAAAAAAAGGTGTTGCATTATAAACAAGGTAATGCCACGAAATAATACATGAACATGCTTTTGCACTGATGAGCAAATATTAAATTATTGTTATCAAAAATAACAATCATATATGTTTTGAACAGCAATGTAATTTAAATTCAATTCAATTCTGCTTTTGCATTTAATTCCATTTAATGTTTTGGCAAATAAATTCCCTTTTAATTCTATTTTAATATCTTAATCCATTTTACAATACTACTAGACCTACCCGTTGCCCCAGAACATCTGAAGATATAGATCATCGTTTATTTGATACTTTAAGAGACTAACTATCCATTAGTAGATTTTAGTTTTTACAATTTACGGTTTATCTGATTACCTTATGAGATTTTATATGCACGTCATCCCGAGATGCTTCATGTAGTTACATAAACGTGACGTTAATGCATTAAGTGTACCAATATGTTTACCTGTCTGCATGTAACTATCAAAGATTAGTTAGTTATTTCCTTCAAAAATACCGACACTGTTAAAAATAGCATGAATCTCCAAAATTGTCAACGATTAACAAGAAAGATCAATGTTTTAACAAGAAAGGTCAATGGGATTTACCGGTTTAGCTGTTTTGTTTTCAGTGTGTCTGTTGATAAGTGGTTATAAAACTGGTGCAAGAATAGACAGCGATGTGGTTAGATTCCAAACGTAGGTTTTACGGATACGGTGATAAATTTTCTTATCCGGAAACACGCTTACCTCAAAAATACGCGCGGAAGATCAAATCCCAGAAATTTGTAAGGTTATATATTATGCCAAAACATTTTGCTGGAAATACAATGAATCAGATGAATTACAGGTAAATGCAGTCGGATTAAAAGTATTGCAAGAAATATGGTAATGATAGAAATCTGCAAATAAGTAAACTACGTTGGTAATAAAAAGATTTGCATCTGATTCATAGATATTATAAACATGATACTTTAAAAATCGAGAAATCACATAGGCTCTCCGTCCTATTATCAAAAATACAGCTTTCAATGGCATCGTTACATTTAAGGATAAGTGTGATTCAACAATTTGGCATTTAATAAAGCATTCATTTATCGTTCATCATTTATGCCAGGCATAGCTCCTCCGTGTACGAGGCAATCTTTTAATCGAGTTTCTAAATTCTTTTATTCGTCGAAGAAGATAATTGGAAATACGAAGAAGTACCATTATTGTTCCTAAGAACCATGTAAAACCACTTATGAATTCTTTCAGGAGAGAAGTAGAGAGAGAATTTAGGATTGTTTAAGGATTACTTGCACGAATTATTAGCTCTTTCCAGAAACTCTTAAATTTAAGTTGAAATTTAAATCATTTTGAAATGTTGCGATAGATGAATTTTATTTTATTTAAATGACAAGTTTACGAGAAATAACAGAATTGCTATATCCCAATCATATGACATATTAAAGCTATGTCTTCTCAATTTAAATGTAGGATCATAGTTTTTATCGTGTTGTTTGATTGGTGTTCAATATTGCTCCCAGTTCCATAAAAACCTAAAACATTTCAAAAAGATTCTGTACATTCAGGTATACAACCTGTACAATTTCAAAATAAGACCTCTAGACCATCTACAACACACTGACTTGAACTTTAGTGTTTGAAGCCGTTAAACCTGAGAACTGAAGAGAAAATATCTTCATGTCACACACCAACGGAACCACTCTCTATATCATAATCGGTTCCGAATGTGACCTGAAATGGCTAGAAGTTTCTAATTTAATATTTTACGAAAATTTGTTCAAAATTGATAGCCTATATTTGGCTATTTCTCAGTTATCCAAAGAAACCGTATGAATTTATTATCTAAAATTATCATTATCTTCTTTATCTTCTCTTTTAGAGAAGTAAAAATGGTTATGATTCAATGATTTCAATTTATTGTATTGATCCTTGAAAGGGTAAAATAATATTAAGATTCCTAAATTAAATTTCAAACATAAGTTTTACTTAGGATTTTAAGTCCATCATGCAGAATCAATCTTTCCTAGTGAATCTTCGTGGAAACTTTCAAATGCAAATCCAAAAAGATGATCATATTATTGCAAATCTTTAATTCTTTCGATCAATCCAGCATTTGAAGTAGATTTTTGTTTCAGAAGCAATCAAGGAATATCAACAACAATATGCAAATAATTATCCGATCATTTTGTAACTTCTATTCAATAACAATTATCACGTCAACAAAACGTAGCAAGTGAGATTAGTTTACTTATGTATTGCTTGCCACTCTCCTAAATTTGAAACCATAACAAGAATCATGTGCTGCGTATGTATCCTCAAATTTTAATGTCTTCATAATGATAAACATAATGATAATAAACTTCATAATGATAAGCTGCTGTAATTTCACCTAATATTATATTCTATCAATCAGGAATAGCAGCTCATTTATTCTTAAAATAAAAATTTCCTTACAATCATTAATTGATGATTTTTCATCAATTAAATTTATCACTTTTACTTCTGTTTCAATTAATCATTGTTACAATAAAAGATTGAATGGTAAAAATTGAATCCATTTATTTATTCAAATTAATTATTTAAGTATCTTAAAAAGAAATCCCGATTTTCTTTTCCGTATTTATTCACGGGAAGGAATATTGACACTTCATTCAGGAATGGATTATCAAATAATTGTGGCAGTTATTCTGTTCAATGAATGAAACTTACTAACTTGAAGGAAGAAGGAATAGAAATAGATAGGATTGAAATAGAAAAGTTAGAGGAAAAAAGTTTTGAAAAAAAGGTTGATTAATATCTACGGAATATGTTTCGCAGCCATTGTGAATCAATAATCAATAATAACAAATTTAATATTTGAATAGAATTTTTAGGAATTTCGAAAATAGTTCAAAGAGATAGTGAGAGTGAAAATTCAATGATGCTGTATGTAAAGTTGGAAATTGAAGTTAATAATAAATTTGCTATGAGGAGCGATGCTAGCAAATATTATAAATGCTGGCAGTAAGTAACCAAAGAAATGAATGAATGAGTGAGGAAGGAAGAGAAATTTAAGATTAAAGAGAAAGATTAAGTTAAGCCTAAATTAGATGACATTAGCATCTCTCTCATATTCTAAATGTAATCAAACGAATGCTGTTAAAAAGTCCAATAGTCACTTAACTATTAAAGGCCTAGTTAATATAAACTTCACCATTCTACCACTAACTCATCATCCTAATTAGCTAATTACGAAACTAATTACGCTTAATCCTGATTTAATGTATCCACAAATAAAAAATTAAAAATTCTACTTTAGAAAAAAATTTATTCCATTTTATGATTTATTTTCTTTTTGGACAAGCAATTTTTCTGTAATTTTCTATTACCATCTATAGGAAGGTATGATAGGTATCGCTTGGGTTAAGATCAATCGCCGATGATAAAGGATTAACTGAGAGCTGAAAAAAAAATCTTGAATGATATCCGGATAAATGTAAGCTGAAAAATATTACTAGCCTAAAATAGAAGTGGGCCTATTATTATTTAATTGCATTTCGATAACAACGATGCCGTTACCTTGACGATATCTGAATAACTATAATAATGTGTCTGCAATTGATTTTTATTTAATGCTACATCTAACGAGAAAGTTAGCAAAGATAAAAACAAGTTCGTTTGATATCACAAAGATCTACAATATGAGAAATTGACCTGAAAGAATGATTTGCTAACGAGATAGTTAGCAAAGATAAAAACAAGTTCGTTTGATATCACAAAGATCTACAATATGGGAAATTGATGATTGATAAGAGATAAGAGATAAGGGATAATTGTGTAACAGAGATCACTCAGAAATAATTGTCACATCGAAAAGACAAAATAAATTTTTATTTAAATATTTAATAAAATGAAATGAAAACAATTTTTCGGGATTTAAATTATTCATTGTTGAATTTTCATTGCATTTGGAAATATTTTTGCTATTGGAATTTCATTAATTTGCTTATTTTTATTTCACTGAAAAATATTTCGTCGATTTATGAAAAATAATTTCCTTCGAAATGACTCAATTTCATATTACTCATTAAGTCATTGGCAATTGACCAATGGACATTTAACATTTAACATTTGACATTTAATCAGGTAGTAGTAATAATATTGATCCATCTAAGTGACTCAATCTCATATTACTCATTAAGTCATTGGCAATTGATCAATGGACATTTAACATTTAACATTTGAGGTAGTAGTAATAATATTGATCCTTCTAAATGAATCTCATATTACTCATTAATTCATTGATATTTGATCAATGGGCATTTAACATTTAATATTTGACCAGGTAGTAGTAATGATGTTGATCGAGATGTTAACCTTTTGTGACAAATAAAAAAGAATGAATGAAAAATCGAAATCTTAGAGGAGAAAATGAAGCAAAAAGAGGAAATTAAAATCATAGAAGGATAATACGATAAATTATAAAATTAGCTTATGAACAATTTGATCTTTATTAATAATAATAATTAGGCTTAGGTTTTTTTAGTTTGTCCGTAGGCTTTAGGTCAAAAGGATCTTAGATCTTAATAATTGGTCAAATTATAAGGTATAGATAGATTATTAATGATATTCAATTGTGTAAGGATCGTAAGGACCATTTAAAAAAAAGAAAGTGGAATTTTCGTGATCCATTTTTCCTCTTTTGTTTTCCAAAATTTTTTAATTAATTTTGCTGACAGCTAATTTTCTATTTGAATTAAATTTTAAATGGATACTTTTTGTTTCGCTTCGTTGTCAAAAATATTTGTGCTGTTAAATGGTTCTGCACTTTTTGGTGATACTACCATTGGACAGTAATTTAATGAAATATCAGCATAATGACGACTTCTAATCTAAAAGTTTTCACATCTTTGATATCATCAAATTAATAATATCATCAATTCGGTATCATCAAATAATTCAAAGAAAAAGAAAAGATGAAATAATAAATTCATTTTCTAAAATTTTTAATTAATTTTCTTTGAAGTTCATTTTCTTTGAAAGTAGTAAAATCTTTGAAGTTCATTTTCTGTTTGAATTTGAATTTTAAAAGCGGTAACAACAAGGTAACATTGTTGCGTAATTAATATAAATTTAATTTATCACTCATTAGCAAAAAGTTAATTATTTTCAATCGTTTCAATTTTGCATCATTTGAAATTTAGAATTAAATTTTTTAATTTACACTTCTAATTTATAATTATATCGATTAATTGATATGTAAGTAATAAAATTTCAATGTTTAAATTTAACAAATAGAAATAATTCAAGTTGTGATTAAATGAAATTTAGCAAAATACCTACAGCTTTACACATATAAACGATAATAATCATTGATAACATCATGCCAACAGTGGCACCAATTAAGATGAAATTAAAGATATCAATAGGATTCATATCAACCATTTGAGCACTTAATGTATCAAACGATCCCTTCAAGCGATATTTAATTTCATTAAATAATCATTGATAAAAATAAAACATCATATAAAAGATACAAAAGATATCATACAAATATTAAATACAGATATCCTATACATGTATGATAATAATACCATACAAAAGATCAAGTTATTTTGCATGATATTATTATGATACATGATCAATATAATGAAAAGTTTCGATGTATAAAATTAAAAATAAGGTAATTAAGTGAGTAAATGAGTAAGTATTCAATCAGTTAGCAAAATATCTAATGAAATTATTAAATAAATGACTAATTAATCAATCAGTCAGTAAATTATCTAATGATATTATCAAATTATCTATTATCTTATCATCAAAAAAATTGTATGTAGGTGTATCTGATTTATATGTATCTCATAATTATTTAATTAATTGAATATATTTTGATGAAATCTATGCAGAAAATATTTTAGTATTATAAAATGAATGCGAAAATTTCAATTCCTAAAATTATTTATTCATTAAATTGAATTAAATAATATTAATAGAATTAAAGATATTATTATCAATTATCTTTATCAGTAATAAATGATTAACTATTCAGTGTGAATAATTTTATAATTAAGAATTAACTAACCATCCAACAACAAGAAGGAAAGGCTTCAATATAAATATACACCAATTGAGAATATTAGCAAGCACAAAAATGATATCATTTGTTAATTTCTCAAATTTTTATAGAAGAATTTTTCATAATTTCAATTTAATTTTGAATTACAAAGATAATATTTAATACATAGTAATTTCAATTTACATTAAAGTTATTTGTATTTAAATGAGTAAGAAATTTTATTATCACTTTCGCTCGTATTGCAAATGATAATATGCATTTAATGCAACATTACAAATTATTGCAAATGATAATATGCAGGCTTCAAATAATAATATGCATTTGATGTAAGATTGCAAATGATTGCAAATGATACTATGCATTTGATGTAAGATTGCAAATGATTGCAAATGATACTATGCATTTGATGTGAGATTGCAAATGATTGCAAATAATAATATGCATTTGATGTAAGACTGCAATGATAACAAATGACAATATGAATTTGATGCAAGATTGCAAATGATAATATGAATTTAATGTAAGATTGCAAATGATAATATGCATTTAATGTAAGATTGCAAATGATAATATGCATTTAATATAAGATTGCAAATGATACTATGCATTTGATGTAATACTGCAAATGATAATTTGCTGCTACAAATTTTTTTCTTGTCCGAAAGATTGAAATTTATGGCTGAGAAAGATGTATTACATAATATTTGATTTGCAACAATGAATTAGCTAATGCTTTATTCCAAAGAAATTTTTTGTTTTTCTTTTTTAAGATTCGAGAGAGAGAGAGAGAGAGAGAGAAAGAGAGAAAGATATGAAAATGAATCTTATTGCCTTTTGAATTATTATTATTACCTTACGATCAATTGGTATTAAATTACTTTCAATATTCAATCTGTCAATTTATTTCTGTTGAATACATATTTTAAAAGTGAATATATTTTATTTTATTACATATAAATAGTATTTCCATGCGTATAATTAAGATATCCATGTATAAACAGTAGTACTATTATAGTTAGAAGTATTGTTTACCAATCATATCCTATATCAATAGCCGGGTGGAGTTCGTGGTAGTGGGCAATGATCGCAATTACCATCAATGCCTAAATTAAAGATAAAATTAATCTTATCGACAAAAATAGATTTTAGGAAGATATCGTTTTACCCTTTAAACTTTTTAATACAGCTGTCTTCAATATAATTTTCGAAAATATTATGTTACTAGAGAAATAATAAGCAATGTGAATAATTGAAAATTTCCTTTCCTGGAAATCGAACAATCTAATTTAGTTTTTAAATGATTATTTAACTTCATAAATTTTCAAACCACGTAAGCCTCTCGGTCCTGGTAATCCTTGTGATCCTTTTTTACCACTTCTACCTTTTTTCCCATCCTGAAAAAATCATACCCGATGTGATTTTTTATGACTACAGCGAAATGATAAACCTTAAATCTTGATGAAGTTATTGGAGCAACTCACCTCGCCGGGTGGTCCTTCAGGTCCGGGTGAAGTCCGTCCACGTTCTCCCTTTGGTCCTTTTACACCAGGTTGTCCAATTGGTCCTTCGGGTCCCGGAGTACCAGCAGGTCCTTCTACTTTAATAACTTTCCCATCCTAAAATATGGGTTTATAAGTATCACAGAAAATGCTACACAAATCACTAATGCCAAAAATATACCAATTTATAACATAATAGTGTGTAATGAAATTAGTGATAAATTTATGAACTTACTTCGCCTTTTTTACCTCTAGGTCCAGGTTCACCGACTCGGCCGATTGAACCAGGTTGTCCAGTCATTCCTCGATTTCCTTTTTTTCCTGAAAATTATGTTTTAGAAAATTTTTGTAAAATTGCATAGGTTGCTAGGTGGATAGGTGGACCAGGTTGCTAGGATTTTAGCATCTGCTATCAATCCTAACAATTTTAACTTACCATCATGACCTGGCTGTCCTGTTTCACCGCGCAATCCTGGTGGTCCTTTATTACCAGGTTGTCCCGCTGGTCCAGGTGGACCAGGCAAACAAATTACACAAGGTTCCTTCTTCAAACCATCATGCGGCATCACATTACCATCTCTTCCAGAATTTCCATGCTAGCAATGAGAAATGTTAAAATTTAAATGGTAAACAAAATTAGAATATTCTCAAATAGTAACATAATCTTAATTCATTTAAAAATTTAAATAAAAAATAATACCAAATGTAACAATTTATTAATTCAAAAACAATAGCTACCCTTCCAGGTTTTCCATCTCCACCATCTTTACCATCATCTCCTGGTGGTCCTGGTGGTCCAGGTGGTCCATGTTTACACATACAACGCATCATTTGTACTACTACTTCCTTTTGTGGTGCTGGTGCTGCTGGTGGTTCATATACAGGCTACAATTTCTTATTTCATTTAAATTCATAACTTCTTGCAAAATTTAAAACAATATCCTATTTGTTTTGAAAATAACGAAAATAAAACCGCTGCAGGTGCACCATAAGCACCATTTCCACCTGCATTACCAATACCATCATCACGCCATTGTCCAAATAACCAACCACGTTTTTCACGTCTTCTTATCTGACGTTGATTTCGAATAGCATACATTTCGGACCACATATCTCGTGAACTCATCTGAAAACAAAAGACAAAAGACAATTATCAACAAAAGACAAAGAATAAATGTATTACTATAAAAAATAAACTTTTCAAAATTAAATAAATTCAATGAATCAAGATATCTTACTTTACAAAATTCTGTTCCATCCAAAATTTTCGAATGTAAATAATTTGCATAGCTATAGAGAAATGGTACTGTCAAAATTGCCAATGAAACCGAAAATATTGATATTGTTACTGCAGCAATTGCTGCATGTCGAAATTGTCTTAAAAAGAAATAAATTTTTGAAAAGCTGACTTTAAAAAATTTTAAAATAAATTTATATATTTTTAATTACTTATAAAATATAACAAAGAAAATTTTAATAGAGCAATTAACAGAAATTAATTACGTATTAAAACAGATACCTGTGTATTTCAATATCCATCTTTGGATCGAAATTCATAATTGTAAATTAACTAAATGATAATTGATAAAATCAATCAACAGCAATCTTTCAAAATGGGGATGCAATTTAGGGAATTTTAAGATGACAATGAATGCAATTTTATTAATAAATGGGGACAGAAAATACACGTAAAATTATCGGTAAAATTGATATTGCTATGTGATAATATTGCAGTTATAATATATAAATTGAAAGGATGATTCATGATGATATTATCAATAATGAAGTGACCTAAATTTTTGGTTAATATTTTAAAAATTTATGACAGATATGAAATTTATTAACTGATATACTATTTATAGGAGTGTTATATTTAAAAAGAAGAAAAGGATGAAATAATCCATTGCGTTGAAAAATGTTGAAATTATGAGATTATCCTAAAATTAAAAAAAAAAAACGAAACGATCAGAGAATGGCTTAAAATTCTAACTTATCATGTAGATTTAAATTTTGAAATTCTTTTTGAAAATTTTTAAGCGAAAGAAATTTTGGTAATTTAAAATAAATTTTTTCTATTACATAAATTTTACTAGAGAAAAAAATTTACTTACATGATATTTCTACGATTTATTTTCCAACGAATAATTTCTTTCTTCTCATAAAGTTATTATTGATTGATCAGAAGAAAACTTTTTCGCCTTTCTTTCAACCGTGTATGTTTGTAAAATAACTGTGAAATAATTTTCAAGGAATTAATTGTTTAAATCATTTTCAGGATGACTATCAGTGATAGATTTCGGCGTATTTGCAAACCAAATTTGGATGTCCGTAGAATTGGAGATATCCCAATTCACAATGACATAAACGGAATTCGAAGAATTTATCGGAATTATTTTAAAATAAAGATATTGAAACGAAACAGAGTTCAACGAGGCACCAATTTTTAATAACGTTTCAATTTCAAACAAAAATAACAATAATAATGATCACAACAACAACAACAATAACAATAACAATAACAACTACAACAAAAACAACAATTTTTTTCAACTTCATTTCACGTTTGTTTAGAATTTAGGAGTTGTTTTTTTAAAAGAAATATTAAATTAATACGAGGAATATTTACGCTCGGTCATTAACAATGACAATAACAATAACAGTAACAACAACAACAATAACAGTAACAATAACAATAACAAATGATCAATGCTATATCGATCCTGCAAAAAGCATAGAAAAGACACATCTATCTGATTGTTGTGATGTGACAGATGTATAGCATTCTCTCTTTCTCACCTTTCTTTTTCAATTCATTTGATTTGGATGATAGACGTTTGTTTGAAATTTAAGAGTCGTCTTCTTAAAAAGAAATATTAAATTTACATAAGAAATACTTATGCACGCTCAATGCTTATGCTTCTGAAGTTTGCGAATGGTTGCGAAATACTTATGCTTCCGAAGTTTGCGAATGGTACAAATCTTATATGCTTAGGAAATAACCCATAAGACAAATTTTCTGCGGTGCTTTTAACGTTACTTATCAGATTGTTTATTTAATCTCACTTTGATTTAACTATTGGTGTCTAATAATTCGGAGCAGCATTTTTAGGATTATTTGAAGCTATTCGAAATTTTCCGAAATATGGAAACCAATCGTATGATCATTTTAGTTGCCATGACTTATAATCAAGCTGAGAGCACACATTTCCTAAATTATTAAATTAATTATTGCTTGAAATTAATTCAAATTAGTTACTTATCGTGTTATCCTATTCTACCTTTTATGTTTACCTCAAATTAATACACCAAAATATATGCCCACTAAATAAAATTATCTTCGAAATCTGTCATAGAAGACATTTAATTCTGGTAATTTCTCAAAATTTAATTTTATTCAATTTTTCAAATAATTAATTAGGGTCAGTAATGAGATAAAGATGTAGGGATAAATAAAGATAATTGGGATAGTGTCGCGCAATTCAGGGTCAATTGGATTATGCTGATGATCATCATCACCATACAGATCATCTAATATATTCTATTAATATCCTTTAGCAACTATCATCATCATCCAAACATCTTGTAGTATCAAATGTATCATCATCATTATCATCGCCATTCTAATAATCGATATGATAATAAAATGATTTGCTTGATGACACATTTAGTGATGACAGTGATGGTGGAAGGAGAAAGAAGGAAAGAGTTAGAATGAAGCATCTTTTCTAGCTCCTTTTTTTTCCTCTCTCATCTCATGTATGAAATGATCGCTTACACCCTCTTCCCCTCCCCCCTTTCCCTTACCAATTCATTCTAATTTTATGCATTCATTCTAAACCCAATAACCGCCCTATCGGCGATATATCGTCAAATTTACGACTCTGTTTTTGGTATAGTCAAGAAAGAAGAATGAGGGAAGAGGGAGAATAGATGAACCAATAACCTTATCGTATCGCTTTTCTAAACTTCAGACAATTCAATCAATGTCAACCCCTCTATCCTCTTCTTCCCCTCTCCCTTGTCGACCTTCTATCTTATTCTTTTCATCTCGATTATATTTTATAATTTTTGTTATTGCGGTTTCATTTATGAGTGAGTTAAATTTCATTTATTCCCTTCTCTTGTAATTATCTTAAGTTATTCAATTATAATAATTATAGGATATCAATTAATTATCTAATCAGTAATTATCATACGATATCAATTAATTGTCCAACTAGTAATTATCATAAGATATCAATTAATTATTCAATTGTAATTATCATAAGATAACAATTAGTTATTCAATTAGTAGTTATCATATGATATCAATTAATTATTTAATTAGTAATCATCATAACATATCAATTAGTTATTCAATTGCAATTGTCATACGATAGTAATCAGTATATAAATTACAATTAATTCGTTTACAAAATTTATTTATGAATTTGTAATAAACATGAGATAATTGCAATAGTTGGCTAATTTAATGACAATAGTTTTATTCAATGAATTAATTTAAAATCTATTAAATGCAGAAATCATTGTTGAAAAATGCGATCACCATCAATCGATTTGAATACACTTTCAACAGAATTGCACAAAATTGCACAAGCCAAGTAAGTCATTCATTTGTATAAAAATTTCAAGCATTTCATTTAAAAATTTAATGGGAAGTAATACCAGACAACAATGATACGATTTGATAGCTGTAAAATTATGTTGAATTGATTATTATGATTGTAAATCACGATAACTATAAGTATAATAATAGGTTGTTTCTGTTCCCATCGATCAGTTTAATTAATGTGATAATTTGATAAAACTATCTAATTATAAACTTCCTTTATTACTAATCAGCCAATATCATCAACAATAATTATCGTAATGATAATTATTTCTAATCTAATCATTTTTTCTTACGCTAACTTATCTCACTTTTTGACGAAAATAGATAACAGATAAAAGAAGTTACTTTGAAGCATTTTTGTAAAAATGATTATCAGTGTTCAGATAAAATGCAATCGTAAATAATTTATTACAATGATACTGTAATCATGCAGATAGTAATCATAATTGCAAAAATTACAACAATTGATAAACTGATACATGATGTCGATAAGATCATTTTAGTGATAATCACAATGATAAGCTTTGTGATAATCATAATCATGTTAATTCAGGACGAAATTGGAAGATTTCACGATGAAGCGTAATGAGCTATTAGCTGAATTAGCCGATTTTCAACAATCTAAAAAATTCATCGAAGAGACACAAAAAACAATCAGTGATTTGAATGAAGAAAAGGATGCTCACAGTGAAATTATCCAACAAATTAATATGGTTAATTTATTTTAATCAATATATAAATTGCCTCGTTAATTATCAAATCATAATTAAAGCGAAGGGTCAAAGGTTGAAAATTACTTTTATCATTTCATATAGTAATTATTAATGTTTAAATTGAGCGCTATTGGTAGTATTTCTTATATGACAGCATAAAATTTGTAAGATAATAAAGCCATTTTGTAAAATTAGATAACGATAGATGCCAACCTTTACTACCTGTTAATCAATTCTAATTAATAATAGTTCTTAAAAATAAATAATAGTTGTAAACTAATCTTCATCTTCTGTCAGAATATAATATTCGAAACTATCCGGCAATAATGCAATTTTAGAAATTCATATTTAGGATAAACAAGAATTGGAAAAAATTATGAATTCAGCTAAGCAAGAAAAACGACAAATGGAAGAAAGTATTAGTCAGAAATATGAGGAGATATTTCGTCTACTGGAACAGACTAATGAGTTATCGCGGGAAACTGGTATTGGTGAAGAAGATCTCATCTCACCATCGATTATACCACCGAATAAAATTGCTCCGTTAGCTTTACTTCATGAATTATTCCATTCATTCATTTTCTAAAAAGGCTTTTTAAGCTTACAAAAAAGCTAACTTTCAAAAAGCATAGAAATTTGTACTAATTAAAAATATTGTTTTTATCCTCCATATTCAACTGCTCTTTGCATATTTATCTAGCACATATAAATTGAATTTTTTTAGATCTTAGATATACTATCCTTACTTATTTGACCAATGGTCAGTTTCATAGTTTCGCTTATTTGCAGAGTAAATTCTAGTATATTCCTAATTTTAGCAATCCGAATTTATTTACTGAAGAAAGGTCAGATCAATTTGAATATCAAAGAATGTGAATTTCTTTTTTTAAAGGAATATTTCATCTGTTGGATCATTGGCTGCTGCTGCTACTGCTGCTACAAGCGCAAATGTTCCACCGCTGTTGCGTCATTTTAAAGTTAATTCAGTACCAGCTGTTGTACAACGTGCTATGTTCAATTTTGATTCCATTTTGCTACAAGCAGCAGCAGCACCAACAATGCCAAGACCGCCAACTATATCACATGCCTTTCCAACTACTTCATCACTTGCCAAAGTTGACCATCAATCACCTCCCATGAAAGTTTGCTTTTACTTTATTGACAGCTTAGATGATAAGAAAAAAAAGTTTTACAAAATTCGAACAATTATCGTTATCTTATTTCAAAAAGTTTACTTCTTTCACTAATTATTTATTTAATAATTAATATTAATTAGCAATTAAAACTTTTCTAAATTTGAAATTATTAATATGTAATGTTACCTATTACTTTTAAGGTAATACTTTAGAAAGAAAAAGTTTCATTTTCAGACATGTCAATCATGTTTCCAGCAAATTCATCGTAATGCTCCAATATGTCCAATGTGTAAAAGTAAAAGTCGATCAAAAAATCCGAAGAAACCAAAACGAAAAGTGACAGAATGAAATTCGTTGTATTTTTAATTTATATATAATATAAAATAAAATAAACAAGAATTTACAAAATGTTTTATCGTTTGAATAATACAAAATATATACATCATAAATAATACACTTTATGATTTTTTGTCGAATATTTTAGATAGGAAAAGAAAGAGCGAAAAGCTAAAAGAAGAGAAATATCATCTTTATTAATACCCAATTAATATAAGTTTAGAAATAAATATAAATATTTGAAATTTTCAAACTTTAATAATTTTAAAATTAATTTCTGATTTTCAATTAAAATTTGATTATTAATTATTAATAAAATTATTAAAGAACAAAAGAAATAAACTTTAATTAATATTACCTATCGATTATTAAAATTTATTCATTTATTTATTAATAAAATTATCAAAGAATAAAAGAAATAAACTTTAATTAATATCACCTATTGTTTGTTAAAATTTAGTCATTTATTTATTAACAAAATTATTAAAGAACAAAAGAAATAAACTTTAACTAATATCACCTATTGATTATTAAAATTTATTCATTTATTTATTAACAAAGTTATTAAAGAACAAAAGAAATTTTAATTAATAACACCCAATGATTATTGAATATTTTAAATAATTATATATTTAAATAATAAAAAAAAATTATACACAAACGAAAATAAATGATTGTATACATTGATGAATCATTCATTCATTCATTTATTTAATTATTACAGTGATGAATCATTCATTCATTTAATTATTACATTGATGAATCATTCATTCAATTATAAATATAACATTTTTTATTTAAAATAATACGTTATCTGTCACTAAGCAAATTTAATACTTAAAAGGATGTAATTAAAATATTTCTTTTAAATGTTTTATTTACAAAAATTTTTTTAGTTTGATATTTTACTTTTATATTTGCCATTTTCTCTTTCCTTACACCTTTTCATCAACAAAAAACCGTTTCTTTCCATAAACAATTCCAACAACAATTGGTATCGTTCGTCGTTATTCAACCATGTCTGATACACGGCGATTTTCATCATTATCATCATCATCATCATCATCTGCATAAAATGCCTCCCCCCCCCCTCTCAATCAACCATATCAAACCAACCAACTAACCAACCAACCAACCACCTAACCAACCAACTAACCAACCAACAACCAACTAACCAACCAAACAATCAACTAACATAAACCAACAAATCGAACCAACCAACTAACGTTCATTGATTTATTCATCCATCAATTTCATTCATTTATCAAATTTGATAGATTCATTTGAATAACATTCTAACGCTGTCAATTATAACGGTGAATATTTGCTGGCAGATTATTTTTCTCATTATAAATTCTCTATTATCCATTCCATTTCATTGCTTTTATTTTTTGATTTTTTTTTAAAATTTTAAATTATAAAATTTTATATTAAAATTTCTTTAAATGATTTGTAATTATTTATTGTTTATAACAGAAAATTAATGTATAATATAATATTTTATATGAAAATATGTAAATAATATTTGGAAAAAATATTTATGATCGATTTAGAGCATATGTAATAATAATTCTTATATGATATAGTTTTCTTTTCATTTTAATTGTTTGTTTTTTGATATAATAATAATAACCTTTATATGATATAGTTAGTTTTCTTTTCATTTTAATTGTTTGTTTGTTTTTTGTCGTTAAACTTTTTCGAATTGAAATTTATTATTTTTAAAAAATTTTTTCCTCTTTTCATTTATTATCATAATAATAGTAATTTGTTATCATTATAATGATAATTTATCATTATAGTGTTGTAGCGTGAAACGTCTATTCAACGTGAGATATTTCGTGGAATTATTATGCTTTATAAGCGATGAATCTAGCGATTTTAAATAAAGAATTATGCAAATTATCGATAGCAAAGTAATTTTTCCAAATATTTTTATCTATGAATTCATTCTTAAAGAGAGAGAGAGGGAGAGGGAGAGAGAAAGAAAGGGAAAAAGAAAGAAAGGAAAAATAAGTTTTACTTGTAAGTTTAAAATATTTATAAATTTATTTTTGTAAAAAAGAATTTTAAAATCTAAAATCCTAAAAAAATTATTATCGAACTTAATGTTTGCATAAGAATAAATTAAACGCTATAAACTATAAAATAATAAATTCATAAACTATTGGAATTGAATGTTGGAAGTAATTAATGAAATGATTGATAGATATAATTAAATTTGGATAATTTACAAGGATTACAGTCAAAAAGTAAACGAATTCACCGAGAAGTTGCACGAATTATGTATTGCTCTTAATGAGTTACGAGAAATTTGCATATTTATTACGCAATGTGAAAAATTAAGTGGCGAATTAGAAGGTGAACGTCGATCACATGCTGATGAATTACGACAAATTAATCAGGTATATTAGAATTTTAATTATAAATTAAGTTTCATTTACCTTCAGATCAGTCGTAAATTAAATAAAGAAAAAAACATCATGGTCCTATTTATTCTTTTAGAGTGAGTTTTGTTATATTTTATATATCAAAGTTGAACATTTTATTTTATATTATAAATTTGAAATTCCTTAAAACAAATAAAATAAATTTGAACTTTTACAATTCTCAATAATTGTTATCAGAAGTATGAAAAAAGCCTTAGCATTTTAAAGTTCAAATGAGGCTCTCAAAAAGGAAGGATTAAAATGAGGCCTTTAAAAAGGAAGGATTATTTTAAAGTTCACTCGAAACGAGGCCCTCAAAAAGGAAGAATTATCAAATGTGAAAGCTTGCTTCAGGTGAAAGCTTCATATTTGATAATCCTTCCCTTTCCAATGTCGAATTTCAACAAAACTAATTTATTAAATTTTATATAATATTTCAAAAAATTGAAAACTTAGAAAGTTAGAAAATGTTACTGTATTTTTAGGATATCAATCATTTGGAAGATACGTTCAAAAGTTTAAAAAATGGGAATGATTCTAAGAAAGAAAGTATCACACAAAAGTATCATGAAATTGAGCGAGATTTAAATCGTACGAATGAAATTTTATGCGAAAGCGGTATTCCGGAAACAGATTTGCTAACAAATCAAATACTTTTTCCGTCACAATTTGATGAGTAAGAAATATAAATTTTTCTATGAAATAAATAAACATATAATAATATTATGCATTTGGTAAAAAAAATTTCAGGTCCCCTAAATAGCTGGCAATATTTTAAGCTTTGCTGAAAAATAAGTTTTTATGAAAATTCGTTATAATTGTTTATTTGCACTTCTTCATATGAATTTGTCCTACTTTTTCTTCAGAGTGATCGATAATAATGCTGCAAATCATTTGGCACTAACAGCACCGCTTGTCCTAAATCAATTATCGCATCTCTCATTCCTTGAAATATTAAATCGACATCGGAATCATATTCTGGATACTTCCGATCGATTTTCATGTACATCCGGTAGTGCAACAACTGCTACAGCTACTGCTATGACTAACATTATATCAGCCATAAGTGAACCAGCTAAGATGAAGGTAAACAAGTAATGCATACTTATAATTAAATACTTTCAAAAAATTTTTCTCTTTCTTTCGAAATACATATATAACTTTAAAATGGTTAGTTTATTATATTCAAATACTCTCTACTAGGACTAACCATGCATAATGAAAACTTCATCAGATGATCGATCAGAACTGAGTAATTAGTAGTGAGTGATTCAATATGATATACTCAATTATTAATGATAAATTATTAATATTTAATGATATTTAAATGATATAAATATTTAATGATAAATTATTAATGATTAATGATAAAGTGAAATTAAATTAAACTGCCATAAAACTGCTGCTCAATTTCTCAAATTTTTGAAGAAAATCTTTTCAGAACACTAATAACATTTTATTTAGTAAAATTTCGCAAATGTTGAAATTCCGCAAATGTTGAAATTTCCGTTGAAATTTTACTATGTTGAAATTGGTGATGCATTTCGTTTACAAATTTCACGCGTCCTTTTTAATTAAATTATATAGTAATTCAATTTTATTTGATTTTTCTAATTTCCCTTTTTTGCTCGAAATAAAATGAACGGATAATTGCAGAAATGTCAATCCTGCGAACAACTTATACATCGAAATGCTCCCATATGTCCACGTTGTAAGGCGAAAAGTCGATCAAAATATTCAAAAAGATCAAGAAAATTAGAGTAATTAATTTAAAATGGTTATTGTTTGTTTGCTTTTTCGATATTTAAATATCAGATGTACCGGTTTTTCACCAATATTTAGCTTATTCGATCGAATGTATGTAAATGGGAAAGAAATTGGATCCGTTTCGATAAAAGTGATTAGTAATAGTATAAATGATATTTTAGTTAATGAAAGATTTCCAGAATATAAGTTAGTCCATTATGACTGATGACTATTTATAATTGTGCAGCGAGAAAGATGATCTTTGCAATGATCACTGTACATGAAGTTAGCTTGAAAGTTAATTATCTTGAATTAATCTTGACCTTTATATACATACAGTTCGTATTTGGTACAGGTGACAAAACTTGAAGTAACAAAAGTAACGAAATAACCTTTGACTTCAATTTTATAGAGTTACATAAACTATTCGCTCTTAACATTAATGATATCATGATATAATATGATCTAGAAATATTCACATTTCTTCATAATCAATTTAATTTTCATTCTTCTTATTCAAACTAAATGAAACATCCGATTTGTTGATTTCTTTCTAATAGTTTCAAATCAAAAAGAAATTAGAAATTTTTGCTTTAAATGTTATTCTCAACTTGATATATCTAATTATTCATTACTGATTATTTGTATATGTAACAAAACAGTTCATCATTCTAACATTATCGATAAAAATATATTACATAAATTTGTAATTACACAAAATTTCTACAGTAATAATGAAATTTTCGAAAAACAAAAATGAAATTAACACTTCAAAGGCTTGCGAGCTATCATTTATTATCGTTGCTGCTCTTTGTTGATGCCTGACTTCGATTCGGTATCACTGACTGATAAGTAAATTACAGATAGGAGAAAGCTCGAGAAAAATAGTACGGTAGGTACATACGGTAACTGATACTATTAATATCATTCATATTAATTTAAAGACTAATAAGAAAGTCAGATATAACTTACTGTAAATACTATTGTATGAATTGTACGTTTGTAAAAATGACTTTAAAACTAACCTTTAATATCAGTATCTATTATATAGTACTGTAAACCTTTAATATTAAAACTTATATTGAATTGGTTTTTCTCGCATAGTTCTATGATTCTCCGATAATCCTTTTAAAAAATATACAATACCTTGACAAAAGCAACAAGATAAGAGTATGCTGAAGAGAGATAATCGTAACTTGGTGATCGAGCGGTTGTTGCATCGGAAGAGTGTGCACAGCACATCGAAGCACTCTAAAAAAAGATTTAGTAGTTCAGTCAAATTTAAAAAATGAATTTTTATAATTACTAGTAAATTTAAAAATAAGCTCCCAAAATTAATTACGAATATATGTAGTGATGAATTTTCTTGCAATTTGCGACTAATATATCTCTGATTTTACGAAGGAATTTATTTTCAAAAGATTTGAAATCTTATTAAAAAATTTTTTTAAAACATACTCTACTCTCCATGGATTGCATTGAATAATCACTTGATGGCATATAATTATTCGAATCTTCTGTCTGCAACATTTTCCTATTGTTTTAAATTTCAAATTGTGAAAAAAGGAATATAGGAAATGGTATTAATTATTCTTGGTAGTGATTAAGTATTCTATTCACTCTAATTATGAGTATATTTTCATGATCTTTTGCTAAAAATATGATTTTGTGGAGAAAGCAAATTAAGTGGAAAAGCAATGGAAATAGCAAATTAGACTTAAATTAAATAAATGGCTCTGATAAGCTTCGATCAAATCTATTCTATTTCAATTTATTATCAGCTCTTGCTTTTTTTGACAATATATGATATGATAGTTATGTAAATTTTCATACTGTATATATTGGTAATAAAATAACACACTCGTAAGAGATCATCAAAACGCCAACGTTTGCTTCCAACCGCAAATGGTGTAATTGCATTTTGTTCAAATTGAGCAGCTTGAATACGTAGATCATGATAGATTGGTGCTAACTCGATATGCAATCTGGGATATAGATCACGTCGTGATAACTTCATTATCAACTCGATATCATCCCGAGGACTGGCGAAAAAATTCTCTACCGCTTCATTTATGCACTACAATTCATTTAAATAAACAAAAGCCAATACATTCGGAAAGTAAATAAATCAGTGAATTAGTTGTAACTTCTGCAACAACAATTAATTTATAAATCAGTGAATTACTTGTAAGTTGTGCAACAACAATTAATTTACTGGTATAATACCGATGGCCAGCTGTTGGTCAAGTGATGATACTGCCACTGATACTAATGACAGCAATGAAAAAACAAATTTGATTTCAAATTTGGATGACCTTTGACATACCGCAGATTTTCAATTACTTTTCATTTCCTATCTTTTTTTAAAATAAACTCTCAATTATCGAACACAAAACTAACTATAAATTATCTCAAATAAAAATAACTTTTCGTCAAATTAGAATTTCTGTCGAAAATTATTATCATTATACGCCACTTTTTAATTACGTAGTTAATTTCAGGTCCTATAGAGACCTTATTTTTTTTTAATACCTTCTTGGTGAGGATAGTTTCGTATAGCCCCCATAATGGAATAGCCGGAATAGCTTTCTGATCTCCGATCGGTCCTTCCTGTCCGATTATCCGACGATTTAGTTCACTATCACTAATAACGCGCATCTTTGCTATGCTTGAACTATCATCCAATAACTGCTCAATCACCACTTTATGCAATTTATTGTCGGTATTTTGTATCTATAAAATAATTTTAATGGTTCAAATGCTTAAATCGTAGAATAGTAAACTTGTACTATTCAAAATTTACTCTAGAAGTTTTAATTTTTACTGGGCTAAAGTTCATATTGTTGCAGTCAAAATTTGATCAAAATATCGTGGAAAGTTTTATGAGAATTTTTTAGTTAGTAAAAAATGTGTAAATGCGCTATTTATATAAATTAATGTTCTAAGAATCCTATTGAATTTCCAGTTCCATTGAATTTTTATCTTTGATAATTTTAGGATCCGAGAATGATTTCCTGAGAATAGGCCTACATATTTGCCATTACTCTTGGCTTGTTCCAATGATTTATTATTCACTGATTTGATGGAATCGTATGAAACAGTTCCAGAACTTTGTGAATATGTTCCAATCAGATCAGCATCATAAATTTGCATATCGTTTATCTTCGTTATCATTACATTACTCTTACTGATCTCCTCTCCTGGCTTTTTCAAAATCTCTTTCTTTGTTGCTATCTGTGGTATTTTCGCTTTTTTTGATGCTTCTGATTTCTCCTGCAAATATTTCCTGACATTTGTAAATAAGCTATTTGAATCATCTAAATTTACAAGTTTTGAAATTGACAATGATATTTATTGGAAATTTTTAATTACAAAATAACAAACCTAACAAGCAATCCATCTCACGCTTTATCACAATTAATTCTAGGAACAAATATTTTAAAATTATTGAACAGAAAAATCAATGATCGATCGTTGAAGCTGTCATAACATGTAATATGAATACTTTTTTAACATGCTCAAAATGAAACTAAATTACTCATTCAAATGAAACTTTCAAATTTATTAATAACTTTATGGATGATTCTTAACGAAATATTCTGATTTACGAAATGTATTTGTCAAGATATCAGATATTTAGAACAAATGTGATTGATTTAGAAGTTTATTCACAAATTGATTTTAATGTCATTTTAAAAATTAAACAAATTCAAGATTGAATTTATGTATAGGCTTAATAAAATCTCTAGAAATTATATATCCTCCCTATTCCATCTTCAAGAATAATTACATATCGTAGCAAAACAAAATTAGCCTTTCAGAAGCAATGGATCAATCATTCCATTCATTATAATAGCCGATTAATCTTTAATTGCAAAAACATCTTACAGGAATAATATTACTTGATGTTTGAACGATTGCATTTTCAAAAGTTTCCGGTGTAGCATATAATTCTGTTCGCATAGCAGAAGTTAAATTTGCAGTTGGCTTTTCCGGTACCAATACGGTAATAGCATTTTTCTTCTTCCTCGATTTCGGCATATAAATTGCTTCGTTGTCTTCTTCGTCTACACAACGAGGGAAGAAATAAAGAAAAGATACTTTGACGAAAATGTTTCCAACTGATTAAAGCAATATTTTAAAATGAAATTACCTTCAACAAAAAATATGAAATAATGAAATATACAAATAATCAATTTTATGGTACTTTTATAATTTCTCATTTCATGCAAATTCTACGAGATATTTGCATAATTTATTTATTGCAACAGAAATTACAAAATTCTTTCAGTAATTTTACAAATATTTTTTACTTAATATAATATGAATTAAAAAATGATTTTAGGTCTATTTTTAATAATGAATTATTGGAATTATAAATTTAAAAATTTGCCATTACAGCATATCTGTCAATTAATGATTTCAATTTAATTATATCAATTAATGATTTCAATTTAATTAATTAAAAAAACTATGAAATTTCTCTTTCAGATATTCATTCCAAAAATACCATTTTAGAGCTATGGAATTTCTTTTTCTCATTACTTTAATAACATTTGATATTTATTGGCAATCAATGTAATGTAAAGAAATTATCCATTAAATTTTAATAATTAATTTAAGTCATAATTAATATTTTTTAAATGTTAATTGATATTTACTAATTAATATTTTCAAAATTCTCCATTTTTGTTTTTTTGGAAAAAGAAATGGAAAATGAAAGTGAAAAAAAATATTCAGAGTTTTTCAATTTTATATTAGTTATTCGATAAGTTTCGAATTTCAACACTTCCCCAATTGTTTTGTTATCAGTTGTAGAAATATTTGAAATATTAAAAAAGTATACCATTGAAAAAGAGGGAAATGTGTAGCAATGAGATTGATGAGATATTATCCGATAATCGAAATGAAATATCCTTTAAATTTTCATTGAATTCATAGTAATCGATAAATTCCAGAAATAATACTGAAAGATTTTTTAAGAGAGGGATGAGCATTTTCATTGAATAAATTTTAATCGTTAAATTGATTCAACAAATATTATCATCAATTTCTCTCAAGTTAAATTCTATGAAAAATTTCATTATTATCATTCCGATAGTAATTTATGAATATTTCATTATCATTCGATAGAATTATCATTTGCGTAATAATTTCTGCATAATATCTCACAATAGTGCTACTACTTGCTTACAGCTCTTTTTTCTCTATTCTCTAACTCTCAGCAAAAAGTTATCTCAGCAAAAAATTTTCTACTAAAATTACTAAAATAATTAATCAAATGCCATCATTTCAATTAATTACATCATTTCAATTTCAAATGAATTTGAAAATGATTAATGAATTTCGAACTTTAATAATTTTAAAATTAATACAATTTTAGAAATAAAAATAAATATCTGAAATTATTAAACTTGAAATTAATTTCAAAATTCATTTCCGATTAAAATTTGATTATTAATTATTAACAAAAATATTACAAAAAATATTCACACACAATTAATACAATTTTAGTAATAAATATAAACGTGTAAACATTCATTAATTATTTCAAATTCTAAACATTCATTAACCATTTCAAATTTAAGACCAAAAAAAATCATTCCTATCAAAAAAGATGTAAATTTAAATAAAAATAAATTTAACTGATAATTTGTTACATATCATATCTTATTCTAATCGTATACGATATCATCATCCTATTGAAACCAATCATTAATAAATGTTGCCGCTATTTCGATGGTATGATAATAAATTACAGTATGACAAGATAGACAGAGAGAGAGAGAGAGAGGGAGAGAGTGAGAGAGAGAAAGAGAGAATAAGAGATTAGAAAATAGAAATGGTTATATAACTTTTTCCTCTTCTATTTACTTTAAATAAAAACTTTTTCCCTTTCTCTTCCCTTTCACTATATATATATATATATATATTATCATTTATCTCTTCTCTCACACCAATATCAATAATAATATTTCCTTTCACTATCTTAAACTCTACATTTTTCTCATTCATTTCAATTACACTAATAAAAACATTTCCTTCTCTTCCACTCTCCTCATTTTCTTTAGTGCAATAAACACATTCATAGAACAAATTCATTTATTTTCAAAAATTGTAAAATTATCGATAACCATTAAAATTCCACTCAAATCACAATTTGTTGTTGCTCATATCTTTGCTTCTTTTACTTTCATTCGTTTTATTTACACGCAAATAAGTCATTCTCTCATTCTTTCACCCCCTTTTTCTTTCTTTCTTTCTTTCTCTCTCTTTTTCTTTCTTTCTTTGTCTATTTTAATTTAATTTTTGATTTCTTAAATTGTAAAATTTAAAATTTTATAAAAATGAATTTTACTTTTTATTATTTTTAATTCATAAAAAAATTAACACATATTCATTCTATTATTTAGTAGAGAAAAAAAGATTTAGTAATATAGATTGTATTTTACTATGCTAAAAGATTATTTCTCTAGAATGCATAGTAATATAGATTATATTTTACTATACTATTATTTCTCTAGAACGCATAGTAATATAGATTATATTTTACTATACTATTATTTCTCTAGAACGCATAGTAAGATAGTTTGTATTTTACTATACTAAAATTATTTCTCTAAAACGGAGAGCAAGATAGTTTGTATTTTATTATCCTAAAATTATTTTTCTAAAACGCTTAGTAAAATAGTTTGTATTTTACTATACTAAAATTATTTCTCTAAAACGGATAGTAAGATAGATTGCATTTTATTATATACTAAAATTGATTCTCTTAAAATTCTCCAGGTGATCGCCATTTTAGATCGGTTCTTTGAAGACAATAATAAAACGGAGAAAATACAATTCAATCCATTTTTTTTTATCGATCTTAAAAATTTGTATGATAGAAAGAAAATAGAGCAATTTCTGAATTTTGAAATGATATGCATTTTTCTTCCTCTATCCTTCTCCCCTAAAAAAGAAATTGAAATCAAATGATTCTTTTTTTTCCAATGCAGTTTGTTTTATAATTACAGGACTTCTTCTTCAACTATAACCATCAACTGAAGTAGTAGTAGTCGGTAATGGTGGTGGTGGTGGTGGTGGTGGTGGTGGTGGTGGACACGATCGATGTGGGATAGCCTGTCTGGAAGGAATTGTAATTCGTATTGATTGGTGACAGGATGTGTCCCTGATACCCGTCATCTTGATGAAAATCCTTTTTCTTTTTTTAAAATCTTTCCGTACCCTGCAACACCATCCCGTATCAGGCTGTACCGCGGTAGTTTTAACTAAGCTCTAGCATTTTAATGCAGACAGGTACAGTGATTTTTTTCCTATCAATAGCGATGAAAGATTTTTGTCGTTTTAGTCGAATATACAACGATTGTTTGGTCTTCCCTTTTTTTCCTGTAAATTTCATATCAAAACTTTAATGACATTATCAACCTAAATTCTATTATCCAAAATTTCACATTTCCGTATTCGTCTATAACTACCTTAAAAATATGACATTTTATTTCACTCAACAAGTTTTACTGGACAAAAAGATACGATTGTTCCCATGGATATATGTGGAAAAATACCCGTAGACAATTTTTGAAATCAAATTTTACTATTCGTCCGAAAATTTCCACGGAACAAAGGATAGTGAAGAGAGAATTCCTTCAATCATTTGTCTAACTTTTTCAAATTATATTCTGTCAAAATTCGAATTTGGAATATTGTCAGTCGAATGGACAAAATTTCTTCTCTCAATCAATTAAATTCACTCACAGCCACAAATATATCAGGTCTCTTCGGATAAGCCCTATATTCCTAAAATGTGTGTCAGAAAAGGGTTTCCCCTAAAGATTTTAGCAATATTTCATTTCTATTGAAAAAACAAAAAATTTTACGAAAAAATTCTATTCAACAAAAGAACTATAAATTGATATGATTTCTGAGCATTCTTACATTTCATTCCTGATGAACATTATCAGACAATCCATCGGTCTCTTTCTTCATTACATACCGACGAATAATGAAGCCATTCAACTGAAGTGCTAACAATTACGTTTTCGGTATTGACAACAACATATTGCTAGGCTTCACCAAACCACTCTTAAAATTATCAGATTTTGATCGCAAATACGGTATTTGCAGTCCTTGACTGCAGTATCATTTGAACTTCTAAGACATTATGCAAAAATTCATGCTGATAAACTGATAAATTGCACTCTATTGATTGAAAGTGAAAAATGACCTGAATTTTTCACATCTGAAAAGCCAAATTAGCCAATTGCTAACATTGAAAAATCACAACCAATTCGCTCCAAAAAAGGAAAAACCTAAATTTGTATTTTTAACCAGGTTTCTCTCTCTCTCTTCAAGTTCATTTCACATCCATTTTTAGCTATCTACAATCTACATACAATGTTTTATTCTTTTCTCTCCTAAATTTACTAATAATATGTTGTTGCAAGACTTTTGATACCACTTAGACTGGACAGAATTTAACGAAGCACCAAAGAAAAGAGTAAAAATGTTGCAACCAAGAAAAGAATAAAATGTTGCATAAAAGCTAATTTGTTTTAAAGAGAATAAAAAATTGCTGATAAATTGATATCATCGCATTCGATTAATTGAAGGTAAAAAATCACCTGAATTTTTTTTGAAGATGAAAGAATTATGAAATGAATTTTCTACATCTGAAAAACCATATAGCAAATTGCTCTAGCGTTGCATGAAAATATTGTGATATTAAATTTCACAGCATAATCATTCTTGCAATAATAAATCCTGAAATTTAGATATTGTATTGATGATATTGAGAAGTATAATACTCTAATATAATACATATATAAATACTGTCTAACAAAATTTGAAATTTACATTTTCTCTCCACTATTCTAATCTGCCAACATTTTAACATCAAATATACATATATGTGTGTGCTAATTCAGTAATTTAATTCTAACATTAATTAGAGACAATGAAATTTACTACAATAAAATGAAAACATACAATATCATTTTCTGAATGTTTAATTAATTTCAAATTTTGCATGTAACAATTAATAGTGGGAAATTAAAAATTTTAATTTAAAAAAAAAAAGGGATTCAAATTTAATTGCATATTGTGAGAAAGCATAGTTCAAATAAAATATATGTTGATGACAGCGATTGAAAATGAAGAATTAAGAGAGACGATAAAAGAGATGAGAAAGTATGATGTAGAGGGAGAGAGAGAGAGAGAGAGTGTATGATAATGATGATAGTGCTGTATATTATGTTTAAAATTTACTCTTTTCACATTCTACCCTCCTCCTCCTCCCCCCTCCCCTTCAACTACCAACAAATCAAATATTTAAATATAAGGAAGATGAAAAAAATTGGTGCCATATTGTTCTCAATGCTTCACCGCTTTACATCTTATCTTTTCTCTTGTCTTATCTTATCTTGTCTAGACTAAATTTAGGGTTTAGGCTAGACTAATCTTAATCATTATTACTACTATCACTACCACTACTAATATTGGAAAATTTAATGAAATTTCTTAATTAACTTTTCATTCATTCTAATTATTATTATAATTATATATATATTGTACATATATATGTATTACAATGATAATTTATTACAGTTATAAAATTATCATTTCGGGGGTAAAGGAAAAGAGTAAGGTAAAGGGAAAGAGTAAGAGTAATGTATAGGGAATGTCTCATTTTGATCTAAAGGAAAGAGTAAGAGTAACGTATGGGCGTCACTTATTTATTACGTTAGACGTTTAAAACGTTTAAATATTTTGACATTTAAACGTTTTGATATTTCAACGTTAAACGATCAATTATTATTCCCTTTAAATTTATAATTGATCTTTTTAAACAACAGAAAGTTTAAGAAGCGTATAGAAAAGAAAGAGAGAGAGAGAGAGAGAGAGAGAAAAAAACGAAAAAGATGTCGCCATGGTAGCTCTGTCTCTAGCTCTCATCTATACCACTTTTCTAACCTAATTTATCCTCCCGCTTTCATCTTTTCATCATTCCTCTTTCGTCGTCGTTGCCGTTATTCGCCATCATCGTCAACATTTTTGCCTTTTATCGCTGGGTTACTGTAATCCATCCATCCATCCATCCATCCACCCATCGACCTAATATTACATTTGTATTATAAGCAAACAAACATTATCATCATACATATATAGTTACTGTCAATATAATATCAAATATCAACCACTAACTATTTTTATAAGGAAAAAAAGAAACAACAAACTTTTCTTCAAATTTACACATTCAACATAGATAATACTGATAAGTAAATTATTATATCACAAGAATAATTTCACTCATCAAATTTTAAATCAAACTCTTATTTCACATTCAAATTAAATCTTCTATCTTACTATATTATCAAATATTCATATCACTCCCACTTTACTATTATCAAATATTCATGTCACATCATATCACACCGTATCATATCATATACTATTATAACACTTTTATCAATCATTAAATAACTGATATAATAATAAAGAAGGCCTAGAATTTCTAAATCAGATTGAAATTAAGAGAGAATAATCAAAGAAAGAGAAAAACGAGATAAAACAACAACAAATTTTACATTTACATAATTCTTCCAACAATCAAAAATTATCAATCATTTTGTTAATTCACACATCTTTCTCACATTTCCTTAATAATTAACTATTAAATGTGAAATAAAAAAACCTGATCGGAAAATTTCCGGAATTACTGAATTACCAAAAAAAAAAATGAAGCATCCTACTGTACATAGCAAAAACAATACAAATTATTTTCTTCCTTCCAATTTATTTTAAAAAAATAGCAAAGATATGTAATAATCCCACACATTTATGGATCGCATATACTACATATATTATATAACAAACACAAAACATTCATTTACATATATAGATATATGGGATGTATGAATGGGTGTGCATGTGTTTGTGTGTGTGTGTGGACGTGTAAATGCGTGTGGGGGTGTATGGATGCGTGTGTGTGGGTGTATAAATGTGTGAGTGGGTGCACAGATGTTTGTATGAACGCACTATTATAGGGATATTTTTTCATTCCTTTTCTTTCTCCTCCCTCTCCCCCCCCCATTTTTTATGTTCACTATGGAACACACATACCAATTACAGAATCATAAGTGACAGATTAGTGTGGTTGGTTGGTTGGTTGGTTGATTGGTTGGTAAGACGAGTTTCTGTTTTTTTTAAAAAAAGAAAAGTATCGAAAAAAGAATTGAATGAACAAAAGAAGAGTTTTAGTAGGGGGAAAAAGACTTAAAGAAAAATCACTACTAAAAGATTGTTTCGTACTTTCTTTTCATTGAAGAAAAAGAAGACAAAACTTTCTTCCGTTCTTTCCTTCCACCCTTTCAACAAAAAACTTAAAACTGACCTCTGAAGAATACGACGAAAACTTTCTTTTCCTTCCTTTTCTTTCTCTCTTTCTTTCTCTCTCTCTCTCTCTCTTTCTTTTCCTTTCCTCTTTTTCAACGATATAGATATAGATGATATTTGAAGTATGATGATGATGATGATGATGGTTGATGGGATGGATAACTTCGTGAAAGGAAAATATCTTCGCTGCAGATCGAATTTTCTTGCTGAAAATATTGTTTTCGAAATTCAAAATTGAAATGACGAACGTTTTTGAGATTGTACTTCGCTTTTCTTTTTACTTTTATTTCTATTCGGAAAAAACAACAGTGCAGATGTCAAAATTCAATTTGTACTTTTGTTTTACCAAAATTGTAATAATTGTTTTTCATAAATACAAAAATACATACACATCAAGAGGAAAATCACAAAATACCTTTGATAATATATTCATTCATTTTCTTGCTTTTTATCACAATGTGATAAGAAGGATGGTAAACTTTATATGATAACATCAATGAAACAAAACAAATTATTCCATTTTATTCTCAAAATATATTTCAATTCTGATAATTGAGATCAAATTGAAACTTCATCGATTAATATTATATATTGACAGTCAATTCTTTGATTTATTGGAAATTATGAGATCAAATTAAAACTTCATCGATTAATATTATATATTGACAGTTAATTCCTGATTTATTGGAAATTATTACCCAAAAACAAAATAATAATTAACGTCCCGTTTTATAAAATACACATATCAGTTAATGTAATCATGAAATTTAAATATATCAAATAAGATTGAAGAATGTAAATAAATACGGAAACATAATAGAGGATAGATGCAGGACATATTAAGGATCAATCAGGTCAAGCAGGTTAGGTTATTAAGCCACAAAAAGGCAATATTTTAAAATATGATAAATGAAAAAAATAAAATTAATCTAACCTTTGCAACTTGTTAATCTAACCTTTGCAACACTTTTCCTGCTCACATAATTTAAATATCAAAATAATTGTTGCTAAAAAAGAAAAATCATTTCTCACTTTCTTATTAGATCGATCCATATCCATAATATTTTTTGACTTCAAAAACTTAGCAAATATGCTACAATGTATTTCCCATATTTGAAAAATTAACAATTTACGTATCATCATCTATCAAACTGTTCATTGTGCACAAAATGAATGAATGAATTTCCAATTTCCAAATATTCAAAGATTCGAGTAAAAATTATCGAAGTTTAATTTTTCCTTACATAATTGAATTTGTTAGACAAATTAATTCGGTTATTAATTAGAAGTAAGAAAAAAAAGAAAAGAACTAGATTAACTTACATTATGTTGTCATAAGTTATCACATCGATTTAACACAGTATACCCTTAAAGATTGGTTGAGAAAAACTTGGAAGAAATGAAATATTAAAGCTTACTATTATCACAAAACAGTTTATTCCTTTTTTTTTATTGGTAATATCATAAAATCATTTGAAAACGAAACCAATTTTAAATGGATCGCGTGCAACCAATGGGCGACGACGGCTATTTTCGAGGACAAACGTTTGTTGCGAATCGGGGCGCTTGAAAGAATCACCCATTTTAACATTTGCTGACTGTAATGATTGCTGTGTTTTATTAATATTCTTTCCGATACTTCGCAGTATTACTGATGTACGACGTTTGGCTTGTTTATTGATAACTGTTCCAGGTGGAGTAGTCATTTCATTGCTTCCAACAATAGCCATGTTAGAAAGTGAAGTTGGCTTATCTAATGCATCTGCTAAGCAAAACTTCGCAATTAATAGCTTTTCACCGAAGAGTTCATCCAGATGAGGTTCTACCGTATCCGTGCTTTCAACTTCCGCTTCTACATAATCCACTTCCTAAAACAAAAACAAGTCATAAATTGAAAGAAACTATTGTGGGAATTATTAAATTTTACATCTTGTCATAAAAGATCGAAATAAAAATTGAAGATCTGAAAATCTCATTTCATCTAATTCCTTATTCTCAAAACTTCACGAACTCTCATTAATAAGCAAAACGGTCATAGAAGAATTTCAAATCATTGTGCATTTACCTAACTACTTACTTCAAGGACGACTTCAATTTCAGCATTTGATGCCTGGAAAATCCAAACAAAAGCCTAAAACAATTCTACAAGGCAATATTTTATAAAGCCTGATTACCTGAATTTCTTCATTTCCATTGAAACCCAAATGCCAAATAAGCGGCGCTTCAACATCTACAAATTTCATAGAGAAATTCAAAATACTGCGAATAGTACTAATGTGAGGAAAAAAAAAATAGCTACCTGTTTCAGAGTGATAATTGCAGTAGAATACAGCTTGAAAGAGAGTCGTGATACTACCTATCTTCTTGGAGATAAAACTTTGATGTGGTCGAAAGGACCTGGACCCTGAGGTACTCTTGCTGTGACGCCACGTACTGTCGCAGCAGAGGTCTCAGGGAGAAGGTCACAAGCTTTCTTTGGATCGGGGACAAAAATTTCAAGTGAAATAAGAAAATAAAGTGGAATTCAAAAAGTGCGATATATTTTATGGATGGTGGAACACTGTGGTAGATTCCAAAAGTTAGAAGAATAAATTTTTAATGTCAAAGAGATGGAAACATGTATGTAACGATGGTCGAGCAACGTGTCATATGAATGTAATGACGTTTGCCAAAAATGACACCATAATGTATCAATATGTACAAATTTGTCATAGTTAAAATTCAACAATTTAATGGCAAAATTTGCACTAACGTCATGACCGGATTAAACTACTTCATACAATACCCTTATAGAATATCATCCGACATATAATTCCTTCAGGATCAACATGATATCAAAATTACTAATTAAACCAATTTCGCTATTGAAAGTGGCGTATGTTGAGCTGTAGGGAATACTGCAGTTAACTTAATGCAATGAAGTTAACTTGCCAAGTGAAAAAAAAATGAAAAACCACAAAGCATCTGATTCCTACACAGTATCGATAATTCTAATCTTCCAACATTTGGAAAAAAGAAAAATGACTTGTTACTAACTGCTTGGATTGTTAGAAAATCTCAACAGTATATTCTCATCTCTGCCCACCCTAACTATCTCACATCTCAGATATCCTATTGCTCAGGTAGTTGACGTATACTACTGCTGCCACCACTACGACGGACATACTAAGCGGCACTCGACGTGAGATTTTCAACATACCGAAATTGGAAACAACGAGACAAGTGGGAAGCGAAGAGGGGAAGGGGAGGACCTCAAAACACCCATCGGCTGGTTGATGAGATGCTGCCGATGGTGATTCGTAGGGTATGGTGTCTCACACATACATACATACACACAGTAAATGTAGCCCAAGAAAAGAACAGGAAGGCAGCTGTGGGAAATGTGAGCAGCACGCTGAGTTTTGCATTTATGCCTAAAATTTTTTGGAGCTGGCACGCCAGGAACGGAACGAGGACGGATGAGGCAGCGCCCGGCACCGGCAAGCAGCATCAACAAATGACCCATCGACGACGTTGCCCCCTTCATTGAAGCCGTCGCTCACCGATATTGGCAACATCGTCGCCACCTGGTACGACGTACCCGACCCAGACATTTTTCACTCCCCCTCCCACCTATATACATACAATGAAGCCTAACAAAACTGCTACTAAAATACATGTATTCACACATACAAACATACACAAGATGGCACCCTCCGACACATACATACACACACACATACACCAACACTTACCACAACCGCTCGACCCCTTTAAACAACCTGATACAGAGGATATATGAAGAAGAGGAACAGCAAAGATATATTTTCTTCCACTTCATCCCTTTTCATTCTCTAACTCATTCTCATCCATACTTCACGTTCCGTACAACCATTCCTTTATGTCCTAAAAATCTCTTCCACTATACGAATCGAATCATCAGAGAAATGACGAATTTCCGGTGACGTATTTTTCCTTTCATCTTCACATTAAGACTATGAACACACAACCAACTCATCCTATTCTACCTTTTTTTTTCAACAAATGAATAATTTCAAATAATCCATTATAAAAGATCATATCGGATCCTCCTATTCTTTTCTTTTAAATCAATAATTGAATAACCTATATTAGATGTGGATAATTACGATGCAAAAGACGGATACTAATTTTTATCATTTTAACTATCAGATAAAAATCCTATTGCAATTATATTACATTACAGAAAATGATCACAAATTATATTAACCTTATCCCATCTCTTTAACCATTCTAATAAGCTATCATTGTTTGCAAGCATTTCTTTCAAAAATTTATTTTCATACAAAAGATTCATTGCCAAAAATTAAAGCTCATTTCTTTCCCTTCGACAGGGCACACATATATACATACCACGATACATATCATGTATCATATCACTAAAGCATGCACACATACACGTTTATACAAAGCTCACACACATCGAGACGCACATTAATGAAGTTTAAAAGATTTACTTTGAAGCCACAGCCTGTGTTGCAGCAACTAACACACACAGATATATGTATACATACATATAACATACCCATACATACAGACAGATATTGATAGATTAGAAGAGGATTTTGAAAACATAACTGACTGCTCCATGGAAGCACCGGCTAACATTAAGATGGAAGATCAGCTGATATGTATATTTCAATGTTTCATTTTATGGAAGAGATAAGATTTAATTGGATTGAATTCATTTACAAATTTAATAAATTAATTAATAAAATTCTGTTTCCTTTATTTTTTCTTGTTCGGATAGATTGCCTTACATGAATAGCGATACTGTTGATAAGTTACCTTTTAGTACAGGAGTAATGAAAATGTGTTAGGCTTGAATTCTCTTGTGCTATCAACTAATAGAACAGATGAACACAAGAGTGATGGTTTGTGATTGATATAAAAGGCCGATTTGCCCCATTAATTCATCTCTTTTTTTCTCCCCCCCTCCCCCCCCCCAAGAAACTCTAGAAAAAAGGGCTCCCGTTGACTACAAAAAAATCTGACCGTTGACCTCTTCAGTAGAATAAATAACTATCAAATTTTTTTGCGTAGATCTTGCTGCTCCATACAAATGGCATACATTGTACTTACAATAGATAATAATTATTTGCTCTTTGAAAGATTGATTACTTGAAGAGGGCCTAACATTCCTCCCATTAAATTATGAGATATTTGAGGTATTTCTCAAATTCTACTGACAGGTTAATTTTTACTACCATTTAGCTAGCAACAAATCATTTCAATTTAATCCATTTTCATATGCTGTGGATAGTTAATGTTATATTTCTTAAGGACTTTCCTAAAACAAACGAAAAACCTATTTTTGAGAAGTGAAAGGCACAACTACTTTTTAAATATACCACATGAAATACACTAAAGAATAATGTAAAATAATCCTAAATATCAACTGTTTACAGCCTAAAATTGATTTAAAATCATTATCGTTTATTTACAACTATATCTTAGCTAAATTTTAGGTATTCTATGCCAAAAATCTTACGTCCATTATGCAGAACCTTAAATCCATTACAGTGTGCTATAATAGTTAAGTCAGTTTGCGGATATCACATTTTCTACGATCACTAGACCGTTTATAGAATTGCACATTTTTGAGAAGCAAACTGTAACTATCAAAGGATTAATTATTCACTTCAAATTTCAAACTATTTATGACATTGTGTAGTAGAGAAAGAGAATTTAGTCTACCATCTACAATCCATCTTAACGAATCAAATCATCACTTCACTCCAAACAGGAATATCGAAGGCTACCTCTCTCTTTTAATGAATGCATTCCTTAAGAGCTAAAGCTGCAAAAATGCTTACATTACATTCTTTATATTGAATGAAAAATGATGCAAGATCGATTCCTTCCCCGAAAGAAAGGGACGAATTTATTGGAATTTATTTCTCACTCAATCTATCCCATTGAAATTGTAAACTTAAACTGACAATAATTATAAACTTCCAGAATAATTAAGTTATTTCTGTATTCAATTATAGAAGTGAATATAAGTGAAAGAATGGAAAAAGAATGAAATGATAAGGATATCGAAATTTTTGATGTAACATTGAAGAAATGATGATAACGATGACTCATGGATAAAACTAAATCGAAGCAAATTTAATGGAGCAAAATAAACTGATCAATCCAATGTGGAGGAATGCAGCAGTAAACAAACGAATCATGCAAATCATAACAGAACGAACGTTTTTTTCAATGACTCATCCACCATCACCATCATCATCATCATCATCATCAACATCACCATCACTATCATCATTATCATTAACATCACCATCACAGTCATCATTATCATCAACATCACCATCCTCTCCTTTTCGTCATTGCTTATGAATAGGTAAATGAAGTGGCGCAAATTGGAAATATTAGATGTAATTAATGAAATTTGGAAAATTCTTGATATAAGATATGGAAGAGGGAAGCTACTTTTAGGTAAATGAAATAAATGAAGGAATGGTGAATGAAGAAAATGAAGGAACGGTGAATGAAAATGAAGGAACAGTGAATGAAGATGAAGGAATGGTGAATGAAGATAAAGGAACGGTGAATGAAGATAAAAGAGTGGTGGATGAAGATGAAGGAATGGTGAATGAAAATGAAGGAATGGTGAATGAAAATGAAGGAACAGTGAATGAAGATGAAGGAATGGTGAATGAAGATAAAGGAACGGTGAATGAAGATAAAGGAATGGTGGATGAAGATGAAGGAATGGTGAATGAAAATGAAGGAATGGTGAATGAAAATGAAGGAACAGTGAATGAAGATGAAGGAATGGTGAATGAAGATAAAGGAACGGTGAATGAAGATAAAGGAATGGTGGATGAAGATGAAGGAATGGTGAATGAAAATGAAGGAATGGTGAATGAAAATGAAGGAATGGTGAATGAAATAATAATAGTATAATGATGAATTAGGAATTGATATTGGATGAATAAAGAAGTATTAAAATTTTCACTTTAATAGAAAGAAGCATAGTAGGGAAAAGTGGGGAGAATAGAGGCATTTTTATAATGGAGAATGAAGTGAGGCCAGGGATTGAACTTATACGTGAATTGCCCCAGATAATAATGACAATCCCTCCCACTCTCGTATGGCGGGGGGAGGAAATGAGAGAGAGAGGATTGAGTGGGCGTAATAGGTGTAATGAGAGATGGAGAAATAGGAAGTGTTCATATTTTCTTTTCAGGTCACTTCATCATCATCTGATAATTGACAGCTTTTCGTCTCTGCTCCTTCATCAGATGTCTTTTTTCCTCCTTTTCTTTTCCTACTTCCATTGATGGACATAATGCGCTCACCAATAATATCTCCCAGACAACCTCTTCCATAAAAGGGACACTTCCTTTTTTTTCCTTCCGCAAATAAAGAGTAAGAAGAGGAAAGATAGAGGGACAGGGAGAGAGACAAAGAAAAGCTATTCGTCATTCATACTTCATATTTCCGGATGAAAAAAATTCTACCAGTTATTGATAGTACTACCAGGAAATCTTTACTTGATCCGGTAAAAATGGGAAAAAAAGATCAAATAATCTCCTTCCGGAAAGGTGAAACTTGGCTATCTCTCTGTTCTCATCAATAATGAAATAAATATTTGCACATGCAATGTATTGGTATGTATGTGTATGTCTCTGCATGTGTTTATATGTGTCGAAATAGAGGGTAAAGAAGGGCGATATAGGAGAGGTAGAAGTGGAAGTACAGGTGAGAGGAAAAGACAACTGGCAGTGGCTGTCGCGAAGATAGGATCAGCCAGGGTGGAAAGAAGAGCCAAGGCACATCGTTCCTCCTCCTCCTCCTTCTCCTCCTCCTCTTTCTATGGAACGGCGTTCAAAGCAACTAGGCGACGATCGAACAACCATCAATGATAGCCCACGCCATATGTACGACTAACATTCTCTCTTTCTCTCTCCTCTCCCTTTCTCTGTTTCTTTTTGCTTGATTGAAAATCGTAGAATTTTTTTCAAAAGAAGAGAAATTCTTCCTCTTCCTCTTTCTATGTTATATATTATTATTACTCTACTCTAAATCTCACCCATTTCATCCATCTACCCGCCCCCACACGCCTACTTGCCACCCACCTATTTCCTCCTACCCAATTTATCTTTCAGTGCTTCAATTTCTCTAGATAGTGGTGAGGGGGCGCATATTGCTTGGCTATCGCAATATTAAAATACATGACAGAAAGGATAGAGGGACTTCCTCTCATTACTAATATACAAATTTATATATATCCTCGATGATAATGATAATGATAACCTGAAAAATTATGAGCGCTGTAGTATCCTCGACAAAAAGCGCCTTCACATATATCAGATATTTAAAATCGCCCTTTTGCTCTCCATTGACTGCGCAATAGCGCTTATATACTTATCATTCCGTTGGTTGAAAAAAGAATGAATAGCAATATGACTAAATTTAAAAGTGTTAATCTCTATTTCACTCCTTCAATTTTTCTTAGCACCTCTTCAACTCTTTAATTCCTTCCCCCTAAATGTTAATGATAGTGATATCATTGGTATCATCCTTGTAATTATTGATCTTTCTCTCATCGTTTCATAAATTTCACATTTACAAGTGGAAAATCCGTGCAAACAAAAGTTTTGCTTAATTAATCCGACAAGAGTAAATTTAATTTAATTTTATGTTAATTTTGAAAGTATCAATGTTTAGTATGTGTTTATTTGTAGGTGTATGTGTGTGTGTGTGTGTGTGTGTTATGTGGTGTGTGTGTGTGTGTGTGTGTGTTACATACATTTTCCGTACAAACTGACACCACCAATCACTTCCCGCATATGAACGGTTATGCCATACATCCTCTGAGACATACCACATTCAATTCATCCTTGACGTCTTAGTCAAAGATGGAGCAATTTTTGATGGCATCTATTCGTACGACGGAGGCAATCATCGGTTCCGCTGATTTCACAACACATAAAAATTCTATTGGTGTCGTGTCAGAGGAAAAATTTAACGGTGACAACTGGTACTGTACTTGGCAGAGATAATAAAGAGTGATGAGAAGAAACTAACTTAACTCCATCGATCCCAACATCTATTTTAATTTATTTTTTAAAATGTATTTAATCATTTTCTTGCCATATTTTGCTACGACGACAATTTGTGAATGAAAGAGGAAGAGAAAGAAAAAAAGAGTGTAAAGATTTTAAAAATTTCAATCGTAGTCTATTGAAAATGTATGATGAAATTTCATCATCAAGATGATGAGCTGTTAATCAAACAAACTGATAATGAACGTTATTGACAGATGATTTGAAGAAAACCATTCCCACTTTTCATTAACACTTTCATGAAAGAGTGACAAAGGTGTATTTCATTTTAAATAATCTTATGGTTGAAAAGAAAAAGTGATAAGTTAAGTTCACTCTTTCCGGCGGTATAAATGTACAATTCCAATATGAGCACATCTATTACGTTCGTTTCCTTATACCCAATTGGGAGTGTTGTTTGATGATAAGTGATAAGATATGAGATATTATGTTCTACTTTGGCATGCTATGCTACGAATATATCAATTTACAAAGGCATTTGAAAAGATTTGCTTCGTTTACGTTAGATGATCTTAAATTGATCGAGCAGATGGAACTTGAAGATGTCAAATGATGACTGAACGAGAGTTTTGTAGATTTATGCAGAAGTTTTGAGTCCTCCGAAAAAGTGCATCTGTGTTATGCAAAGAAGTTAGAAACTTTTGTGGTTGGTCGTGATTTTCCGATCATAAAACAATCATACCTACTCCTTATTTTGCATTTTGATATAAATTATGCGTTGGATTGACAGAGATGAAATTGATGATGATGATAATGATGAAGTGTCAAATAGGATTAATAATGATAAAAAGTTTAGGAGAATTCATCATAGGGACAAATTATCTTACCTACTACACTCTTCGCGTTACTTGGGAAAAATACCTTTACGGCATATTCCAAATAATTCATATCACACGTACAGTACACTACCAAATAATCCATATCACACGTACGGTATACTACCAAATCATATCACACGTACGGTATACTACCAAATCATATCACAATGTACGGTATATTACCAAATAATTCATATCACACGTATGTTATACTACCAAATAATTCATATCACACGGTATACTATCAAATAATTCATATCAACATACGGTATGCTACCAAATAATTCATATCACACGTACGACACATTAAATAATTCATAGTGCAAATGTACTATTTGCAAATCTTAAACTAAACTAATTTATTCTATCAGATTATTCTAGTTTATTGTAACATAGATGAATATTTAGGATTGTCAATAAAGAAAGTTGATGATTTAAAGCGAATAGATTTGTCACACCCTTAATAATTTATTAATTTTCAATTTTAAAAATAATTTTTAATTTAAAAAACAATTTTAAATCTTACCACCGTTAAGAATTTTGTAAATAATCGGTAGCTGTTTCTCATCATCTTTACAATGACGATTGTTTAATTTCTCTTTGACAGTATTAACCAAATTAATTTCTTTCACTCGTGCTTTTATTTGAGCAATACCAAGTATTGTGAATAATATACCATTAATATATGTGCATACCTAAATTCATTAATAATTATAAAGAAAAAAAANTTTAATCAAATATCTTCTATATATATGTCAATTTTATATTTCACTATTTAAATTTGTATATGGTATTATTCGATTTTAGGATAAATTTCTACTAAGGAATTTAACCATCACTTTAACTCTCTTTCTCTTACTTTTATATAATAAGCGCTAATATATCCTTTAAGAATGAAAAATCAGATCAGATAATGTAGAGAGGACATTTGCGCTTGGAATATCAATCTAAATTTCTGTCCAATCATTTAATTTTCACTATATTCTCCTCCTCTTTTATTTTAATCGATTTGTAAGAATATTTTAAAATGATTATTCTGTTGGATGATGGATTGAATGTAAATCATTTTTCATTCTATTGTCCTATTCCGAACCATTTCCCCTTCCCGCATACCAGAATTTGAAATGATTAGAGTGATAAACGACATTGATGAAGAAGTTCCATCGTCGTATATTAGTTTGCTAAATTTAAATTCAAATATATTCAGCAAAAATTTGTAATTTCAAGTATCAATCAATTTTTGCATTAGAAAAATATTAAACAAATAGTATATCAATATTTTCAATTAATTATAATAATTCAAATGTTTTATGAATATAATTAAAATATAATAATCAACTATGATACCTGTAATTTACGATCAGATATCAAATTTGCTATTGTTGCAGTAAAAATTGTAGCAACTCGTGATGCTGCTGATCGACCAGATGGATCTAAGCATAAATTTAGCAATAATGCACAACCATAATCAAGCGCTGTTGGACTAAGTTTACTACTACCAAGATATAATGATAACCATTCCACCATACCTAATTTTATCAATTCTTTTTGCACCGATGATCTGAAATGTTGAAGGATTATTTATGAGATAATTACTATCTAAGAAATAAAATATACAGCTGCAAGATTTTTTTTTTGTTTACTTTCCATCTTAAAAAAGGATTTCTAAAATTATTGAAACATATAAAATATAAACTTAAGATTCCACCAAAAAAAAATGTCTATGAATTTTTTAATAAGATCCGAAATGACTTTATTATCACTGTTATTTATTGCAAATTACAAAAACAAAAGTAATTTAAAATAATTAAGAGTATTGAGTAATTAAGAGGATGAGAAATTAATAAGAGAGTATTGAATAAAAAACATCGAGAAATTTACCGAGGGAAAAATTAAATTTCAAAATATTAATTAATAAATAAAATATTAATTTTTATTAAATGCTATTTTGAACTGAATAACTTAACATTAATTAATAATTTCTACTAATTAATAAATAAAATATTAATTAATTTTTATTAAATGCTATTTTTAACTGAATAACTTTTTCTTTATACAAATTTAATTTGAAACCTTATGCTAAGTTTTTGAAGTGCTGCCAGAACATGTTCACCAGCATAATGATGTAATTTCTTGGTCTTTAAAGCTGTCGTTAATACTGCAATTAATTCTTTTCCCTGATTTTTAGCCAAGAGATAATTTCTGCCAAGATTAAATGATGCGATCGAATTTAGCAAACGGCATAATTCTTCTTTTGCATCATTTCCATTATCACCTTGTGATGTTATCACACTTACAACACTCTGTAAATGATTATCAAATGATTACATGCAAATGATTACAATGATTATTGCAAATAATTATCGAAGAAATTCCACACCTAATACAATTCCATCAATGGAAAAGAAATTTATACATTGAAATTTATCGAAAATGAATAGAAGTCATTCAAATTTATTAATCAAATTTTTAATTATACAATTATAATAAAATTAATAAATCTTATCAATTGATTAAAGAAAAATTTAAATTTTTTTAAAGTAGAAAAATGTAAAAAAAAAGTTCTCATTAAATACAACGCTTATTAATTAAAACAATTAAAATTTTATTAAACAAAATAATAAGAATTTTTGGAGAAGGTTTAAAATTTTTACATTTTTCAAATGTTTCAATAGCAATAAATCGTTATTTGCATAAACCGCTAATACCTGTCCAGCACTTTCAACTGGTACTCTTGTTATGCGCTAAAACAATAACAATTTCAAATTAATACAATTTGAAAAAGATCAGGTATCATACAAAAAAATTACGATAATAATAAATTATTCATTGTTTCATATTTAAATTTAAATGTTAGAAAAATATTCATTATGTATTTTCATTATTGCATTTCATTATATTTCTTGTTATTTTCATTCCTTGGATAAATTTTCTTTATTATTTATGCTAATTACAATTTTACATATTCTATTATAAATTTTAATTAATAATTATTGATAAGGAAAAAATTTATCCGGAAGATTCTAATTACTCTTGTAAAAAATAGTAGTCATAAGTTTTACTTATGTATTATCGAAAATTACGATTATGAATTAATCGGAAAATTCTAATTACTCTTGTAAAAAATCGTAATCATTAGTTTTACTTATATGTACTATCAAAAATTACGATTATGAATTAATCGGAAAATTCTAATTACTCCTGCAAAAAAATTGTAATCACAAGTTTTACTTATGTATTATCAAAAATTATGCATGTAAACTTATCGGAAGATTCTAATTACTCTCGCAAAAAATCGTAATCACAAGTTTTATCGATGTAAAACTTATGATTACGATTTTTTCTTATTAAGAAATATAAATGTGAATTCTTATAAAATTAACATAATTTATTTATATCATATATTATGGGAGTTTTTATACTTGAGTGGAAAAGAAAATTTCAATCATAAATTTTACTTACCTATAAAATGAAAAATCATAAATAAGTTCAATGAAAAATGCTCGGAAAAATTATAATCAATTAATTGCTAATAAAATTATAATTAAATTAACTTAATATCAAAAAAATACCAATTTTAAAATTTACTTTATTTGTGCGAAATTTTGAAACTAATTTTATAAAATATACTTACCTGACGTAAAGCTTGCAATAGAAGACAGCTAAGTCTTCCTGAAGCATTTTTAATCAAACAATTTCCAATTTTCGTATAATTGAGTCTTCCGATCACATTATCAATTATCACTTCTTCCACTTCTACCACCTCTTTCCTACATTTATTTACTTTAATTTTCATCTTTTTGTTTTCAAACTCGAACTATTGCTAATTATTTAATTGAAAGAATTGTTTTTTTTTTCATTTTTAATTTTACTATGAAAAGAAACGAGAACTTATTTAAATTAATTCTTTTATATTTTACAAGTTAATGATAACTTAACAAATAATTTGTTTTCAATTTATAACAGAAAGAGTTAGATGATAAAATAATAATATTTCAAACATTTGAAAATAAGCTTTAGAAAAAAAAGGAAAGATATTTCAAAAATTATATTTTATAATTCTTATTTAGTAAATTAGAAATGAATTTACTTATTTCTATTCAATCATTTCTTGCAAATGAAATTATTCTATTCTTTGATGAAATTAAAATGTTCGAAAGTTCTCTTCTCACAGATGAAATTATTCCATTCTTAAATTAAAATGTTCGAAAGTTCTCTTCTGACAGATGAAAATATTCTATTCTTAAATGAAATTAAAGTATTCTATTTTATTAACGAAAAAAGTTCTCTTCTCACAGTATGAAATTATTCTATTCTTAAATTAAAATGTTCGAAAGTTCTCTCCTCACCAAATGGAATTATTCTATTCTTAAATGTGATTAAAATATTCTAAAGTTTCGCTCCACACATCAGATCAAATTATTCTATCCTCTTAAATTAAAATATTCTAAAGCTCTCTCATCATCGATGAAATTAAAATATTCTTAAATGAAATTAAAATATTCTATTTTATTAATGAAAAAAGTTTCGCGCTCTACACATCAGATCAAATTATTCCATCCTTAAATTAAGGATATTCTAAAGTTTCTCTCAACACATCAGATCAAAGTATTCTATCCTCTTAAATTAAAATATTCTAAAGCTCTCTCATCATCGATGAAATTAAAATATTCTATTTTATTAATGAAAAAAAAAAAAGGTTCTCTCTTCTTATCGATGAAATTATTTTCTATTCTTAAATTATTCTTACAACAATTTTACAAATATTTCAACAAATAGAAATTCATTTTTAAAAAATTTCTTTATTTTCAAATGAAGAAAAAAAAGAAAGAAAGAAAAGGGAGAAAAACAAACAATTTTGTGAATGATTGCGATCGGATAATTTGTGACAAATTTCCATTCGATTCATCATTTTTCATCATTCTATTCTTTTTCATACCTTTCGTTGATTTCCTAGGCCTATCATTTCTTTTATCCTAAAAAATTTTTGTACAATTTAAAATTGTATTTTAATTAATAATTATTAGCACTTTCAAAAAAAACAAAAAATCAATTTCTTATTCTTTAATACCGTTGTTTCATTTACAGCAACAATATTTGCTTGCATATGTTTTTCTGCATCCATTGTTGCATCTACAAAACGTGCTTTCATTTTCATTAGATATTCAGGTGATAGATGAATTACCTGTAATAATGATTTGGTTTAAATTATAATAATGAAATCATTTGTAAAATAATTATAAAATTATTTGATCAATATGAAAATTGCTTACTCCCATTTCTTCATTTGATTGTTCCACATAATCAAACATTTCATTAACAATATCAACAATCCGATAATAATCATATTGTAATTTGCGACATTTTTTTTCCAATAATTCATTATACTGTAATTGGCAGGCTGCCTGAAATTAAAAACGTTAATATGAAAGTTAATATGAAATTATAAAATTATTGTTGAAAATATAAATTATAGTAAAATGATTTGTTTGATATGAAATAATTTCAAAGCATAATTATATTAAATAAATATAAAATTAATCAAATTAAATTTTCATACTTTCAAAATAGTAATATTAAAAGAAAGAAAAAAGAAGGATTAAAAGATAAATAACAATAATGATGATTAATAATAATAATAATAAATAATAATAATGATATATTTTGGATTATTTCAGTCCTTCATAAATGAAACAATTAAAGAAGAATAGATAGAATATTAATAAAAAATAAATGTTTCAACAAACAAACAAACAAACCATCCATTTTCGCAATAAAACATTTTGAGCTTCACTTATATTTGTTGTATAATTTGATAAAAATACGGTTAAATTATCAAAAAGATTTTTGACCCATTTCTTCTGTAATGAAAACATAAACAATAACAACAACAACAACAACAACAACAATAACAACAGCAACCACAACAACAACAACAACGATAACAACAACAACAACAACAACGAAGAAGAAAAATGATTACAAAATATAAATAAAATAAGAAATATTAAAAATTTGTTCACATCATTTAAATGAAGTTATAAAAATGAAATGGCGATAATTAATATTAGAATTAATAGAAATGATATAAATATTACAAATTCAAATATTAATTAATTAATGAAATTAATTCTTAATTTACTAAAAAAATCACAATTATTTTATATGAGAATGAAATTTTAAGCTTTACTTGAAAAAGTTCTCTAAAAACAGAATGCTTTTCAGGTTCAGCAACATAAGGTAATGCAAAATATTGAACAAGTTGAACATCATCACTATATTTCTTACCATCCTCATCTTCCAATAATTTCTTTAATCCTTCAATTCTCTTCCGATATTCTTCTTTATTCTGCAAAATTTTATATCAAACAATTTCATATTTTAATTATTTAAATTTATCACTTTAAGTGATTTTTATAATTTTCACTTTCTTCTTTTCTTATCATTCCTATATTATTTTGATTATTTTGCGGCCTATCATTCTGATCATTTTACAGTCTATTACTTAGGTCATTTTATAGTCTAGTCTATTACTTAGGTCATTTTACAGTCCATTACTTTGATCATTTTACACTCTATTATTTTAATCATGTTACAATCTATTACTTTGATAATTTTACGGCTTATCACTCTGATCATTTTACAGCTTGTTCCTTTGATCATTTTACGGCTATTACTTTGATCATTTTACATTCTATTACTTTGACCATTTTGCAACCTATCACTCTGATCATTTTGCAGCCTTATTACTTTGATCATTTTACAGTCTACTACTTTGATCATTTTACAGCCTATTACTCTGATCATTTTACAGCCTATTAATTTGACCATTTAAAAAAGGATTTCCTTCATTTCGTCTCCATACATTAAAATTCCTTTACTGATTGATATCCATTTTTAATTTCCTTTTTAAAAAAAAATAACGGTAAAAGAAAAAAAGTAAAAATAAAATTTTTGTTTACACAAGGAAAATTAGAATGAAAAATTAGGTAAATGTGATTGGAAAGAAAACAATAAACAAACCGGTGGTGATTTACGAAGCGGAAATGTCACAAAATATAAATGAATGTTAAATTCCAATGAAATTATTTCCGCACATTTATTATTACATTTGTCAATAAATAGCTCATTCCAACATTTAAAAAATTGTCCACAATCATCGTTCTCCAAATATGACAATAATCTTTTCTATAAAATGAACAATGAATAAAAATGAGCAATGATATTATATTATATGAAATAAAGGTAGGAAATAATTAAGTATTAAATGGCTCTCATTCATTGACAACTTTTTCATAGAGTTAATCTTTTATAGAAATACGAAATGAAAAGATTTAATTTGATACAATTTAATCTTTGAGCAATTATGATTCATTAATGAAACGAAAAACCCTTCAAATTTAGTTTAAACTCTCGGAATCTGACAATTGGTCAACATGAAATAGAATATGGTAACCGATTAATTAGTAATGAGCAATTATAACTCATTAATGAAAAGAAAAACCCTTCAAATTTAGCTTAAACTCTAGGAATCTGACAACGGTCAATATTAAATACAATATGATAATCGATTAATTAGTAATGAGCAATTATGGACTCATTAATGGGGAAAAAAATCCTTTCAAAATCAACCTGAACTTTCGGAATACAGACAAAAACCCGTCAAATTTAACTTAAACTCTAGGAATCTGATAACCGTCAACATGAAATACATTGTGGTAACCGATTAATTAGTAATGAGCAATTATGCCTCATTAATGGGAATAAAAAAACCCTTCAAAATTAACCTGAACTCTCGGAATGTAAGGTGCAGTCAATATGAAATACAATATGGTAACCGATTAATTTATCTATACATATATTAATAATAACTTGATTGCATGAATAAAGTATTCTCTATTGTTACAGTTATTTCCGTATCATAGCTTATTCTCATTTCAGGAAAACTGTATCCGACAAAGAATTATTTCTTGCCAATAAAAATAGCAGCAGAAAAAGATAAACACTCGAAAATATTCATTTTTGATGAATGAAATATTTCTATTTATGTGTGAAATCACTGATTAACATTAATATAATTTATACAAAAGCTGTCACCAACATTACACATCACATTCCTCAACGATTATGCAAAATTTTTTCATTAATTAATAATCGAAAATAATTTGAAAATGTCTAAACAAAAAACAAAAAGGAAAGAAGCTACGTGACAGATGGCACTAGCAAATATACTATTCATTTCCAATTTTTTATTGCTGATATTCATTTCCAATTTTTTCCGTATTATTCATTTCCAATTTAATATATGCAAAATTTTTTCATTAATAAATAAAGAAAATAATCTGTAAGTGATTAAATAAAAACAAAAAAGGAAAGAAGCTACCTGACAGACGGCATTAGCAAATACATTATTCATTTCCAATTTTTTCGCATTATTCATTTCCAATTAAATACCATAAGAATTGAAATGATACATTCAATGAATATTTTGATTTGGCACAATTAATAAAAATGAGTCTGAAAATGTAAATTGATTACTTTTCATTTATTTCACATTAAAATTCAATGAAATATAAAGTGATAGAATTAAAACAAAGAAGAAAAAGAGAGAGAGGGAGAGAAAGAGGGAGGGAGAGAAAGAGGGAGGGAGAGAGAGAGGGAGGGAGGGAGAGAGAGAGAGAAAAGTGCAAAAAAATACAAAACATCAAATTATAAATTTTTATATCTACGCTATTAAAATATGCTATTAGATTTATTTTCATTTCTTTAAATCGAAAAAAAATTCTCTTCATTTTTCTCCTTTCTTTCTTTCTCTTTCCCTCTCTCTCTCTCCCTCTCTCTCTTTCTCTCTCTCTCTCTTTCCCTTGTTATATATATATAAGCATAGTGGAGACAAGTAAAGAATTATAGCAATTTCGGGTTGCTATAGCAATATTTATTTAACATCATAAGAGTAGTTTTCTATGTTTAATAAAACATTGATTTAATATATAAGTGGAATAAATTTAATTCATTTTATAGTAAATAAGTTCGATCTATTTCAATTTAATTCAATTCAATTATTATCATTATTATTATTTATTGTTATTTATTATTATCATTATTTATCATTATTTATTATCATTATTATTATTTTTTATTATTTATTATTATTATTTATTGTTACTTACTGTTATCTTCTATTATTTATTTTCGATTTATTATTATTTATTTTTATTATTAGTTATTAATTATTATTATTTATTATTATTACCATTTATTATTATTATCATTTATTATTGTTATTATTATTATCATTTATTATTAATATCATTTACTATTATTATTATTATAATCATTTACTGTTATTACAATCATTTATTATTATTATTACCACTTATTGTCATCATTTATTATTATTATTATTATTATTATTATTATTATCATTTATTATGTTACAATTTTTTTATAGATCCAATTAATTATATATGTATATAATTAATTATTAATTATTTACTGCATTAATGGAAAATAAAATTACAATTCTAAAAGATACAATGTAATCATAATTCATATCAAATGATTGCAAATTTTTTTTCAGAAATTTATTAATTAAAAAATATTAATTAAAACGAAAAATATAATGAATATACAAAAAAAAAAATCTTTTAGTTTAAGCGACGATTGTTTTTATCAGTTCAAAGAGTGATGAAAATTTCATTTGAGATAGATTCGTATAGCAAAATAGATAGTTATTTTGCTATACGAATTGCTACAAAGATTAAGAAGACGCTGATAAGAATTATCAGCATGCATGTAATGCACTTGCAAACATGCATCTTTGCATGCAATACTTTTTAAAATTTCGAAACATTTATTTACTGCTAATTTTTTTCGCAAAGTAAATAGAAAATATTACAGGATTGAAAGGTTTCATAATTTCCATCTTATTATTGTCACTGAATTGACATATGAAATGTTTCCAGAATTATTGCTAAAAATTTCCTAAAATTAAATTACTATAATTTATATTGAAATTTATTTACATACACACATAACTTGCCTTCTTTTTATTTTTAGTAAAAGTAACATAAAATAGGTAAATAGGAATATATTCGAAATAATGATCGGTCTTCTTCAAAATGAAAATGCAAAAGTAGAAATTTGAAATTTATGCAAAATTAATTTACTAAATTCAAAATAATATATATGCATTTCCGTATCGGATATAGCTACGTACAATTTTCCTGATGAAATTATTTCGTTTACTTTATTTGTTGATTAAATTATCAATGAATCAAATTGCATAATCACTCATTTGATAAGCAATCAATGTTTTTTTTCCGATTTTTCAATCGCTTAAATTTTTTGAACCGATCAAACGTTGTGATAAATTTTAAATAATACAAATTGTTCTTTTCGATTTTATTAATGAATTTCATTTGTCTAATAAATGATCTTAGAAATATAGTGTGATTTTATTGCTAAAAACAAATAACATCCCGAGATATCTTGTTGTTATGGTAGGATATGCTATATCGGAATTGAAGATTTCTACTTGAATTCGATTATTCGCCTATTTATAATGGTTTTATAATTCGATCATCCTTAATTATCCTGAATTTAATTATACTCACTTTTATTATTATGATCTTATTATAGGTTTTAAGTTTTACAAATAGGCATTTCTTTATAGGTTTATTATAGGCTTTCATAATAGGACACATAAATATACATATATACAAATATACACATATACACATACTCTGACACATTTACATATTCATCGATATTTTCACTTACTTGCAATTATTTACTTCTACTGCGGAAGTGTGATATTTTCTCTCGCGAATATTTAAAGTAATCTTTCATCTTTTTAGTAGTTAAATATTTAAAATACAAATATTAATTTTAAATTCACTACTATCAAAAGTCAAGAGCTCAACATGATTGAGCTCTTTGGCTGTCGTCATTTGATAATCGATCACAAGCCATAAATGCACAGAATGTAAAGACTTCAATTCCGTCATCTTCCGTTTAAGGAAACGGAATAAAGGAACGGAAAACTGAATGCATTCATTATAAAATGATAATTTTTCGGATGAAGATGACGCATCGTATTCAGACGTTTCACATTTAAAATATACATTTGAGATATAAGATAGATACATTTAAAATTAGCTACACATTATATTGAATATCGATCTCACGTTTAGGATATACATTCAAGATATAGGATATATAATTAAGATATACATTTAAGAGTACAATATATATACAATATATTTAAGAGTACAATATAATATGTATTGATTACCTTTCTTTTTTTAAATCAAATCAATCGATAGGATAATTTTTCAGGTAATAAAATTGACATAATTATTAATTAAAATCTTTCCCAAATTCTTTTCAATGGAAAGACGGAATGATTAAATTTACAAATTTCATGATTAAATAATCTATTACAAAAACGGAATACTAATGATATGCATTCCGGATATTTTCTTTATCAACTCGTTTCTTATAATAACACAAATATTTGTGTTTGATAATTAATTAATACTTAATAAATTCAAACAATTCATTCTTTCGATATATAATTATCAATTTAAGGTTAATTAAAAAAAATTTGTTAATTATATGTGAATATGATTTAATGCTTTGCAGAAATTTATGCAAATTTTAAAACTATTCGTTTGCTATATTTTAGTAATATTTTATATCGATTTTTTTTTTGATAATCATTGATTATGTGAAATAATCATTGATTATTTTTGTTATCAAAAATAATCAATGATTATTTCCCAATTTCATACAAATTATTTTCTTATTTTATATTTCTCTTGCTGATAAAATCATTGCAGAAATTTTTACACATTTTTTTTTTGTAAAATTTAAACTGAAATAGATTATTGATAATGAAATATTAATGCAACATAAGGAATTATTTATTTTAAAACCTGGAAAGTTCAATTAATCGAAATTGATAATAAATTATTAAATAATTCGATTACTAAATAATTACTATGCATAGGAAATGCGATCACAGCTAACAATGGTGGTATTCAATGACTAATTTAATCAAATCAATTAAAAATGCTGATAATGGAATGAAAGTATATGGAGCGGCATGTAAAGCACGTAACCAGTTAGGTAATTAGCAATTAATTATCCTTATATATAGGAGAGAAATGAAATTTACTTTAAGTAACATATCATATCACAAAATGTTATCAAATATCGATCAAAGAATGATTACATTCTTTTCAAACAAAAATTGAAATTTACATTTTTTAAAATTCAATATTTTTTCTTTATAAAATGAATGTTATCAAAGTTTATTATAAAAATTTTACAATTTTTTATGCTTCTTTTAATTACGCAACATAAACTATTTTATATGCAATAATTTCTATCAAAAATGATAAACAAGTAGTAGCAATAAAGAAAATGATAATCGTTAATTCTCAACAGGTAGATTATTAATTTATTATCCATTCTCATGTGAGATACATATATTACAATGTTTACGTCATGCCACATCTAACAAAAATAATAGATAATATATTAATGATCATTTTCTATAGGGTAGATATATGATCGGCTGAAATGCAATGCTTCTTAGCCAGCAATTGTTTCCAGAGAAAATCAAGAAAACGTTTATCAAATTTAGGTGAGAAATCGTAAAAGGTGAGAAATTTCATCTTATATTCCCAATAATTTAGCGAATTCCAGTATAATGTAATCGGTTTAGGCTTATCACTTAGTAATTAATGTTAAGTAAAGTTCTAATTCCCACATTATTTGGAAATTTATCACGACATAGGAAATGAACCAGACTGTCCGAAAGAAATAAGCCAACATTCTTTTATCTAATTTAGTAAAGAAATTTGAAGTTGAAAAAAAAAGAATATTCCCGTTCAAAGAAAATTACACGACGTAGACAAAATTCCTACCATCATTGATGTTTTTTAAAATTATAAAAGAATTGAGGTGTACTTCGATGTAGAGGAAATCGAAAGACTAAGCATCGATTAGCTGTAATGCGCATTTCTCGCCAATTCCTCAGGATTTTACATTCAACATTCTAGCAGTAGATAGAAACCGAATCTATGTCAATCCATAGTACAAAAATGTTGATTTTTCAACAGTAATTTTCAAACATCTTCCTAATTGCCATTCTTCCGTGAAGTTAGAACATTTATATTTGCGTTCTTAATAGAAAAACATTCGTTCTCGAAATTAATTACAATTTTTTCTTTATTGCAGCTCACAGGAATATGATCATTTCTGAACAGATTAACTGACATCACTAAATTCCTTTTTTTTGTAATATTTTGCGCGACTAATACGTCTGTCGAGCTCATCCAATGTTATGGGACCACCAATGGGTTCAAATAAACGGCGATTTTCTCGGCGCAACTCTTGCGCTTTCTCTGAAAGCTTTTGAATTAATTGACCTGATTTATACAAATACTATTTTTTGTAATAACTTCTCTGCTCAGGCGACATTTAAAACGACATTGGAACACTTTCAGAATGCAACAATGCTTATCGTATCTAGTGCATTGTAATGCGATATTTTTAATATAAATAAGCAAGAAAAAGAATACAGCAACCTTTTATAGTATCTAACGTTACATCCCGTTGCTGGTCAAAATTATGGAGAAGACCAAAAACAAGTGGAACTGCCGGTAGAATGAACAAATGCGATTGTTTCATTTTCTGACCTACTAACATCAATGAGACGACCAACAACGCCGCCATATATTCATTAGAAATAAGTTTTCGTGTGTTCGCCAACTAAAACATTGCACGTCTACAGTACTATAGAATATAACGCTACATTATTCTAACACAATACCATAAACTAAGAATTTCACCTTCACCATCGAGGTTTCACAATATCGGAGTTTAACTCAATAGTATAACCATTTTTCTATATCTCACAAAAAAACCGTAATGTCGATATAGAAACAACCAAATTCAACAGATATCCTTCTAACAAAATCATTTGTTGTTATTTTATTGCAATTAAACTGTAAAATATGAATTGGAAAAGGATGAAAATACACTAGTTAGACTGTTAAGGAAAATAGTATTACAAAGGAAAAAAGCAAACCTCTAAAGCTCTTTTGTGCTCGAACAAAACATTCTGCAGAGCTACGTGCTCCACTGCCTAAAGAATAATCCATACTAAAATTACGAAATTTAATTTTTAAAAAAAAATATAAATAGAAACCTTAAAACTTCAACAGCGTCACTACATTCATCTTATTCCAACATAGCAATTTAAAAAAAAAACAAAATTAGTTCAAATATTCGACACATGAAATGAAATGCCAGAATTCCAATAATTTAGATATAACCTGTTGGTCGTAATAATTTTGTAATTCCACATTACTTGACCACGATGTTCCCATTAAGAACATAAACAAAACATCACAAGTGTAATCGTCAGATAATTTCAAAACCCGAAAAATTTCTGCCACAAACTTAAATCTTTTATTTATTTGGCATTAGATAGTGGTGTTTTTTACATTTACAGAAATAATAAAAAATCTCACAATGCAGCCAAAAAATATGCAAAAGAATATATGGCAAATTGTATTGCAAATTGAAATGTCAACTAAAAAATTCTATTTTTTTCTGCAAAACAGAAACATGAGAATACCCTTAGTTATCCAGAAAATCAGCACATAGTCGCCGACAATTTTGTAAGCATATACCAAGCACGTCAAGAGTCAGCAGCACCTGAAAAGAGGCTCAGCTGTTCAACTATTTTAAATCATCACTGATTGGGCTTTCAGTAAAAGTGAAAAGAAACGTAAAGAAATAATAATTTCTATTCTAGAGATTTAGCTTCTTCTGAACAAGAAAATTAAATAGCAGGAGCTTCACTGATCAAGTACCATTTAAGCTGGAAATTAGTGAAACAAAGAGGAAATAAATGAGTCCAATGTTTTATTCAAATTTGAAATACCAAAAAAATTCGGATGAGGAAATCAGATCAACATATTTCCTAATAGATAATCAAAAGCAATGCTTGCAGCATCTCCGAGTTTTCCTACCTGTTTTGATTAAAAAAAGGTTAAAATGGATTTAATAAATCAGGTGATGCACTGCATATATTTAACGGAGATTCGAAAATATTTTTCAATGAATTAACTATAACAGAGTGAGACATTTCTCAAAGTCTGAATTTTTTTCATAGAATTTGAGGATTTCGAAAACGACCACTACAGAAGCATTGTAATTCTATATAAACCAATTCAATGTTCAACAATATAACAAACAATATCGACTTATTCCATATCACTTCCTCGTTGCAATTCTTTCAGACGATGCTTTACATCAGCCACCAAAACATGCGGTTCATGCTCTGCTAGTCTTTCTCGGTACAACAAATCAGCTCGTCCTGGAAATAAACTGAGAAATTTAACAAGTTCCAGCCATATTTTCCATTACATTCTTTCATATAAATCCGATAAATTAATGCACAGTGATTATTTTAGCTTCCACATATCATGCCATTTTCAAAGCTAAAACAGTTTCTAATTTTCTATACATAATGATATAAAACAAAGCATTTTTGAAAGATAAAATTAAGAAAATTCACTTTTGATTCTTGCCGTACTTCGTCCAAAGAAGGCATCAGTTTCGTGTGCCAAGTAAGGAAGCGCTATTGCAATCGGTATTAAATAGAGCAAATTTTTATGCCGATAGGTAGCTACACCAGAAATAAGGGTTACCGTAACACTTGCAATGGCTTTGTAAGGATAGGCATACTGCAATCTGGCAAGCTAAAAAACGAGATTTTTGAATCATAAAAAAAAATTAAATCCAAGTTATAAAGAAAAAGAGGACATTCCTCCAAGTAGGTCATAAATCTCATTTTTCTGGATGCTCTTGGATTAATAAGGGCACATGACTGATACTTATGAACCAATTACACGGTACATGAAGAACTTTGCTAAATATTGAACAAACAAGTGGTCCATATTTAGAGACTGTAAGCCTAGAGTTAGGGTGTTTTTTAGACTTATTAAGTCTTTAACAAATAATTATTTCATATTAACGATTTGGGGTTAAGATATGCCATATGCGCTGATCATTTGCTTCCTATATTATTACTATTCACTTTCAGATATGTAACACTTAAAGATACCTTTACCTTAATAAGGAAGTACTGTTTATTAGCAATGTCACAGGTAGACCTACCTCGAATGCTCTTTTTCTTTCATCCAAAGCTTCTTGAAATGCTATTTCGCGTTCAATCTAAAAGTATTCTGAAGTAAGTTTTTCAACAAAATGGAAGCAATTTTCAATATATTTGAAAACACAACTAATTATTACTCGTTAGTGAGGATATCCTAAAGAGTAATAAGAGTTAATCAATTCAAACAAGCTTAATAAGTCCAGTCAACGAATTCTAATAAGGTGAAATTTAATACAAAAACTCTTAACCGACTGCTAATTTTCTTAAGCTAGACAAATCCAACTAATGGTGGGTACCATTTTTCATAATATATGTTGCAATACATTGATAAGAGTGTGGTTAGCAAAAACACTTGAAAAGATGGTAACAAAGCAAAAATGCTATAATAAAAAGTATAATAAACAGGTAAATTTTGTAAAAAATTTAATTCCAGCTAAATTAAACAAAATAGAAAAATAATAGAACCAAAGAAAAAAACAACTGTCTAACAGTCATCAATATGTACTTAAAGTATATTTCACTTTCTTCGGTTCAATTTTATCGTCTGAATGCATAAGCAATCTCAACCGCTCAAAATTAGAAGTTATTTAAAGAAAGATTAAGTCGTGCCATTTATTAAAAGATAAGATGGAAAGCGGAAAAGTTTGCAAACATCGACTTAACAATCTTAGTAGCAATTAATAACAATTACAAGTGAATAAAACAAAAATAAACGTTATATAGTTGAAAGCAACAACTTAAATACTATTAGATGAATGAAATGAAGAACCTTTTGATTCTCAAGCAATCGGATGGTATTTACTATCGACTTCTCATTCATTCCGCTTCCTCAGTACTTCGTTAAATAACATTAATTTGAAAATTACAAATCTATCCTTCTTCTATATAGTTCGAAAAGTTCCTGAGAATTCTCGGTAACACAGAATATATTGATGGATTCACTAGAGGTACGGGGGATACCTAGCGAAAATGTGCGTAGGGAAGGCAGCGTACCTCTACACCCATTCATTGTAAGCAGTCCGAAAAATTCGTACCAATGTAAGCAGTCCGAAAAATTCGCAAAATTCGTACCAACGCAGCGCTACGGCTGATAGCTTGAGCGGGATGTTTTGTCAATTTTGGGTGACGTGGGGATAACGTAAGTGTTGACTTCAAGTTATATTCTTAGTATGCGTGGTTAGATAGTAAGTTATAGCAAGATTAGAGTTTGCATTTTCAGTAAGTCTAGCTTTAGGATTGAGAAATTCAGGTTAATATGTGTCGAGATTTCATGAAAATTTTTTAGTACATTAACGAAGTGATTTAAGTATACGAATAACTTTAAGCAATATTATTCAGTCGTTTTCTTTTTTTTTCAGACACACTAAAAATTTGTATAAAGAAGTGAAAATCGTTTGATGTCGACGGAAGAAGCGACACATCGAAGTCAAGCAGCTGAACTTGAAGAATTAGATGCAAAGAAATTACGTCAGGATTGCATGAACATTATGCCGAATGGGAATTCAAAAGAGGTTTCTGTAGCTCTCAAGTTTTCTAATGAATAAGAAGCCCAGTTTTCTATAGGTATTAAGCATATTAATTGTTTTCATATGCAACATACTTGAATTTAACCATGCTGGAGTAAGGTGACTCAAGATGATTCCAATATCTAGTCACTTTACGTAAGATATTCCTAATTACTTTTTAGCCTTGATTACAGCAATTATTCACATCGGAATTAAGATTCCGAAGTTAAAAGACATAAAATGAATGGAAATAACTTTTAGTTTTTAACTGGATTGGTCTTGGCTACGTGTATATCAAAAATACTTCCGACGGCTTTATGAGTTCTAAACTAATTAATTATATAAAATGTGCTGGAATTATATTGTATTACTTCAAAAATCCTTATTGATTTGATGATCCTATCATCTGTCAATTATTCTATTGTGTAGTATTGCATGAAAGAACATTAATTTGAAAGAGATAATTGGGCTTAGTATTGACTTATATTGCTTGATGTGGATTTTTGGGAACTCTGAGAACACAGAAGATAAGAAGCTACAGAGCAGAAAGAGTTTAAAAATAGATTTGTGGATTAAACATTTTAATTCGTAGTCATGTCCGTAGCTTACATGATAGTAGCAAACAGTCTTAGTGCTTTTCGAAATTTCAGAAATAGCAAAAAATCTCAACTAATTCCTCATAAAGGTGTTGTTCGTTAGCAGTCATAGTGAGCTTACTGTTATATTTTCTTTACACAATCAATTTAGGATGGAGAAGCTTACAAATTGGACCGCCTTCGGAATCTTGTCAATAGGATTTTCAGCGGTGAAAACAGCATTTGTTTGAAATCTTTGTTAGAATCAACTGATGCATCAACTTTTAATAATGATGGTATGCTTTGTTATTACCAGTATGATGAATTAAGATTGATAACATTAATACGAACTTCAGAAGGTATAAACAGGATGAAAATTGAAGGGCTAAACAAACATACTACTTCTGCAATATACTACTAGCTGGTGTAATCGAAACCTACTTTATAGAAAAATCTGCATGTTCGTGATGATTTTGAAAGCAGGATGGCATTGAGTAATGCTTAGTATATGTTTAATAACATTGTAAGTAATGTGTTAAGGGCAGCGATTTTGTCATTCATCTGAAAGTTGATAAACTGAATGCTAAATTTTTTTTCAATAGCCTTACATTTTTCCAGAGAAGCGTATATTTTCAGTTGACTTGTCAGTCGTAATAGATGATATTTTTATGCGAGCTCTATGTAACATGCAGGAAAGCAAGTAAGTACTCTTATTTTGCTCATATTCGTATATTCGAGGATTTTCATTGTACCAAAAAGTGATTAGAATAAATAAGCGTTCAGACTTATCTGTAATGGACAACTGATGATACAGTTGCAATTTTCAGTGTACAGATGATGAGTACAGGTAGAATGCTAGGAAAACAACTCGGCGAACCGCTGTTTGATTTACCTCTCATTCTACCAGAAATGGCTTTGCATTATCTTATCGCAACAAATGAAAAATTGGCTACTGAAGGACAGAATCAGGTATATTTTGCATTAACCTAATTCTCATCGAAATTCCTTTCTTATATCTAATTAAGAGTAACATATATTTCCAAATTCCGAGCCTCTAGAATGAACCAACTGAAAAAGTAAAAAATGCGACCGTCAGGTGTTCAAAGTAAAATTTGAATTGTAGTTTTTAATGGATTACGAGCGGTCCGTGATTCCAATTATTCAGAAAAGACTTTTTGCTCAAACATCTTTCCTTCTTCGTGGTTTTTATGGTGAAAAGTAAGTCTTCTATTTTTATTCATGTACATTGTTCTCATTTGTATGGAAATGTCTTTATTTCTATCACCTTTTTTTATTCAGTAAATAATAATGGATTCGGATGTTAAATATAAGATTTAAAAATCTCCAGTCTGTTGCAGATTTACAACTGAGGACATGATAGCAGTCTTTATTCGAATGTTTTATCAGCAGCAAATACCAGAAACTTTTGCCTACAACTTGATAAATTACTGTACAGATGAAGATGTGGCGGACCATGGTGCACTTGCTGAGGTTTGTTTCTCCTTTTATCGTTTATAATATTTCGAAAATTCCACTCATGTTTAGATTTAATACGGTCAGCAATGCGGATTTTTGCACACTAAAATATCTTGTTTATCATGTGTGACATGCGAATATTAAACCATACTTGTACATAGGGATATAGTTTACAGTATGATGTATTTTATCTACATTCGAACCAGTGGTCAAAAGAACTAGGTAATCTCGAGGCCTGAGGAATATATTTTTAAAAGTTTCAAGAATAATCTAGGAAAATGTTTTTGCGCTGTTTAACCTCTTCGATTGGTGATTGTGCTCATCACCGATTCTTGTACCGAATATTTGAATTTGGAAATAAATTCGATCATATGTCAAAAATTGCTTCAGATTTTCAATCCCATTTTGGATTGTGCGCATAAGTCAATGAGTTCCCAACAAATGTCGAATAAGTGCAACAGGGAAGTGGCTGTTTATCCATATTCCTTGCTGAAATTCCTTGTAGGCGTCAGAACTTCATCTAATAAGAGGCCTGTTGCCGATTTGGTTAGTTCCTTACATCTTCAATGCACTCTAGCCACAATGAATCCCAGTTATACGATGAGTTGTTTTAAATCTATTTATTGACTTATTTCAGTTCAAATCAGTTCGGTTAAATCCGGCAAACAGTATGGTCGATTTAATTAAATCAACTATTACGAGAACTAAATATTATCAGCTCCAGCTTTATGATCGTGATCTATTATCTATTATAGCTGGTTTCACGGGCGGATTTCATATCGAAAGTGCACACCGTCCTCGAAGGCCATGATTTCGCGCGACTCTGTTATTTGGGACCATTCTTTGAATACAGTACAGCTCCTGCTGATAACGGAAGCGTAAGAATAAACTTTGGATTCGTTGGTATAAATCAATGAAGCGTTTGCATTTACCTTCTTTCAGCTCTCTATTTACATGCCATTTTTCGACTGCTTTCAACTTCCGGAAGACGACCAAAAGCCGATGTTGTATAATGTTTATCAGAACGATTTAACACTTGTTAGGGTACGTTTTTTGGGCCTGACATTATAAGTGATTTTTGTGTTTGATTATTTATCAATAAAGCCCATCCTGAGGACCCCATTTCAGTGTAATAAGCAAAGCTTCAAAGCAATTGAAGCATGCGGCATATATTATCCAGAAATTTTGAGACAGGAGTCATGCAAAATAAGCTTAGGAGAGGAAAGCTTTGAAAACTCTGTGATACTGACTACCAAGTTTTTGGGGGTCATTCTTGAAAAAGTTCAAAACTGATTCAATTTAGCGTCATTTACATCAAATATTGCATCAGTTGTTAGCAAATACTTCGAGCCGTAACAAAACGTTGGATTTCATTACTCACGTGTTATCTGTCAATATCAAGAGGCGACAGATGAATGTAAGTTTCGCTTCCAGCACGAAATTATCTTTGGCTTCTTGTTTTGTAATCAATCGGTGATCCAAACACAATTTGATGGTTACTTCAACCTCATTTGAAAAACTCATTTAAAGCTTTCAAACATTTTTTTTAAGTCCACTAGCTGTTCTAATGGGAAAAAGATTTATAATTTATGCTTAAAAGAATTTGTACTTGATATTTTTACTTAATTTCCTGCTAACGGTATGTTTCAGCCGGATTACTCGAAGTTGTCATCGGATGGTTTCATGTTGAATTTCTTTGATGTAATGCTAAGTTTGGCTGAGAAAGTGACATTTGATAAGGTAATTTTTGCTCTTCCTACTCTAAATTATATACTTAAAATTTCTTTACATCCTGTACCAATTATTTCTCGGAATTTTCAAGGTCAACACTTATTACATATTCCATCCGGAATGCAGAATTGACTTTTCGGATGAAACGCGATTGAAATTGGATTTAGAACAAACAAAAGCCTTCGCAAAAATGATAGGTATTTTATTTCAAATTCTGTTCTGAATACTTTCCTTGAATACGCATACGAATATACAGTGCTTATTTCAAGAGATTATACAGTGCTTATTTCAAGAGCTTACGAGTGCTTATTTCAAATTCTAACTCTGATTGTACATAACTTCTATCGGAGGACTAATGCTATGTCGCACTTCAACTGGTCAGAGTCACTGCAGATTAAACTGGTAGAAGTCACAAATTGCTTATTTTTAGAATAAAAACTTTCTGTCGTTTTTAGATACTAAGTTCGAAATTAAATTTCCCACGGAATGTTTCTTTCTTACGGTACAAGCGCAACACCTATCACTATCAGCTGCGATTGGACAACTAAAATATTTGAAGAGGAACTTACATGAAATTGAACTTGGTCTAAATGAACTTAAAGTACAGTTACGCAGATTATTAGCACTACAAATAAGAGAAAAGGCAATGATTGAAGCAAAACTGGAGCGTGCTAATATTTTTCGTACAGTATGTTTCCAATTCTTGAATTTAAATTTAAATTTGACATGGTGTTGTACTTGATAGATTTTCATCTATGAAAGGTTAAACAGAGAGCGATGAAAAATATAAAAATTAAGTTCAAGGCAACTTGGCTGATGCTTTGCATGCGTTAGTTATTTAACTGATTTTCGTTTAATTAGTTCTTAAGATCAACCACGATCTTAGGTTTCTTCACGTTAACATATCTAAATATAAATTCAAAAGAACACATGAATCCTAGAAACAATTTTCAAGTTTCAAATTGTGAAGACTACTCATTTTATTTTTCAGAGACTCATTCGAAGAATTATGTGTTTGGAAGCAGCTCTATACGATCCGGTGTTTCTCCATCGAGCTTTGGAATTCTGCAGCCGTCAGCTTACGTTCATCATCAACAT